AATGCGATGAACACCCTACTTGTCAGTTCTATAAACAGAAAAACATTCCCTTTTGCTTATTTTCTTTCTCTTTTGCTATGTGCTCATCCTCTGTGTTTCTATTGAGTAATTCATTATTCTTTGCCCTTGAAGATAAGGGAAGTTTACTTATCATATAAATCAATGCGGAATGTATTTCGTAATAGAGGACTTTGAATTGTAATCATTCCCAGTTTCCTTTTTTTCTTTCCATGAGAAGATCATCCTGAAACAATAACAAACTTTCTTATTCATATGAAAATGTCAATAACCAAAAGAGCAAAGAAAAGTTTAGCTGTTTAAAAAAAAAGAAAGAAAGAAAAAGAAAGAAAGAAAGCTATTTTACACACAAACTGAAAGTATTGATTACTGGTGCCTAAAGATGAACTAACTATCGTCTTTTTTTTATTATTATTATTTTATTTTATTTTATTTTTTCTATCTTGAGCACAAAAAGTATTTCCGTTGATCCGTGCATTATGCATACGCTTACCACATTTTAAATCCGTAGGACAGTGGCTTACTTTTCCCTGAAAGTAGACCCTGAAAAATTCATCGATTTTTTTTTTTTTTTTTTGCTCACTATAAAACTCATACTGATTGCTTTTTTCTCTTTCTAAGTGAATAGACTATAAATTAGTTTTATACGTTATCTTTAGCTATCAGTTTAGTGATGAAGAAAAGATGACATGATGTAAACATATGTTTTATTTCGGTGACACAAACAAGTACAAAGCAGACACTACATTTTCTTCGAGTCTAAAAACCAAAATAAACGATACAAGTAAAAAGAGTAATGTCTTTGATGGATGTGTATATATACCATGATACATTGCAAAAAGCTATAAAAGCATATAAAAGGATACAATATCTATGGTTCTATATAAGCGGGAAGACTAAACTATTAGTAAAAAGTGTTTTCTAAAAAAGAAATAATATTCTTTTCTCTCTTTCAAAAAGAAAAACCACTTACATCACATTTCAACAGTATTTACCTTTTCTTTTTTTTTGAAGACCAAAGTGCCATGAGAACGAGTAAGGTTATATAGAAATCCACAAGTTGAAACTTTTTAACAATGCCTTTTTTTATATAGTACCAGAAGAGTTAATACAATACAGGTTACCACGCGGTTACATACCAGATAAAGATCAAATTAGCAGAATAGTAGCCCAGGATCAGTTTATTATTGATCTGATCACCACTTCGCTTCTGAGAGTTCCTTCAGGCACTTATAAGGCTGGCGACAATATGTTTATCGATGGCACAGAGTGTGAAGCTCTTTATATACCTCATTCATCAGATCTTGTAGACTTACCTCCTGTAGTAGCAGAAATACAACACACAGTGACACGCGAGTTTATGTGTCGAGCCGTCCAGTACTGCCTGAATGTGTAAAGCGTTTCACATTTATCAACTTTATTCATCGTTGTACCTCAAAACAAAGTCCAAAACTCTGAGAGACCTCCTCGAACCTGTCAAAAACAAGTCTAACCTCTTAGAAACACCTTGCTGCCACTTCGCAACTAGTTGCTTATGCTGACCAAACAGAGATCAATCCTTTTATTGACAATCAGATACCAAGAATTGGATCCTTTGGTTGTCTTTGTCCATTTCTTGAGTCTGGCCAGCAAAACATAATCATATTGACTGATGGGACGACCCAACCAATACGAAACTGTACTTTGTCACAATGGAAATGGTCAAAAATGACAGAAAAACAGAGAATGATAAAGTCGAAGCGTTACAAACGATTTGTCAAGCAACACAAAATCAATTTGAGAAAATAATGACAACCGTTTTCGACAACCCCAGCCGAGCGCATCAATACGCAGAAGCAAGACGGCACTATAGCGCAAGTCTTAAAGTACGACGCAATGAAGCAAGAATTAAACAATACACCTCCAGAAGCAACAACACCAATGGAGCTTCCTAAAGACTTTGACGGCGCTTCTAGTTCTATAAATTCCAAATACAAAGATTTGATTGCATTCATCGATGCTTGGAAGCAGAATAACAAAGGTCGAATGAATTGGTCTGCCTGTTGGGAAGATGGAAAGAAAAAAGGTCTGTTCAATGAGTACTCAAACACCCATAGCTTGAAGAATATATACCACAGAGCAAAAAATGATACCTAATCACCATTAGCACCGTTTATATGACAAATTAGTAATTAATGAAAAAATTATCAGTCAGGATTATCCCAATGTTTTATCGTAAAAAAAAAATACAGTTTTCTCATATCCAAACTTTTTTTTGTGTGTTAATAACGATGTTGACGATGTTGACGATGTTGCAATCTGCATTTACTTTATCCTCTAAAGCTATGAGCTAAAGATATTTCTCTTCATCTACATACTAGTTTGAGTGAATTCATCAACCGTTGACAAACGTAATGCAACAGGAATCTTGGAGTAAGAAATCATTTACAATTAAAAATAACTTTGTCTAATGAAAAAGGAAATTCTCTGAAATCAAAAGAAATACACCAGCTCTAGTTAGCTAATTCCAACAATTGCTTTTACCAAAGTAGACAAAAATAATGACATTTGTTTTCGAGAAAACGCCAAATTCCATACGTTTGACTATATCGTACACACAAAAATATTTGGGTCAGAAATTGAATACAAAATTGGCTTTCAGTCGAAAAAGTGGTCGAGGGGTAGTAAAGCCGTCGTTTGTCAGAGATACGTAAGACTTTTACTATAACAATACATAGCGAGAAATGCCTCCATAGTGCTATAAAGTACTGTAAAAGTATTAATTTTGCAATACGTATATAAAAAGTGTATGCTATCGTCCAAAAGCGAGAATACATTTTCCATCTTTTTCTCATCTTTGTCATGGCAGCTTTATTGCACTTTTTACACCATTAAATGCGCCATACTAAGCTATATAGCTTTACTCAATGCATCTCTTGATTATTTCTTATAAACTCTGACACTTTTAACCAAATTAATGACTTTTACTACCCAGGACAAGCAGAAACAGAGAAGAAAATGTTGGTGTTTGAAATATCCAGCCCTTCTCCTACAAGACATTTGATGCTTATCATGTCCAAAGATGCTCTCTTTGAACTCAAAGCTTCCAAGGTTATGATAGCTTCTACTTTAAATACCTAAGCCATTGCTTAGAGGACATCTGTTACAAATGCCTGTCATTCTAGAGCCGAGATTTAACAGTTTCTCTCTTTTGATCTTGCTTTTACATACAACCCTTCAATAGAACTGTTAGCACACAATTAAAAAGAGCTATACACAGACAGCCTCTAAGTCAAAAAAAAAAAAAAAAGAGGATCCTTATTTCTTTTTGTGGCAAATACTTGCTTATGATCAATAAGTAACATTGCAGCAATGATTAGCTACAGAATTTAGGGCTGCTGATTTAATGATAGTCAATAAGCATGTTTTTTTCTGTAGCATACAACAAGTGAAGGACAGAGAAAAAAGAAAAAGAAAAGACGCGTTATCAATTATTTTAAATACTAGTGTATATACTTTATTGAATAAAAAGATAAAAAAGAAACTGGTACTTTAGCCAAATACTGTGAGTATTTGTTTCCAGGAACTAGGACGAGGACCTAAACCAGTTCAATTGAGTTCCCAAAAAGATGGTGCGCGTACGCACAAAGCCCCTCAGACCCCACTATATAGTATTCACACTATCAAAAAAGATGGAATGCGTATCATTTTCAATAGATGACGAACACTATATAAAAAGCCATTACTCTGTCCGATAGTCGACCCTAAATGAATAGAGCTTGCCACGAATAGACAGATACCCCTTCAAAAGTGAAGCTTAACTTTAGAAAGACTATTCTAGCCGCCAGACTAAAACAGGCCCCTTGAAAGGACTTTTTAGACCCTCTCTAAAGAGCATTCACAAAAGAAAAGGCGAATGACTATCAATCCCAGTAACCTTCACTACCGCTTTCTAGTACTATCACAGTAGCAAACGACCAAGACTGCTGTAATACCCTAATAGCCACACACACAAAGAAATGAGACTACCAAGATACCACGAATAGGGTTAAACTTATTACTATCCGATAGGTTCCCCTCCCTCCCCACAAGTGAGAAGAAGGTGCCAAGAAAAGATAGTAGCCTTCCAGCGTTGGGAATATTTGGACTTGGACTGCCAGTGCGCATAACTAAGATGGAATACCCCCTCGGACAGGACCATAAGCTAACCCTCTACACGCGTCTGTTTTACTCTCTATCAAATTCGGCAAAGACCCGTTTAGTGAAAAAAAGGCAGACTATCTTGACAGAGAATGCACTTGTACCCAGGTGGTAGATCCCCCCCCCTCAAGTACGTTTGGTACATTATCCTGAAAGGACAGAAAACAAACACGCTGCAAAAAGAAAGCAAAGAAAAAAAGGGTGGGAACCTGTTTTTATATTCTGATAAGTTCCCTGACCATTATTCAGACTCAGTTATACTCAGTTAACTTTCTAAACCCCTGTTTTAAGGGCTTATTGAGGGCTTCAGAGGTATAGAGACTACATGATCGAGTACAGAAACATATAATCTATGTTCTCCTAGTGTATTGAGTTGACACAGTAATAATAGCACTATTTTATGTAGCAATCTTTTTTTCATATAGCTGCATAATCATGGATTTTGTTTGCCGCCAAGGCTTACAAAATAGCAGTATCAGACACATACAGCTGTACCTGGATCCAGCAATACAGTTTGAGCTTTTGGCAAACAGAAAAAGAATGCTGATCAAATTAGAGTGTGAGTCTGGTGCCCCAGATAAAAAGGAAATGGCATTTAAAATAGACAATCCTCCTTTTGTATGGTATTCATCGTTTGCAATATCCAAAGCTACTCGCTTTGGCCTCAAAAATAGCATGTATTATAATATAGTTTGTTCGTGTATATCTTATACGTCAAGAATTACTACAAAGAGTACCCCTCTAATAGTCAGTATCCACTGAAATGGGCCTTCTTTGTACTGATTACAGTGTGCAATCAACTTTGAATGCAGATCTGAGGGGAATGCTCAAATTAACTCGTCTTTATACAAACGTATTTTATCTTTCATTACTTCAAAATTATGCTCTTTAATACGGAGCTACAGTTCAACCCTGCAATTCTCTTTCTAGTAGAATTCCAACTTAACAAAGCCATCGTGGTAATCTGAACATAATAAATGTCTTCTCTAGTACCTTTAGTAAAATCATTTAAGCTGCAATTTTTGTTTATAAAAAAGGAAGCACACCTAGGTCTGTCTCATATTGAAAACCTGTTTATTTCATAGACATGCTAGCTTTTACCCGAATTCAATTCAAACATAGCAGTTTTGAATAATACAGAAGCATAAGCACATTAATGATTTATCATGACTATATATGGTAAGAAAAGAAAGAAAAATGACTTGTTTATTTTTTAATGATGTGTAAGTAATTTCATTTATTAGGAAGAGGCAATTATTTTGAAGAAGAGGTTTGAAAAAGATTCACCAAATACAAAATAGAGCCAGGAATAGAACCAGAAGAGTAAAGCCATAGAAAGAGAGCCTTGATGAACCAGGAAACAAGTAACTAGAATGATGATTAAAAAAAAAGCTTTCAAGCATATATAACTTACCAAAAGACCAAAGCCATCATGCTACCCTCTAATGTGCTGATTTTCATAGCCCACGCGGCTCTGCGTAGTTCAGAGCCGAATGAACCGGCCCAAACTGGCCCTGCGTAGTTCAGGGCCGAATGGATGCCATCGCCGACAAGAAGAGGGCATTTGGAACATCACTGTACGGAAACAAGTGGTTCCCTATAAGAGAGTCAGTAAACGTGTCTTTTAGAATAATTATCTTACCTCCTTGATGGATGAGAAGAGGCTAGTAGATTTGCATACGAGGCCAAGAGAGTAGAAAAGTAAAGTAACAGAAAAAAGAAGAAGAAGAAAAGGGAGGAAAGAGGACATAATCATACTGATATCATTGTTTATATTGAGAGAATACAGTCCAAGTATTCCTTTTATTTTTTAGACCTCTACTTTTTGTTCTTTAAAGAGGTATACATAGATAACAATTTATTTCCTTGTTGTATTTAAATATGATCAAAGAAAAGTTAATCTTCAAGAGGGCATTACGCGTTTTAAAGAGATAGACAATACGATGCGTATCACTGTTCAATTGCATAACACAAACAAAACAAACCAATAAAAAGAAAGCTTTTACTGCTTTCTAACCTAAGAAAAGCTTATATTTAATCAGTTGCTGTTTGCCATTTGATAAATAAAAAGATGGCGATAGGAAAGCATGATGAACAATTATCACTTTTATTGCTAGCGCTATTTTATCAAGGCAAGAAAGTTTTTGTTGTTTCAAGAGGGCCTTCAAATGGAAAAAAAGGGGGGGTTTTAGCTTATTCAAGATGCAAGCACATTTTGGATCAATAATCTTCAGTTTTATTTTCGCTTCATCTTGATCTTGAAACTATTTTTTTCCATTCCCAAAGTAATAAAAACTCTACGGTTCAAAGCATCTTTCATTTCTTGTTCAATAGACTCAATTTCAAAATACTTTAAAAGTGTCGCCAAAGAGATTTTCATTTCTTGTAGTGCAAAGTTCTTACCAACACAGTTCCTAGAGCTAGAAAAAAAGAAACGAATGTTAGTCTACACAAAAAAACTCATGTATAGTTTACCCAGCACTAAAAGGGAAGAAAGCATCCAAGCTATTTTCTTCGTTTTCATAACTGATCCATCTTTCTGGTTTGAATTTAAAAGGATCTGGCCAGTGCTTTTCATCTGTTTGTACATGATACACGTTGCATATAATTTCGACCTGAACCCCCCCCTCCGATTTAGTATACATTTTCATATTCTGAAGCAATACATACACCTTCAGGAAGAGCCAGCCTATTCCCTAAAACAACAGTTTTTTTGGTAGTTCTCTCAAGTCCACCAGCAGCCATGGAATCAATGCGCATCGTTTCATTAATAACAGAATTTAAATAGGGTAAGTTTTTGACTTGTTCATAATTAAACACTGTTTGGTTTTTTTCGAGAGGGATATTATCGATTTCTCTGTAGAGACTCTTGAGCGTTTCAGGTTTATTCAAGAGCTCGAAAATAGCAAAACCAAGAGTATTGCTTGTTGTTTCTGAACCAGCTATCAAGAATAAAACAGTTTCGGATATAATAGCCTCTACAGTCAAACATTCATTGTAGTCTTTATGCGCATCAATAAGGATTTGTAAAATATCCTCACGCTTTTTTTCTTTGCTATTTAAGCGATTGTGGATGATGGTAGACATAAACTTGGAATTCAATGAGGATTTTTTTCTATACAAATAAACCTTACATTTGTCAGTTTTGGATCGGTTCCTCCACTATTCTTTAGAATAAGTTTTCCCAACAATGGGTACATGGCATTAATGGCACCAGATTGTATTTCTTCCTTGATAGCAGGTGGAACAAAATGAGTTGGGTCTTGAATCATCTTAAATGATTCTCCAAAAGCAGCTTCTCCAATGACATCGATAGCAAGGCATTGAAGCAAGCTCCATATATCTATGATACCAAAGCCATCACTATCTTGATTCTTTGTAATATCATGATCAATCTTGTTTACTAATAATACTGCCGCTGAAGTCATAAAAGTCTCTAAAGATTTGAGATATTTGATAGAAAAAGCAGGTGAAATAATTCTTCTCTGTAACAAACGAAAGATAAATGTATCTGTATGTGTGTGTGTGTTTTTATGTCGTGTACTTACTCTTTGTCTATGCCAATTACTATCTGTGGTACTGAATAATGACATGCCTCTATTTTCTATCATTCACAAGTTCAATACGCTTTTATATTTCATTTTGTTTGCCTTACTTTGAAGCATTTCATACACTGAACTCTTTGGAAGATCTTCATGCACAAGGATCTGTCGAATCATTGTTTTATCCGCAATCGAAATGGTTCGCGGCCCTAATCTAACCAAATCACCATATGTTTCATGAAAAGATTTTAGTTTTTGGTAGCTATGATGTGTGTTTGAGTATGATGGACATGTTTCCTTTTCATTTTTTTTTTTTTTTTTTTTTTTTTTTTTTTTTTTTTTTTTTTTTTACTTGCAACTTACTATGTGCCCAAAGGAAGATCAAGTATAAAGTAAGGAATATTGATAAATTTAGTTAAGAATGGCCCAGGGACATCACGGAGTGGTCCAAAAAGCGCATTTTGTACAATCTATCAAGTAAATACACACATAAGGATCTTTTTATCAACTCACATTTAAGATGACATAGGCGAGTAATGCTACAACGATAATAATACCGATTTTATCCAAGTTTGTTTTGGATATCAATTTCACTGCTTGTTCGACTTTTTCAATAGACTGTACGCAACCCATTCTTTAAATCAAGAAAAAAAAACAAGAAGATGTAAAGTAACGATGCCTGCTATTAGTTGTTATTATATACACATTCAGTCAAAAAAAAAAAAAAAAAAAAAAAGAAGCAAAACAACGGTGTAAGGCTTTTTTTTTATGTACTTTAAACAAAACTTGATTTACTACAGTAACTAAAGCATTCTCGACCTGGAATATGCCTGACGCTATAAAACACCCGCATCGTACAAAACAATGCTGTATCTGCATTCTGCTTAGACATTACTTAAAATAGAAATGGATTAGCCATGACCTCCAACATAGCTATCAAATGATTTGCTTTTATCAACAGTTGCCTTTAACTAGAGCTCTTTTGAAAGGAAAACGATAGTGCCTTTCTCTTTTACAAGTAACTCAGTTCCTTTTCTACCATCAGGATAATGGTGTAGCTTATTGTTTATATTAAAATCTAGGTTGGTCATCTGGTTACTTATTTAAACCCTTATTCTATGTTTGTGTGTATTTATGTAGCCTTCATGTAAACAATCAGCATTTTCTTTTTCTCTCCTTTCTCTTACTGAATATACTTGTTTCATCATGTTAGTGTACAATAAAATATCATACAGAGACAGTTTTTGTACTCGATGTTAGATATCAATACAACAGGCAATGTGCGTATATAATGAATAATGAGTCATCTGTTAATGATCAATGCTTTTTGGGTACATTTTTGTTTGATTTGTATTCTGAGTTTACTGTTTGCCAATACCATACAAACAAGCCCTGGTCAAAAAAAGAAGAAAAAGAAGAAAACTGGTACATGCATGATAAAAAACGTACGCCGGCATGAAAATCACTTCTAAACAACAATGCAAGTGTAGCTTTTATTGTCCAAACAATTACTCTAACAAAGGTTGTTTAATAGACCAACAATAAAAAGAAATAAAAGAGATTTAACTCGGGTATCATCTAAAAGTCGTTTAAGCAAACTTGGCTTCTTTTCATTGACAAACGATGAATCCCAGATTTCTTCATCTTGTTCTTGATTTACTGCTTCTTGTGTTTTGTTCTCGGCATGAATTGCTTCTGACGGCTTGGTGCTATTAGCTGTTGTAGGTAAAAGAGGGACAGCTTGATACTCTCCTTGTCCATTGGTTGTATTGCTGGATGATGACTGAGCATGCTTACATATCCAACTCGAAATCTCATGCGTTGTTTGACTCATGTAATAACTCACAAAAATAAAGAGACAGCTAGAAATAGCCAAGTTAATCCACCAGCCCAAACCAGCAACCCAATTAGGTGAAGCTAAAATGACCAATAAACCCTTTGTATCGCCTGCCAGCCACATATGGAATTGGCCAATAAAAGTTTCCAAGGAGATCTTGCCAATGAATGCATAAAATTCAGAATGCGTATTTCTCAAGTAGACATTCATATTGCGTAAAACGACAAACGCCAAGATCGGAATCCAAGAGATATAAGGATGTACGGTATTGTACACAAACTTGTTTTCGCGAGTCAATTCAAACCAAAAATACCAGACCATGGCTATCATAGACAAAGTAGCGGCAGATTGTTTGATCAAAGACCAGCGAGGATGATCTGTGATTTTATGCTCGGTGATCTTGATGAATGCAAAAGCACAAAGCATACCCACATAGACAATATAAGCATCCAAGGCTAAACGGAATCGCCATTCAGCTGCATTCCAGTGCACATTAAATAATGTTTCCAACACAGAAAAAACAAATTCAAGAATACCAGGCACACGAATAAAAGCTGTAGTAACACAACAAGAAACTACAAGTTTAGCAAGCATAAATATTGGTACCTTGTTCCATCTGTTTCCAGTATACATAATAAGCCAAATAGCCAAGAACCAAAAGGAAACTAGCGGTGTAAAGTAATAGCTAAGGTAATCTGTATCCATTAAATATTGTAGTACAAACGTCAAAAAGTTGAGTCGCACCATGACATTCAGGATACGAAATATGCCAAAATCAGCTTTTTTGTAAAAAAAGAAGAAGTGGCCATAACCTGTCTGGAAAAGATAGGCCGCAACTAAAATACGGACTGCATTGTAAATACCGGAGGTTCCTGAAGCACCACAAAAATGATATACTAGGATAATAACTTGCATCCATCCTTTCCACTCGTCTGTCTGATGACGATTCAAAAATCCTTGATCACCTTCTTTTTTGTGCTGTAATTTGACCATACCGAATACTGAAATAGCGATCATCATACCGGTAAATATTTTAGAATTAAAGTTTTTTTGTATCTTGCCAAACAACTGAGTTCTGTCGCAATAATACATGTACATAACGCATAATCCAAAGACAAAGATCGCATTCAATGTCTTTTTTGCTGGAAATAATTTGTTGGATAGAACAGCTGTTGCAAACATAAGTATCTTTTTGTCTTTTTCTCGCTATTCTTACCTGTAGAGTTTTTGATGAAGAATCCAATGGGAGCCCAAACAAAAAACAAAATCATAAAGAAAACTTGATACCATCTTGGTTTGGGATATTCAAAACAACAAGTGTTACTAAAGGGAAATTTCTTATCGAGTTGATTGTTGCATCTGTAGTTCAAAGCAATTTGCGCTTGAGCTGTTGTAACATCCGAATTAAAGTGAAGACCATCTTCGGTCCCACTTGCACCAGCCTGGATACTTACTTGATTCCATACAAAAGGAACAGCAAAGGGTGTTGCTGGAACCAATTGACTCTCCCTCTCTTTCAAGTAATTGTTCATTCTGCTAATCTTTTCGTTCGTCATAGTGGCTGAGCGGTTTACTCCTAATCTTTCATAATTGGGCCATTCTACCGGACTAAGCAAGACGTTATCTGCGACTTCTGATGTTGATTGTACCGAGTCAAAGACTAAATCAACAGCCTTTTTCCATTCATCAAAATATTCAGTGCCTAAATAGTGCATTTGCCAGGCACCTGTCCCAACAACCAACAGACTCGGCCTTTCAGCAGAAGGCATTTGCCCTTGCAATATATCCTTTGTCTCGTTCAGGTAAGGGTCCCACCAAAATTCCATTACCAAGTTTTGATCATTAAATACATATTTGCGGTTGACATGTGCTTCCCCTGATAAATCTGCACTAGGCTGAACTAAACGAATCGCCGCAAAAAATTGCTGTCTGGCTATAGAATCACCAATATAAACAACTCGAGAATGACCAAGACACTCTCCTATTTCGGGCGCTTTATAGTTATGCAGCATACAACTTGCTGGTTGCCAATTTTTTGTATTGTCATCGGTCCACCAGCCATCATGTAATAAGCTTGAACAGCGGTTTTGGTCTCTTACATCTAAAGACAATGAGATGAGTACGAAACAATCTCGGTAAAGAAGAGCAAAAAGAAAGGCTTACCAAGGGTATATCTTGCTAATAAAGCCAGAAATACAAGCAGAAAGGTTGAGAGACAACCGGTCTTTATCAGCTTGTGAAAAACAGCAGATTCAGATGAAGTCCCCATCTTGGTTACTAGACAAAAAAAAAAGGAAATACTAATTTGTTAAGGTTTTGTAGATCATTTCATGATTTAAAATCAGTTGTGGGGCTTGAAAAAAAAATCGAGAACATTCAACCGCCACAAAAAGTAGAGATAGCAAGCATCCAAAGAGTTTGTTTTGGAAACAGTAGAGATGTTTTTAAAAATAGTATAGTTAGGTTTAAAAGAGACAAGAGATACGTTATAGTAAAAAAAATATATTAGAAGAAACAACAACTGAGTCTACATATTCTAAAATTAATAAAAGCTTATCAAATAAGAAAAAAAGATAGTTTATTATAAAAGCGTCCTAGAAGAAAAGTTCGAAGGAAAAGGCGCTCATAAATTATGGGGTGTCTTGATGGATCAACTAAGTCCATCGTCGGTCGGTATGGCACGAAAAGAACGCGTATACACGCGAATCCCTTATGCAGAGCTTCGACCCAAGATGGAGTCTCGACAGTTCGGTTCCACGGAACACAGTTATTGGCGGCCCTAAGAACAGTTGCTGATCACCAACTGTGAAGAATAGCTTCTGATCCTCTCCTAAAGGATAACCACAAACTTCTGAAGCTAACAATACCGAACCAGTTGCCGCCGATTAAGACAGAGGAGAAAGCGCAACAGAGCTCATTAAGCTCTCCTTGGTAACAACCATTTCTCTTCAAAACAGTCCCTTCTATTTGCTTTAAGCCTTAGGAATGAAGAAATCAGGAAATGCCATGAACCAGAAAAGGCTATGGTCCAGAAAATCAGAAGCAGAGCCTTGTGTTGCCGCGACACACTATGAAGGTATTAAAACTTACACCTTAAATTCTGTAAGATGGGCAACAAAGTAGCCAACCTTGATCAACATGGCTTTGCAAAAGAGAGAGATTAGCAAAACACAGTTGGACATATGCTCTGCATAGATAAGGTCTTGATGAGCACACATCAAAATGGAGTAAAAAGGGAAAGGAATATGCCTTTAGTGTTTTTTGCTTTAATCTAACGTTGAATTTCTACAAATCATCCCAAGACTATGATGTTGTGATACTATACATATAAAGAATGTCTATCTAAAGAAGCAAAGGGCTGCATGGCAAGTTTGTTGTATTTTCTGCTCTCGATTGCTTACTTCTAGTCTTGAATAAGCTGATGAATCATTAGCATTATTCGCTTGTAGTAGTGCTTTTAACAAGATATTCTGATCTGATGTTTCTTACTTTTGTCTGTTACAGTGAGGGATTATGCTTTCTTATTGACTGTCCTGGCATTACAATGAGGGGAGCGCATAGGCAATGCTGCTGGTCAACAATGATAATAGCTGAAGAAAACTTAAAGATATAACAATACTGTCAATATCCTTTCATACGACATTCATTACTTATCGTTTTCAAAACTGCTATTTAACCTCAAAAGCAATAATTGTTTTAGTATAGTCTATTCGTTTATATTTTGTGCTAAAATGAGTGGTTACTTGTTGAAAACAGCCTCTTTTATACTGATAACAGTGTACAATAAAATTTGAATGGAGATTTGAAGGCAATACTCAAATTAAGTCGCCTTTTCCATCTTGTTAAACTCGTTTTCTTTTCCTCAGAAATACCTAGAGATGACCTTAGCTTATTTCTGCGAGTTCAGACCTATAGCACAACTGTTTAGCAAACACATTTACCAAAAACTAGAGCTTCTGATGCACGTTTCGAGTATTTATGCTTGTCGATAGCTCTATTTTTGTCTTGAAGCGTCAAAAAGAAGATTGAGAGTTGTCAAACAAGCTTTTTCATGGGTAATACCCTTTGCTCAAAAGGTCATTTTGACCATTTTTTACAAGTTGCTTTTTTTTTACCTAAATCAATTCCAAGAGTACCACGAATGTTAATGAGAATGTTCTGTAGGTACATAAAGTATCTATGCGTGTGTAAAAAGGCTTTATACTACCATTGTATGTACATTTAATAACAGAAAATGTGCATCATTTCAAGAGGCAGATTGTCCATTACATAAATTTGTGAAATTAAAGATATCTTGCTGCTAAAAACTATTTCACCCTATTTATACCTCAGAAGAATCGTAATGAACAGCAATGAAATACACTTGAACTGATAAAATACGTGTAATGACTAAAATTGCTTCTTTCTCTTTTCTTTTCAAATTGCTTACAGTTATTCTCCTCTCAAAATAGATGCACATGCAAAATAGACATTTTCAAAGTGAACAGTGTATCCCCTATAAATCATGCGTGCCTTGGACCATGACTGTTTTTCCTCTTCCTATTCAAGGCTTGCCGTTCAAACTGCGCCCCAAAATTACACTTTCTTTCATTTGGATCGATCTCACCATGTCAGAGAGCAAAGGTTTATTCGCTATGTTTGGTGGTGCACCCGCACCAGCACCTATCAAGAAGGCATCAGATATTAAGACAAAAGAAGAACTTGCTCGAGAAGCTGCTTTCGCTCTCACTAAAAAGAAGACGGAAGAAACCAACAGTGGTGGGGGCGCTTGGAAGACAGCTAGTAAACGAGGCTCCAGAGGTTTGGCCTTGAAAGCTAGAGCCATGGGAAAGTCAGTTACTGTCAAGGAAAACAAAAATACAATTGCTGATTTTGATGAAGAAGATGTTTCTATGGGTGGTATGGGTAAAAAGAAGAAGCGATAGTAAGTCATCATAAACTGCTGGACTGTCTCACTTACCTTGAACTATAGCACTCCTTATGGTGGCCGAGGCAGAACAAGATCTGCTAATGCACCTAACCTCAAAAACAATGTTGATAAGCGTGTAGATATCTTGGTAAGTAGAACAACGACGAAAAATAATGAATTTAACGTGGATCAAGATTACAGGTTTTGAAGCAGGTACTGAAGCAGGTGTTGTACCTTTTTTAGTCCAGAAATCAAAAAAGAGCTGGGAGCCTGTGGAGGTAAAGTTGGATCAAGGCCAAATGCTCTTGACAGTCAACGATCCAGTCATTGCTCGCATCCTTGTTCGCTTAGATGGTTACATTTTCGGTGCTCAACAGCTTCGTATTCGTTTATACGAACATTCTGCATTACCAATGACACCTGTTGTCGATGCCAACAATAAGAAACTAGGCACCATGGATATTTTGCGTAACTTTTTGTTAAGTCGTTGGCATTCTGAGGCTCGATACTTGAATCTAGATGACATGAGTAACGATCCCATCTTGAAAAAATCAGCCATCAAACCACCTGGTGCTCCTGGCGCAAATGCTATTGTGGGTCCTGCCATGATGAAACTGGCTGGGGAAATGTTTGATGATGTTATCACTATCTCTTTTGCTCGCAATCAACTGAAGAATGTTCAGCCTATTTCAACTCTGGCGCAGTATTTGCCTAATATACAAAACATCTCGTTTCAAGACAACTTGATGAAGGAATACGAAAGTTTGGAAGCTTTGAGTGGCACAGGCAAGCTAAAGAATTTGAAAGAACTCTTGTTGGCTGGCAACCCCTTGCGTAATTCTGAAATCAAACAAAGAGGAAATGATCGTGCTTATGTTCGTAACATTGTCAAGCGCTTCCCCTCATTAATCTTGTTGGACCATTTTCCTGTCACGTTGTCGGAATCGGAGGCTGCTTCTATACATAAGACGGGTCGTGTCTTGCCATTAGATAATCAGCCCAACTTTTTCGATAATGAAATCAGTCAAGCCGCTGCTGTTGATTTCATTACAAAATACTATGGTTGCTTTGACTCGAATAGAGCTGTATTGGCCCCTATTTATGATGGTAATGCTGTCTTTTCTGTAGTATCCAATGTTAAGCTACGAGCTCAACAAAAGCTGAGAAGAAAGGAAAAGAAGAAAATGATGGACGATGAAGAAAAGTCGACCTGGTCTAGCATAAGTCGAAACTTGATAGGCAAGTCAAAGCGTAAGTGATGCCGTCCTAAATACATAGACCGCTCATTCTTTGATGATAGGACAAGAAGGTAAAGGCCTTGTAGTAGGCCCTGAAGCTATTGGAAGCACCATTGTTCGATTACCATCTACTATTCACGACCTTACGAAAACAGAAGATTTTGTTGTTGATGCTCACCAAACACCCGTTGGTTTATTAATCAATTTACATGGCGAATTTAAAGAAGAAGAATCTACACCACCTCTTTCTTATGATCGCACGTTCCTTCTTCGACCTGCTACACCTGATTCACCGTAAGTAGTTTTTTTTTATGAATTTGATTTATTTATTCTCTGTATTAGTGCAATGGCTGCTGGATGGCCCTATGTCATTATGAACGACATGTTATGCGTTCGTGACTATGTAGGCAACCAAGGATTCAAGCCTCAGGTAGTTGTACCTAAAAGTATCTTTATTCCATCACCAGGTCCATAAACACTCCATTCTGCATTTACTACATTCCCATTATTTTTTATTACTATTATATATTCCTTAGAGCAACTGTTCCATTAAATTTATAAATCCTGAAGCATAACTGCCTCCAAACATAGCAAAATGATTTAAATGATGATAAGCCTCGTAAATCATAAGTCTGTCTTGTCTTCCTTCTGATGGAGATACAGGAATATGGTCTTGTTCTGCTAAAGCATCATCATAAGCATCAAAGCAATCTTGAGAAAAGCCGCCAAACATCTTCATAATCCCATGTTCAGCTTCATAATGGCCATAGAATGAGGCGGGATCAAATATAATTGGCTTGGACTTTTCAGATGCATAAACAGCCCAATTACCACTCCATAAATCACCATGCAATAAAGAAGGCTGCACTTGACCTAGAGCGTCTTGTCCTAGCCAATGATCAAGGCGAGAACAAAGGGAGTTACCCAATCGATCTACATCTGCATGATCGCCACGAACCTGCTCTAATAGAGGCAATAAACGCTGTGATCTATAGAATTCACACCAATTTGAGCACCATGCATTGTCAAGTTCAGTTGTACCGCACCAAGATACGACATCAAAACCAAATTTTCCCTCCTTTTGAGATGAAGAAGAAGCGTGTAGAGTAGCTAGAGCGTGTCCTAAGTTTTTTTGTGCTTCAGAAGATCGGTTATTGGTCATTGGAATATATTCTGTCACGATAAATGCTTTGTTTTCAGTAGCATGATAAATGGGCTTAGGAACTAGATCAGGTACAGTTTCATTCATACGTTCAAGTGCTAATGACTCTGCGCGGAACCATTGGGATGCTTTTTTATTTGCATTTGTCTATAAATTGTTGTAGTATTGAATGGAATCTTGTTGAACTTACCTTGATGAAATAATCACCTTTGTCTGTAGAATAACACGATGCTTGACTGATACAGCCCCCACTTAATGTCTTGATGCTTTTAATGGTGGTACAGAGATCAAGTCTTTTTAATTCTGAAGAGATATAGTCTTGCGTATCAGACATGTTTAGCGAAAAAAGAACAAGGCAAACACTCGAACCAAAATAGTGTTGACTTACGTCACATTGTTATCAGACATTGCTTTTTTTTTTCAGGACACTTTTACAATATGTTTCTATGGGAGGCAGAATATGCATATCACATGATTCATTTGCCTTGATGATATGCCCGGACACTTCATGTGAAAATCATTAATGCAATTGGTCCCACACTTTATTGTTGGTTGCTAAAATAATATCACACGCATTCTTCATTCCTCATCTCACTTATGGACTTGCTTAATCAAATAGTACTTGATCCCAAATACCACGACATTCTTTCCGTTTTGAAAGGATTTCGTAGTGGTATTGTCTATGGTACTAAAGTGAGATTCCCTCACGCTCTTGTTATGACAGTCTTGTTTAAAACGGGCTCGTAAGTGTATCTAGTATTACGAGTAATATTTATTGTGAACTATAGTTTGGAGAGCAAAGTCAAGGGCATTTTTAAGGCTACTAAGCAACATGCACAAAACTTGGGTATGTTTGCTACTATCTACAAGACCCTTATGATTATCCAAAGAAAAACAAACGGTGGTAAGGAAGCCAGCATTCACCCTTTTATTGCGGGTGTTGTTGGTGGTTATTATGTATTTGGTGAAAACAACAGTATCAACCAACAAGTATGTACAATGATAACTAGATAAGAGAAGCTTATTCATGACAGATCATTCTCTATCTCTTTTCAAGAGTGGTTTTGGCTCTTGTTAAGGTCCCAGTAAAGAGACAGATTATTGATGCGCCTCAACATACATATCCTGTCTTTGCTGCTGTTGTTTGGGGCATTGTGATGGTAAATAAACATAGGATCTTCTTTATGACTAAACCATTCTATATAGTGGCTGTTTAGATATGAGAAAGACACAATTCAACCTTCCCTTAGAGCCTCTATGCAGTATATTTATCGTGATTCAGACACTTGGTCTTCATTCAAGACTTTATTGTGGCACAACAAATAGAAAGTATACCAACGTATGTTTGTTCATATACAATACAGAGCAATTCTTTTTTTTCATTTTATTTTATTATATGTACGGGTATAGACAAATATACAAAGATGAATTAGTTTTCAACAGTTGTGGCAGCAGCACGTCTGTTCTTTAACAAAGTAGCTTTTGTCATATCCAATTCAAACATGTTGCGCTTTCTCCTTGAAGTGGGTGTGATTACATGTGATTCTTTCTTTTGCTGTGGTGTTGCTGTATAAGCTGCAGGTGCAACACCTTTTCCATCATGAACTAATTGTTCTGCCATAGCAATGACTTCTTTATCAATACCATGATTAATTTTTGGATCCTTGTCCTCTTCTTCGTTCTCTTCTTCCTCCTCCTCCTCTTCTTCTTCAGAAATAGAGTCATAACCACCAGCAAAAGCATGTTGCTGAGGTGTGATTCGCTTCTTCTTTTCTTCACCCATTCTTTGTACTGCATAGGTAATATCCAAGATTTCTTTGATTGAATTGATACCAGGTGAAAAGACATCTGTTCTTTTACCAGTATTGGATGTGTTTGACGCAGGTTGGTTCTTGATGTCGCCTTCTTTGTGCATTCTGTTTTGTTCTTTTTGAGCAGCAGCAGCCTTCACAGCAGCATTTTGCATAGCTTGTGCTCTAGGATCAAGCTTCTTCTTTTCAACTGTTGGCTTGCTCAACTTGTCTTCCGCCACAGCAGGAGGAGGGAATTGAGACTTGGTCACCCAAGGATGTTTAAAGAACTCCTCGATGGTGTAACGTTTTTCAGGATCAACTGTGAGTAGGTTTCGAATCAAGTCTTTAGCAGCGGGAGAAATAGGGTCCCACCAAGGACTCAAAAATGTATATTCACCACGGGCTACTTTGTGTGTGAGGGCGCGAATCGACTCGTCGTAAAAAGGAGGAAAACCGCACAAGATAGTGTAGAGGACGCAGCCAATAGCCCACATGTCCACTGATTTGGAATACTTTTGGTCTCTCACAATCTCAGGTGCAGTGTAGCCAACAGTGCCACAGGGTGTCAATGTCGAATTGTCCCAGATAACTTTGGATAGACCAAAATCAGCGAGTTTGACAACGCCAATACCACCACCACCTACTCCTTCAGTAAACACACCTTCATCTTCCTTGTCTTCGTCACCAAAGGGGTTTTCTACTTTATCTCGCTTAATGATAGGAATAGGCTCAAATAAGATATTCTCAGGCTTGATGTCACTAATACAGAAGATAAGAAAACTAGTCAACCAATAATTAGAGGGACTTACCGATGAACTACGCCACATTCTTCATGAAGATATCGAATACCTTCAGCAACTTGAACAATAACATGTCTTGCAAGGTCCTCACTGAAATAAGTCAATTTGACAATACGATGAAATAATTCGCCTCCCTGACATAATTCCAAGACTAAAAAGTAATAGTCGTCTGATTCTGAAAACTGGATAAGCTGGACAATGTTCTTATGATTCATGTTACGCATGATTTGCACTTCTTTCAAGATGTTGGCTCTTTCAGTAGCTTTGGTCTTTTTCTTCATGTTGGGATGCAAATGGTTTTTGCCATTCTGTTACACATACATCTTAGTAAGACGTTCATCATGATGACAATTTTTTTTTTTTTTTACCTCGGAAGCATCTAATTCTCGCTTTCGAACAACTTTCACAGCCACTTCTTTGTTTGTCAATGTATCTCTTGCTTTAAACACAAAAGAAAATGCACCTCTGAGTTATCATTAGCAACAAGATAAATCATATATACACACACAAAAAGAAAACTTACTCTCCAATTTTCTCAATCATTTCAAAGCGTTCTAGACCGGGATATTGAGGCAAGACAGTCTTGCGCTGTTTTTCTTCTTGTACAATACGAGTGGCTACATCCTTATTGTTCTTCTTTTCTTCAGCAGTAAGGTCTATGACAACATTAAACAAAAAAAAATAACTTTATTTAATACCAACCTTTAGGGAATGTCTTTTTCTGTTTAAACAGACTTTTAATTTGTGCAAGCATATTGAATCTAAGTTTTTTGATTTTTTTAAAGATCTTTTGTCAACAAAAGTTTAAAAGAGAAGAAAGAGACCGAAAAAGGTTTTTTTTTCTTGTCTGATTTTATAACAGTAAGGATACGACCAAATGACGTCGTAATATACTTTTGATTGCCTGAATTAGTATAAATGACGTACTTTCTATTTCTGATTCGTTCATCATTTTAAAAATCTTAATTTCTTTACCAACTCATTTAAGAAATTGTGTACTTTTGATTTTATTGTGTAGGCAATTTGTCAGAGAATTCATAAGCACCCATATCTTCGTCTTCATCTTGAAGAAAGTAGTTGTCTTTTTTGAGATTCAATTGCTTTCTATTCAATACTCGTTCAATAGTGGGTGTACCGACAAGTTTAGACTGTTCTTCTTCGTGTTGTTGCTGTTGAATTGGTTTTGATGCTCGATTGCTCGGTGAACGCAATGCTCCTGTCCAACGTCGCTGTAATTCTTGATCTGCTACTTTTGATTTCGCTGTCTGTCTTTTTTGAATGAAAATGTCAAAATTTCTTCGTTGCTCTTCACTTTCTGTTTCCATCAGGTTGGTATTGTCCCAGTCTTCTCTGACAGGTGCGTCCTGCCAAGGTTGTTTATCAGATGCTACATGACTCGGTGTATGTTCATAAAAGGACTGCATTGACTCATCATCAGGTGAAATGGATTCGCCCATATCGACTGCTTGAAGACTGTTCTCAGTCAATATACGTGCTGCTTCATTTCTAGGTGTATTTGCTAAACTACTAGGCTCAGTGATATAGGGCATAATACGTGGTGGTGATCGAATAGAATCTGGATTTTTTCTTTTTGTACCAATGAAGCTCATGGAGCCTGAGTCTTCCAAATGAGTAGGTTTTGAGTATTCACTTGTTGTTGTATCTTGTGTTGAATCTTCTTGTATTTGTTTTCTAAGACCCTTTGCATATGCAGAGATATTACTCATAGTATGCTCTCTATTGGTTGAACTGGGCGAGAAAAGTGGTAATGGTGGATCATCATCGTATGATGGTAATTTGGTTCTAAAGTCCATGGCTTCAAAGAAAGCAGACCATACCTATTAGGTTGCTTATGAGTTTATGTAAAACCCTTTTTTTTTTCTTTTACTTTGCTTAGTTCCCATATAGCGCTTGTTTGTTCAGCATATCTCTCAACGCCTGGTATGGTGAGTTCGTTAATAATGCGTGTACACTCTGCGAAATTTTTATCAATTTCTTGCAAGTTAAGAGTCACTTGTTGTTGAAGTTCTTCAAGCTTTTCTTCTGCTTCAGTTTGAGTTAAAGATAGTGCTGACATAAGAGTAACACGCTCCAAAAGAAAATTTCGTTTATTTTTCCAACTCACGCGTTCATAGTCACGTTATGCTACTTGAATCAAACTAAAGTATAGAGCTGCACAATACTTTCACTTGTTTACTATTGAGTCTTGATAGACACGGTGTCTTGTATAAAAAAAACACTTTGTACTGACATAGAACAAGCTTACAAGCGTAAAGAATTAGATGTCAATGGTAGTACCAATTCCTTTGTATAGAATAAGTTTATTTGATCATTGAATGCATAAAATATGTCTACCAGCCTCGAACAGGCACCCAAACATCCACGACAGTATCATCGTCTTCTACAATAAGATATAACGGATGACAAGCAGCAGCCAAGCAGCAATGATTGGGAATAACACGAACCACACTTCCAATTTGCAAATCAGGCCTTGACAAAGTAGACCCATCCAAGCGTTGAAGAATACCATGTTCTTGAGAAATTTTCGTGACAGAAGCAACGATCTTAGGCTTTCCTTGTTGGTCTTTGTCATGCATATCCACAACAAAACCAAAACCCCCTTGAGGGGCTGTGTCTTTTGAGAAGGCTAATGCACCACCATCAATCAAGACACTGTTGCGTTCATGATAAACACTGGCAATACGAGTTGCAACTGAAATGGAGACATCGCCAAAAGTACTTAAGCCAGTAGCCACTTGTTGTTTGTCAAGAAAGGCGAATGCACCCGCATGGACTTCATTGATGTCCTTGAGAATGTCTTTGATGTGATCAGTTTGATGCATGAATGCACTAATGGCCTTCACAGTAGGCGTAGCACCAATAGAAATGTATTTGATATCGACACCATTGTCTTTCAGGAAATCACGGAATTGACGTGCAACATTGCATTCGTTTATGAGGTATTCAAGTGCCTCTTGAGGGCTCTTGGAAGAGTAGGAATGGCCTGCATGTGTGTACATGCCATCAAAAACAACACATGTTGAGTTCTGAAGTCTTTTGGCTAGCTCTACCGTTTTGGAATCGTTTAGAGGGACACCAGCACGTCTAAGTTTCATTTGGTTGGTTACTGATGTCAATGATAATAAACTTACCCATAGCCACAATCTATTTTCAAAAATACATAAATGGGATGAACATGGTTATCGTCTCCAAATCTCTCTTTGTAGTAAGCCTCTAATGCTTCTAGGGTTGCCAAGTTATCTAAATAGAATGATTAGATATACAAGCATGAGTCTCCTCCCCCCCCTTTTTTTTTCTCTTAACCTATGAATATTTGAAACTTGGGTACTTTGGTTGAAAGTTCAAATACATCATCGAATTTATCAGGAGTAATTGGGAAACCAACAAGAACCTACCAGCTTGTGATTGAGCTAATAGTTTGACAAGAAACCTGTTTTTTTTACCTCTTTCAAAAGCCCGCTCTCTACCAAATCAGAGTGAATCATAGCATAGGCTTCGGGCAAAGTGGAAACGACAATAGCATGGCTGTTAGCACCAGTGAGCTGAATACGAGCACCTTCAACAGTCTAACAAACTTATCAATAGGATTTTCTTTGTGTGTCATTATTACCTTGTGTGTCTTGATGTGTACTCTAATATTCAGGCCGAGTTCTGTCGTGATTTTTCCAAGACGGTTACAGTTTCGTTCGAGGATTGGTCTTGAAATAACAAGTGAAGGTGTACGCAATTGATAGAGCTTCTTTCCAACCATTTCACGGACAAGGGTTTCTTTCCATTCAGCTCTAAAGTTGATAGGTAATAATTGGGTTTTGGTTTGCATAGTTATTTGATAATAAAAGGAGAAAGTCAGTCTGAATATTGACATTTAAATCTCAAGAGATGAAACTCAGCATCTCTCATTCTCTCATTCTTTCTCATTCATGAGAAAAGGGAGATATGAGCTAAAAAGTGTTACACGAAATCTCGGTTGATTTGTCACCTTCTTGAGAATAAAATGAAAAGAATAGAGATACTCTAAAACAAATAGCCATTGTATCTTCCATCACTGAGTGTATCATTCTTGCGCTGGTTGCGCTGCAGTGATTAAAATAGATGGAAGCTTTCAAATTGATATTGTACTTTTATATATCACCAGTTATGTTTTGGTTCTAATACCATGCTTATAGATTTTATTATTGCCTTTCTTTTCTGAACCAAACGTCTAGGAAGTCCCCCTTTTTTTTCCGAATTGAATACAACAGCCCTTGGAAGTAAAGGAACACCGACACGGGGTGTACAGAGGGACTAGCATAACCATTGATCCTTGCTTGTCTGACAAGGGCGTATCCTCTTTGCTTCACCTTCAAATGTTTGCTTATGGAGCACTCTCTCCACGAATGATCCGAGCGAAATGTAGATATGATAGAACAGTTATCAAGCAACACAATGCCTTGTGCCTCAAGTCACTTATGACCGATGCCAAAAAGACCATGATTCCTAAACCCAGCAAGCCATTTGCACCCACCTATGTTGCCAAATCAGTAGAAGAGGGCTGGTATGAGTGGTGGCAATCCCAAGGTCTCTTCAGAGCTAGCAGCTCAGATTTTATACCAGCCATTCAAGAAAAGAAGCCATTCACCATGATCACTCCTCCACCCAATGTGACAGGATCATTGCACATTGGTCATGCATTGACATTTAGTGTTCAAGATGCCATAGTACGATGGCGACGTATGAATGGGTATGACGTGCAATGGATTCCGGGCACTGATCATGCTGGTATTGGCACACAATCCGTGGTAGAGAAGATGCTCATGAAAGAGCGTGGATTGACACGCTATGATTTGGGTCGAGAAGCATTCATTGATGAGGTGTGGAAATGGAAAGAAAAGTATGGTAACCATATCTTGCATCAAATGAGACGTATGGGTGCTTCATTGGATTGGGAAAAGGAATTCTTCACAATGGATCGGGATCGTTATGAAGCAGTACAGAATGCATTTATGCGCTTGCATAAAGATGGATTGATTTATCGAGATACTCGCCTTGTGAATTGGTGTTGTGCATTAGAAACTGTGATTTCAGACATTGAAGTGGATTATAAGGACATTACAGGAAAGACGCTGGTCCCTTTGCCTGGCAGATCTAAGCCGTAAGCACGCACGCACATGCACACAAAAGGGGGGAAATGTATGCTGAATTGTTTTTTGTTAGAGTTGAATTTGGTGTTTTACACAACTTTTCATACAAAGTGATTGACCCTAAAATAGACGGTATTCAAGAATTGACAGTATCTACAACACGTATTGAAACCATGCTTGGTGATTGTGCTGTAGCCATTCATCCTCAAGATGAAAGATACAAGGTAAAGTCAATGTGTATGGTACAACTAATAAGTCAATAGAGTCTCCATGGTAAATATGTTTATCATCCTATTCTTAAAAAGGAAATTCCTATTGTATGTGATGAAGAACTTGTTGATATGGAATTTGGTACTGGTGTTGTTAAGGTAAAAACTAAATGTGCTGTCAATCTTATTCACTTTATATGGACTAGATTACGCCTGCTCATGATCCAAATGATTATAGCTGTGCTCGTCGCCATAACCTTCCTATTCAAAGCATTTTCGATAAACTAGGCAAATTGAATGAACATTGTGGATTGCCTGAACTAGTGGTAAAGCCAGATTTTTTTTTAAAAAAAAAAAAAAAAAAAAAAAAAAAAAAAAACTTTTTCATGACAATCAACTAGGGACATGATCGATTTGAAGTACGGGAGACTATTATTGACATGTTGACTCGGTTAGGAAGCTATAAAGGAAGAAACGATAATCATGTCATGCGTATTGCTGTCTGTTCAAGATCTGGGGATGTTATTGAACCCTTATTACAACCACAATGGTACATTAAATGCAAAGAACTTGCTGCTATATCCAAAAAGCAAGTAGAAGACAATAGAATGACCATCGTACCTGATCATTTCACTCAGGATTGGTATAGATGGTTAGGTAAGATGAGCTCGGATGCAATGGTAAGGAAAAATAATAATTCCAAATCACATAGACAACATTCAAGATTGGTGTATCTCTCGACAGTTATGGTGGGGACATGAGATTCCAGCCTATCAGATCAAGACAGCAACAGGTCAACGTAAGCGAATGATCGATTGCTGTATTTGTATATTCACGTGTGCCTATAGACAAAGAGTTGTGGGTAGTAGGGTCTGACAAGAATGAAGCTAATTCGAGAGCTGTGGAACTGTTAGAAAAAGAAGGCTATCCTAAAGATACCCCTTTTGAGCTTATCAAAGTAAAGAAAATACGCATCATGAGGTCTGCTAATATGTGTCATAGGATGACGATGTGTTGGATACATGGTTCTCTTCTGGTCTATTGCCTCTTTCGGCTTTAGGATGGAAAGGTAGAGAAGGAGAGGATATTCCGGTAGGATAGAATGTATATTTTTGTGTTTCTGCATCCGTCTGACATTTATTTGTCTAGAACCGTTATCCACTTCAAGTAATGGAAACTGGATTTGATATTCTCTTTTTTTGGGTTGCACGAATGGCTATGTTATCAAACCATTTTGCAAACGAAAATGTACCTTTTGAGACCATTTATTTACATGCTATGGTAAACTGAGCAGTACGAAATCATGATTGACAAGACAATAGGTGCGTGATGCTCAAGGGCGTAAAATGTCCAAGTCACTTGGAAATGTCATTGACCCATTGCATGTCATTGAAGGCGTGAGTCTACAGAGTATGAAGGACAGTCTCCGTACCTCAAATCTGCCCCAAAAGGAAATTGGAACGTGCGTGCTATGATAACTGCCAATGAAATGTCACTCATCTCTATTATAGGAGTATTCGCAATTTAGAAAAGGAATATCCAAACGGTATTCCGCCTTGTGGCACAGATTCATTACGATTTGCTTTGGTTCAATACACACAACAAACAAGACAAATCAATCTAGACATTTCAAATGTAATTCAGACTTCGCACTTTTGCAACAAGCTATGGAATCTTTTTAAATTTGGTCTTGGTCGCCTAGAACAAAACCCTGGTCTTGAACTTGATAGCATGTCTATCATAAAAGAAGCTCATCATAGTACACTTGCTAACCGTTATATACTGTCTCGTATGGCAGATACAGTCAGTAAATGTCATCAAGCATTTGAGAATTCTCGTCTTTTTGAAGCTACAGACGCATTGCGTCGATTTGTTGTGGAAGACGTATGTGATGTCTATGTTGAATTTTCTAAATCCAACCTGAGTAAACCAGAATTAAGTGAAAAAGAAAAGGTAAAGAAAAAGAAAAAACAAGATACGCATATATTAATTCGTTGCATTAGAATTCAACTTTGAAGATTTTACATGCATGCATGGACATCTCGATACGTTTGGCTCACCCCTTTATGCCTTTTGTCACTGAAGTAAAAAAAAAAACAAAAACAAATAGAGCATGGATGTATGATTGACTTGTTTGTAGGAATTATGGCAACATATGAAATCAACTTTGCCAGAGTTAAACCATCATTCCAATGCACCGTCCTTAATGGTAGAAAGATACCCAGATAATACTTCTTTTGCCCAAATGTATGATAGACAAGTAGAAGACCACTTTAAAGTCGTACTTTCTATCATTCATGCCTCCAGATCATTAAGACAAGGAAACCAAATCAGCATTGGAAAAGAACTTCCTTTTACCATTGTGTATGATGATGTTAAAATATTAGATGACAATGGTCCTCTCAAGCTATACATGAATGAAATCAAAGGTTTTGTAAAAGCATCTCATATCACACTTGTAGATACACAGGTAAGAAATGGTGTCACTTGAACATCAGCGACTAAATTACACAAGGCAAACATGAATATGAACACATGGACTACAAAAGCGATAGATGATAAACTAAAGATCCTTGTCCCAACCACGGCTATTGTAAAGGCTCAACTCGAAGCAGCTGCATCTAAAGGTGTTGACATAGAAACAGTCATTCAGAACAAGAATGCACAACTCACTAAAAAACTAACCAAAGTAGAACTGGACCTTGAGAAATTAAACATTCGTATGAGCAAACCAGGCTATGAAAGCGCTGTACCAGAAAATGTCAAAGAAAAGAACAAGTAAGTTTAAAAAGTATCACAAGACAAATTAACTTTTTTTTTTAGTCAAAGATTGACAATGCTTTTATTGGAGAAAAACGCACTTCAAAATGATCTAAATACGTTAGATTTAATCATGCAAGAAAGAAAATAAATATTTCAAAATGACGCAAAGAAAAAGAAAATAGAAAAAGACACTCATCATGTGAAGACTTCAGAAAGTCCTTGCTTCCTTGTTTAAGCGAATTTGAGTCAAATCAGATATAGGTGGAGGGGGCGCCGAGACGAAATTTTCGGACCTAAATAGTATATGCTTGATTGGAAGATTTACTGCGGTCAAATAGTTTGACCGACCAGTATCTATTTTCTATCGTGTAACATTTATTGGAATCGAGCATATAAAATAACTTGCGAGATCAAACAAATTTCGCTATTTTTTTTTCCATTTTCATCACTGTCTTGTTGATCTGTCATGACAGATTTAAGTGTATCGTCGCGATCGACGTCAACTAGTCAAACATTTCATGATGACAAAAAAAGAAACAGCAATACCTCTGACATCAAAGCTGCCTCTTCCGCAAACCTCAATGACGAAAAACTGTTATTAGAAGAAGAAATTGCAGCTATTCCCATCAAACAAATGGAGTCCAGACATGCCGAAGAAAAAGAAAAAGAAGAAAAAAAGAAAAAGAAGAAGGAGAAGCAACCTACCGTACCCATTTATAAATTATTTCGCTTTGCTACTCCACTAGAGCGCTGTATGATCCTTATATCTCTCATTTTTTCCATTGGTGTTGGTGCTCTCCAACCTATCAGTATCATCATCTTTGGTCAATTCATGGGAACTATCTCTACCTCAATGGTCACTGGTGATCTTGAGCGACTTGCCAACGATGCTCACCCATTAATTCTTATTTTTGTATATATGGGTACTGGTGTTTTGGTCGCCGCTTATATCACAAACTGCTTTTGGGTTCTCACTGGTGAAAATCAAGTACGACGAATCCGTAACATGTACGTGCATGCTATCCTTCGTCAAGATATGGGTTGGTTCGATAAAGCCGAAGAAGGTTCCTTAACTACTCGATTGGCTACTGATACTCAATTGATTCAAGATGGTATTTCTGAAAAGTTTGGTCTCTTTGCCATGTGTGTTGGTCAATTCATCACTGGTTTCGTTGTTGCTTTTGTGAAGGGTTGGAGACTTGCTGGTAAGCTGATGAGTTATACAATTAATCAGATCACTTATATTTCGAATAGTCGTCATGCTTGCCACACTTCCTGTCTTGGCTGGTGTTGGTGGTGCTATGGGCTTTTTTATTACCAAGTACACTCTTAAATCACAAGACTCTTATGCTGAAGCCGGTTCAATTGCTGAGCAAGTCTTTTCTGGTATTCGAACTGTTTACTCTTTCTCTCTACAAAACCGTTTTGCTGACTTGTATGAAAAGAAGTTAGTCAAGGCCATGGATGTTGGTATCAAGAGAGGTCAAGTGCTTGGCTTTGGTTTTGGTGGTTTCATGTTTACTCTCTTTTCTACTTATGGTCTTGCCTTCTGGTATGGTTCCAAGTTGACACGCGAAGGCCTTATGTATGGTCAAGATGTTCTCGTCGTCTTTTTTGCAATGATTATGGGTGCCATTGCCTTCTTGCAATTGCCTCCTAATCTTTCTGCTGTTTCTTCTGCTTGTGGCGCTGCTTATAAAATCTATGCCACTATTGATCGTGTTCCTCCTATTGATGCTGATAAGCAAGATGGTTTGGCTCCTGAAAAGATTCTCGGTGAAATCGAATTTAAAGATGTCAAATTTAGTTACCCCACTCGTCCTGACATTACCATTTTGAAGAAGCTCAACTTAAATATCAAGCCCGGTATGACTGTTGCTTTTGTGGGTCCATCTGGTTCTGGTAAATCAACCAGTGTTCAATTGTTACAACGTTTCTATGATCCTTTGGAAGGCTCAGTTATTCTTGATGGTAAAGATCTCAAAGATTATAACGTTGCTTGGCTGCGTAGCAAGATTGGTGTTGTGTCTCAAGAACCTGTCTTGTTCAATATGACTATCAAACAAAACTTGTTGATGGGTGTTACTGAAGAAGTGACAAATGACGATATTGTTGTTGCCTGTAAAAAAGCTAACTGTCACTCTTTTATCTCTCAATTGCCTGATGGTTACGAGACACTTGTTGGCGAACATGGTGGTATGCTTTCCGGTGGCCAAAAGCAACGTATTGCTATTGCCCGTGCTATTCTTAAGAACCCTACTATTCTTTTATTGGATGAGGTATGTGTATCATATCGAAAAGGACTTAATTTAACATTTGACTTTTAGGCTACTTCTGCTTTGGATACTCAGTCCGAGCGTTTGGTCCAAACTGCTCTTGATGCTGCTGCTGCTGACCGCACAACCATTGTCATTGCTCACCGTCTTTCTACTATTAGAAACGCTGACCTTATTGTTGTCATGCAAGGTGGTGATCTTGTTGAACAAGGCACCCATAACGATCTTGTTGAACTTAATGGTGTCTATGCTGATTTGGTCAGAAAGCAAGAAATTGCTACCAAGCAAGTGGGTAGTAATGTTGAAGAACTTAACTCTGAAGAATTGTTGAAACGTGAACAACAAGAATTGATTGCTGAAAAGAAACGTGCTGAAGAAGAACTCATTAATGAAAAGGACACTACTGCCAACTTGTTCAAGACTACAAGTCGTGCTTCTGTTGATGCTTATGAACTCAAGCTTCGTAAAGAAAAAGAAGAACGTAAACAAGCCATGAAGCAAAGTGCTCCTCTCGGCAAGGTCTTGAAACAAATGCGTCCTGAATGGCCTTTGTTGATCACTGGTGTCTGTGGTGCTGCAGTTGCTGGTGCTGTCTTCCCTTGTTTCGCTTTGATTTTCGCTCAAGTACTTTCTCAACTTGTTAGCCCTGATACGACTCCTCCAGGCCCAATGGAAGGTACTAATCTCTACTCTTTCTTGTTTGTCATTATTGGTATTGCCGCCCTTATTGGTTTTGCTACTCAAGTTATTTGCTTTGAAGTTGCAGGTGAACGCTACACCAAGCGTCTTCGTGGTCAAATTTTCCGTGCTTTCATGAAGCAAGAAATTGGTTTCTTTGATGAAGACGATAACTCTCTCGGCGCACTTACTTCCAAGCTTGCTATTGATTCTAAGAATGTCAATGAATTGGTTACCAAGACATGGGGTGATATTACTCAAATTATTGTTACTGCCATTACTGGTTTAGCTATTGCTTTCTCTCAAAGTTGGATGTTGACTTTGATCATTCTTTGTATGGCTCCCTTCATTGGTTTTGCTACCTTCTATGAATCCAAAATCCACCGTGGTTTTGAAGACAAAACAAAAAAAGCAAATGAACAAAGTGGTGAAGTTGCTGGCGAAGCTATCAAAGAAATCCGTACAGTCGCTGGTCTCAACAAACAATCTTACTTTGAAAACAAATACCACAATGCTACTGATCGTCCCCATCGTCTTGCTCAACGTAAGGCTTATATGTCTTCGCTTGGTTATGCTATGCAACAAGGTATTACTCTTTATACAAATGCCGTTGCTTTTTACGCTGGTACTCAGCTTATGTGGCACCATGGTCTTGCTTTTAACAAGATGTTTACTTGTATGATGACCATCATGATTACTGCTCAAGGTATTGGTAGAGCTTCCGTTTTCACAACCACTTATGCCAAGGCTAAATACTCTTCTATTGCTGCTTTTGAAATTCTTGAACGTGAGCCCTCTATTGATCCTGACCTCGAAGGTATCGAACCTAATCGTTCCCAAATCAAGGGTGATATTGATTTTGAAAACATCACTTTCCGTTACCCTGCTCGTCCTGATGTCTCTATCTTTAATGGTGAATTCAATTTACACGGAAAGGCTGGTCAAACCATTGCTCTTGTAGGTCCCTCTGGTTGTGGTAAATCCACGACTATTGGTATGCTTCAACGTTGGTATGATCCTATCACAGGTACTGTCCGTCTCGATGATAACAACGTCAAGAACTACACCCTCGGCAATTTGCGTAGCCATACATCCCTTGTAGGTCAAGAACCCGTCTTGTTTGATATGACTATTGCTGAAAACATCCGCTTTGGTGTGGATGAAGGCAAAGAGGTGACTCAAGAAGAAATTGAAGCTGCTACCAAAGCCGCCAATATCCACAAGTTTATTTCTAGTCTTCCTAATGGATACGATACCCGTGTTGGTGATAAAGGTTCTCAATTATCTGGTGGTCAAAAGCAACGTATTGCTATTGCCCGTGCTTTGATTCGTAAGCCTAAGGTTCTCTTGTTGGACGAAGCTACTTCTGCCCTTGATAGTGAAAGTGAAAAATTGGTGCAAGCAGCTATTGATAACATTCTTGAAGAAGGTGGCCGTACAACAATAACCATTGCTCATCGTCTTTCTACTATCCAAAATGCCGACTTGATTTGTGTTGTCAAGAATGGCCGTGTGATTGAACAAGGTACTCACTGGGAGTTACTCAAGTTAAATGGAACTTACAGTGAACTCGTTTATCAACAATCACTCAATGCTCATTAATACGATGGTTTATCTACCTCTTACTTTTTTATATCTTCTAGACTTGCTTCTCCTAAATTAATCATAATCTACTTGTATACTATAAATCTTTTTTGCTTCTAAAAAACAAATAAATACTTTACCGTCTTACAAACAAAAAAAAAAATCAAGCTTTGATAGTTAGCATTTGAAGCCATAAACTAGTTTGTAATTTATCAAATGCATGCGAGTTAATTTTTAAAATGTTCAACAATGCTTTTTGCTGAAACTAATGCTAAACTCAATTTGGTTCGATTTCCTTCTTTTGAGTTTCTTATGTTTGGACATACATAAAGGAACACATTTATGCAAAAATATAGCAAGATTTGAGAACAGCTATATAAAACACCGGATCCTGTCCGAACGGTCTAAATAGAGCCCCTGTTTCCGAAAAGTGAACAACGGATTATTTTTGTTGACCAATTTATTTTCCCACAAGCAGGTAAGATTTCCAAAATTTTGGTGGATTGAGTGGAGACGAAAAGAAATGAATGATGAATAAGCAAATTTCTTTTAACATAAATCTAGAAAGGTGTAATAGAAACATGACTGAGTCAAACATATTTTTTAAGACTTAAATGAACAATGAATTTCATTTTTAATTTAATTTATAGATTTTTCTTTTTCTTTTTCTTTTTAAAAAAGAGGGGGTCGGCGTCACTTTGCGGGTAGTGTAAGGCAAAGGACACCTGTGGATTCCAAGGATAGCAAGCCAGAGCCTTGGATTCCTGGCGGAAAAAATTAGATTAACAACGTGAGGGACAATGTCCCTCATTATAGTTGTTAAACTATAAAGAACAGATACTACACTTGATCTTAGCCAAAAGGCCTGAGAGGATAAGGAAAAAATCGTTTCTGCCTTTTGAGCCTTCTTTTATAGTTTTTTTTTTCTCTCAAAATTTTTCGAAAAAGGACAGTCTTCTGGACTGCTTTGGACTGCTGATGGCTTGATTAGGAAAATTATACACGAGCTACGACGCGTAGTGTATCGATTCTATGCTAGCAACTTGAGCTTACAAAGTTTAGTCTTCACGCAGCAAGTGTCATTCTTTTGCTCTTTATAGATTCTATCATTATTCCATTACTATTGAGCAGTATCTACACATCAATGTACAAAAGAAGACTTTTATGTTGCTCCAAATAAACTGTGACACAAAATCCTGTCTCTAGACATATTTATATCTGATATAGCCAGTATGTTATGAGATCTGTCGGCAATACAAACAGAGGTTGTTGTATGACGAAATGTAAAGTTTAAGGCAAAGAAAGTATTGACGATTAACAAATATATTGCAAGATATCAATGTATTCTTGGGAAAAAATCCCTTCCAATAATAGCTTTCAATAACGTTGGTTGTTTAGGACCTGAAGTGAGCAATAGGCTTATAGCTTGCATCTATTTCCTTTGATCACTTGCACAATATCATCTCCATTTAATATTTTTTTGTTTTCATAGATCCGTAAATTTCTTTCTTTAGCATCAATGGCCACCTAAAGATATATTTGAACCATCAAAGTACAAAAGCAATTCTTGAATCACTACGTCTTATGATACCCTTACTTTACATCAAAAACAAAAGTTTCTGCAGCAAGCCATAACGAAAAATAGTTGTCTAGTCAAAATAAACATAACCTAATTGTTAGATCTGAGAAAGTTATATGAAAATTATACACGACGCGTTCAAGACGATACAGACTATTTTTCGTGTTATCTCATGAATACCCATAGTAAGCAGCGCGTTTTTACTACATTCTCAAGTTCCATGCATTCAAATAGACTACTTCACTTGCAATTGTAAGTTGATTTGACATCATCTTTCTGTATTTTTAGACCATTCCTTATTTTTTGATCAAAATACAGCCCATGAGACACTCAAAACACTTTCAAAAATACTACACCATACAATACTTGAAGGGTCTCAAACTGATAAAAAGTACAAGTGCATTACCCTCAAAGACCGAAGCTATAGCGTTTTGGCTGGGAAAATGATTCCTTTGCCTCAGGTAACATTGCTTTTCATCTTTAATTGAAGATATACCACAACTTCTTAATAAAACATTTGGAATCCCCGTTCCAGAGATTTCTGTCAAAATAAATGGATCTGGATCAGCATTGATTTAGAAATCAAAACTTACCAATTTGAGCAGATTACTATTCAGTAGCTCTTCTAAAACTCAAGTACATGGTACAAAACAGACCCTCAATGAGCCCTATATTAATTGAACAGTAAAATATCAAAGCCATTTGTTATGTTGCAATAGCCATATGTCAAAAACAAGAAGGGCACACAAAATGCTCAATTGATAAGATAGCTGCACAACATAAGAACGAGGATGAAACTCAGAACATTTAGAGAGAGGAGGTCTGCATATTTAGAAGGCGTATAAAAAAAAAGTCTTTCTTTCAAAATTAAATGGTACAACGCGGTTTATTTATTGTAGTTGAAGGTTGCGATCGTTCAGGCAAGACAACCCAATGTGGTATTCTTGTCAACAAGTTAAAGCAAGCTGGTATGGACACTGAACTTGTCAAGTTTCCAGGTAAGTTATCCTTATCAAATGCTCCTGAATAACCATGATACAGATAGAACAACACAAACTGGTAAAATGATTGATAGTTATCTTCAACAAAAGAGCGACCTAGATGATCGTGCTATTCATCTTTTGTTTTCTGCTAACCGTTGGGAAGCTATGTAAATAAAAACGCGTTCATTTTGCGATATTGACAATTAAACAGGAAAACCTTACAAGAAAAGTTAAATCAGGGTACAACTTTGGTTGTGGATCGTTATGCATTCTCGGGGGTTGCTTTTTCTTCAGCAAAAGGATTAGATTTAGCATGGTGTAGACATCCTGACGTTGGATTGCTGACACCTGATATTGTCTTGTTTCTTGATTTGAATATTGACGAAGCTGAAAAACGAGGCGGATTTGGACAAGAAAGATATGAAAAGAGAGAATTACAGGTCAAGGTTAGAAAAGAATTTTTTAAGTTAAAAGATAACACTTGGAAGGTAAAATGTCAAAAAAAAAGAGACATATATTGATCCTTTGTTTAGCTGATTGATGCTAGTCAATCTAAAGAACAAGTAGAACAAGATATTTGGGATATAGTCCAAGCATTTGATAAGAAAGATTTGAGAACATTAGAGTTTGATTTATGGAAATAATACTTATTTGTTCATGGGATACTGACAGGCTACATAAACTATTGATCTTAATTATTGACATCAGTTTCAAGATTGAATAAAAAACACTTGTCCCAAAAGCTATCTATACTAACGTGTAATGGCCTATGTACGGAAAGTACATATAGAAATCCAACAGAATTAACTGTGGTTAGGGGGGAGAGAGAGAGTACCAGCGGGCATCAGTAAAGAAACAAAGAAATAAGCGTTTCTTTTTTTGCGCATTGTGTAGTTTCAATTGAAATAAATAACTAATAGATTCTCGATTTTTTTTTTCTCAAGGAAAAGAAGGATATTTAAACAAGAGTTGTTACTTTTTGAAGTGGGCATTGGAGTGGATAAAGTGTTTCCCTTATCTATACATTTATCAGAGACTCAAATCCGCGTTCGAGTGGTCTATTTCGACAGTCAAAGAAGAAAATGTATAAAGAAAAACATGATATATATATATATATATATATATGAATGAAAATGACGTTCGAAAATGATTACTTTCTTTCTATTTAACACAAAGGAACATTCACAGCCAAACCACCTTGACTGGTTTCCTTATATTTAGACATCATATCTACACCCGTTTGACGCATGGTTTCAATGACTTGGTCAAGTGACACGCGGTGGTCTCCCTCACCATTCAATGCCAATTGAGCTGCAGCAATAGCTTTGACAGCAGCCAAAGCATTACGCTCAATACAAGGAACTTGAACAAGACCTGCGATAGGATCGCAAGTCAAGCCCAAGTTATGTTCCATACCAATTTCAGCTGCATTTTCGACTTGTTCTACCGTACCACCCATCACAGCAGTAAAACCAGCAGCAGCCATTGAACAGGCGACACCTACTTCACCTTGACAGCCTACTTCAGCAGCTATTTTCGAATTTGTGTAAGTCAAAAAAAAAAAAACTCCCACATGATGCTTATTCAATATTTACCTGAAATACTAGCACCACGTTTAAACAGCATACCAATAGCGGAAGTTGTTAACAAAAATTCCATGACATCCTTTTCTGGGTTTTCTGAAATGAATTCGAGATAATACTTGAGTACAGAGGGAATTGTACCAGCAGCACCATTAGTAGGAGCTGTAACAACACGACCACCACAAGCATTTTCCTCGTTGACGGCAATAGCATATACAGAAAGATAATCAAGGGCAGGCAAGACAAACTTCTTTCTAGGTTTTTTAGGCAAGTAAGTAAGAGCCAGAGGATACTGGGTATTGTTCAGTTCAGGAGAAGGATCGGATACCGCTGTGGTCTCATCATTTCTACCTGCAGGTATATGTGAATGGCTGTATCCACCTGTTGAGTTCAAAGAACCGCCATATAAACCCTTCAAGAGTTTGTTATATAGTCTAGGAGCACGACGTTTTACGCGGAGACTGCCAGGCAAGTAATCGTCTGGTGAAGCCATCACACCATTACGAATACTGTCATCCATTGTGTTCCAGATTCTTAAGAGCTTCTCTCTAATTTCTTGAGGTGTACTCCATTTTAATTCATTTTCAAACACGACCTGAGCAATTGTCATATTTTCACGCTTACAAACAGCAATCAATTCTTCTGAGTTCTTGAAAGGCAAAGAAACAACAGCGATATCTTGTTCACGACGCTCAGCAACAACAGCATCTTTTTTGATTTGTTTATAGTATACATTTTCACCATGATCCAACTGAGTTTCAGCATTGACTACAAAACCACCACCAATACTGAAATATTCATTTGTAGCAACCATATTAGCATCCTTGTCATAAGCGCAAAAACGAAGACCATTAGGGTGTTGTGGTAATGTCTTAAAATAATTGAAGACCATATCCTTATCATAATCAAAAGTGATGCGATGAGTTCCATCTAAGCGAATTGATTTGTTTGTTTGAATGTCTTTCACACGAGATCGAATTGTGCTAGTCTCTACTTTATCAGGGCTTTCACCTTCAATGCCCATAAGAATAGCTTCTGGTGTACCATGGCCAACACCTGTCAAAGCTAGTGATCCGAACATATCTAAGATAAAAAAAAAAGCGGAGGTTAATTACCATTTATAGATAATCATTTCAAGATAAGCGCTCTTCTTCATTACTTGATTTATAGAGAGCAAAGAGATTAGACATGTTTGGCAGAAAAGTGGAAACCAGTTCCGCGGAACATATCGTATCAACTTGGCTATTTATAGAATTCAAGTAGGAAAAATCAAGAGCAGAAACAAATATTGATTTGCAATACATTACCTACTCGAAGTGTTGAGACTTTGTCTAGAACGTTGTGATCCTTCAAGTCCGTAATGAAAATCTTTGCAGCACGCATGGGACCAACAGTATGAGATGAAGAAGGTCCGACACCAATAGAGAACAGATCGAAAGTGGATACAACAGCATGGTGGTCGCTTGTTGCTGCTGTAGGTTCAGCATTGGGTTGCTCTTCAGCATTGGGTTGCTCTTCAGCATTGGGTTGCTCTTCAGCAGAAGTATTTGAGAGAAAGCGTTTGGATAACTTGTATTGTGGTACAACAGCAGTACGAATTAGGGAAGTGCTTGAAAGATTTTTGCGGCAACGTAAGACTGGTTGAGCAACATTCTTATGCAAAGAAGTTGATAACTTTCTTAAAGCAAACATTTGTTGAAAATATAAGTTTGGTCTAAAAAAGAGTATCTCTTTTTGATTTGTTTTATTACAAGTGAATCAAAAAAAAAAGAGAAGGAAAGAGATCCATATTAAAAAATTTTGTTGCTTAAATAGTGCTGGTAAACTAAAGGCAGAACTTGGTACATGTACATTTTTTTTATCAAAACAGTCACTTTACCCACGGCTTCAGCCAATAGTAGATTGTAAATGGGCTAGAATTGACACGGTGATTCTACACGGTCTTCTTGTTACTTACTTGTAAAGGTAAATAATGAAAGTTTTTTTTTCTCGCCAATCACAATTGACATATCATCATCATGAAGTCTCAAAACAAATTTTCGTTTGTTTGTACAAACAGCTTTATTTGCTATGGTCCAGACGATTTTCGAGACCATTTAATTTGTAACTAAGAGCATTCATGATTAACATTAGATGATAACACACGTAAGAAAAAAGTGATTAAATATTAGTTAATGGATGAATTACGCAAGAAATAGCTTGTTACTGCAGCTTAATCATTTGCAGCCAAAAACTTTAATAGTTATCGAATCTATGAAGGTTGTTCAGTCATGAGGCTGTGAAATGACATGCAATCGCAACAAAGGGGTTTTTTATTATATAAATAATTTGTTTACAACTTTTCCTTAATGCGACCCAAAAGACCCTTGAGGTCTTCTTGACCCACCTTTTGTTGATCCCATCCAATCTTAAGACCTTCTTGAGGATTGGGCTTAGGAATGATATGGAAATGGACATGAGGAACTTCCTGTTAAGTAACAATTGTTAGTTACTGATCATGACTTATGATTCCGTATTTACTTGATGTGCCATGCGTCCATTGTTCTATTATATAAAATATTAATTTCAGTCAAACAAGTAAGACAAAAGTTACCTGCAACAGATTGTATTGACCATCACCTAATCCAATAGCAAGAGCAACCTTCTTGGCTAAAGGTAACATATCAGCCAGAATGTCATCAGGGACTTGATGGAAGAATTCAGCATGATCTATGGTTTAGGGGTAAACCTTTGTCTTTGTTACACAATCTACTTACACTTGGGAATAATAAGCTATATACAAAAACATGAGCATTGTTTGTATAAGTCTGAAGTATTATTTCTTCTTTTACTTACAGCATGACCTTCACTCAAGGGATTGATATCCAAGAAGGAATAGCTAAACTTTTTCTAAGAAAAAAACGCGTCTCATTTTCTCGAAAATATTACCTTTTCTCTGTTTCTGCAATCTTGTGAGAAGGGATCTCACCTCTACAGAAACAGTCAGGAACAATATTTCAAACAACCATGTTTCACTCACTTGATGATTTTACAGAAGATGCAGTCAGCTTTTAAATGTTCGTGGGCCATTTTTAAGTGGATGAAAAAGAGCGATACAAAAAAAAAGAAGGGAAAGGAAAAGACAACTATATTTTAAAAGAAAGCTCGCTTAAACTCTACACCGACATCTCTTTTATGAAATCTAGTCCATGATAAACATGATAATCTTGGAAGATTCTTTAATCAACGTCAAAATTCAATTGACTTACCTTAGGTGGTGGGGAGATTGTCATAAACGAATCAGGCAATTCTATCATAACTATAAGTCATACTGATCGAAATAAGAGATAGGAAATGGAATATATGCTCAAGGGTAAAAGATACAATTATATTAACTATACAGCAAACTGGCTTATTTTCTCTACATAAATCATACTTTTTAGCAATTTAAACAGCAGATTGATGTCTAATTTCTTTGTGCAGTAAATACCTGTCAGTTGTAAAATTGTATAAAGCATATTAATATTTTCTTTTTTATTCCTCTTCTGGTTTTTCTTCTAGAAAATACTTCAGTTCTTTTTTTTTCAGAATGACTTACAAATTTTAAGCTACACTGACCCGAAATAAAAATTAGCCCAATTTTTTATCATTCAAATTCGGCAACAGAAGTATCCTAATCCAAGAGCCTTTTAACATACCAAGATGATACTTAAACGCACTCAGTTCTTTGTGGATGATTTATTGAGATGTTTATTTCAAGATAATATAGCTTAACACTTGGTGATACAGCCTTTGGCGTTAATTGCAGCTTGGTATTGTATGGTCTTATTGTGTAGTAGTATGAATGTAATGGAAAGATAAGCGGTATTCAACTACCTCCTCGTATCTGTGTAAGTATTTCACATACACTACTTAATATCTATTACTAGTTTATTTCTCTTTTACCTTCCTTCTATTCTCTGCTCTTTCTTATAATCCAATGTATGTATCTCATGCTCTGCTTTATTTTTAGAATTGAATTCTTTCCACACGAATTTTTTTTTCAATAAGGTGTATAAGTAATCAAAGTAAGGCCCTTCCACCTTCTATAAGGTTCCGAGTTATTTTCTTTTTAATCAAAAGTCATTTGGCAATGTAATAAATCCATGTTAGCTATACTTCTAATTCCTTATATTCCTTTTTCTTTTTATGATTTGCTGTAATAATGATTGTTTATATTCTCAATGAAACAAATAAGGAAATATTGTGCCTAACTTGAGTGAATTCAGTTTGTAACCCTTTAATTGTTAAAGAGAATCCCAAATAAACTTACTTTCAAAAGACTGCTTAAAATCTAATAGAAAGTTGCATAGCTAATGCCTTGGATTCAATATTTGAAGAAAGAACTATAGGCGGTTTTATGCAAAGAATAAAACAAGCTGACTTACTGATTTAATCATCATCAGTCTATTGTTACCAATGCATAAATAACTCTCCTCCGGATCAACATCTAGTCACAATGTGCGGTTCGAAATCTTTTTTTCAAGAAGCAAAAAAAAAAGTGTAAATTGTATACCACGTCTTTCTTCTCTTTTTATCATTTTCGTATTCACTTGTCTCTTTAAGCAACTAGCGCAGTTCTTATTGTATATATAATATTCCCTCATCTCATATTTAATTTTGTCCTTGTTTTCTAGCTCTTGTTTTATGTGTTAATTTGACTTGTTTATACATACAGAGTAGCTCATAAAATAGAAAAAAAAATTCAATAAAAATGACCACTTTACAAGTCTACGCGCATAGACTGGGTGACTCCAACTTGGGTAAATAGTAACACTCACATATCTTATTGAGCTAACTCTCCTGTTGTAGCTACCAACCTAAAAGTCACCATCGCAAACGAGCTTAGAGATCAAGTAGAAGTCTTTCAGACAGCTGAATATCCTAAATTTCTGTCAACACTAATTCCTGTATTCCTTGACATTCTACGAAACGAGCAGCCTGTGTTCATTAGCAATGCACCAGAGCAAGTAAGTAAATATCCAATGATTCATATATGCTAACAATAGAATAGAAATTACGAAACATCATACTAGAGATAATATATCGACTGCCACAGACAGAGGCATTAAAAGAATACGTCCCAGAATTATGTAAAGCATTAATGATGATACTACGCGTAGAAAACGAAGACAATGCAGTTGTTTGTGTCAAAATAATTATTGATTTGCACAGATCATTTCGACAAGTATTAGAAGATCAAGTTCAACCCTTTTTGGACATTGTACAGGAAATATTTCAAAATATGGAACAGACAGTCAAAGATGCTTTTGACAATCCAGATCAGATTGCTACTGTAAGCAGAAAATCATTGAATTCATCATATATTAATACTATCTAGCCGTTGTCCGCAGCATCACCACGCCCAATGTCACCTGCTGCAGAAGCACCAGAAGTCCCAACAAAAGTGCTGGCAAAGAGCATGTTCAGTTTCAAAGTGCTTACAGAATGTCCAATTATTGTAGTGCTTCTATTCCAATCCTATAGACGTTCTGCAGCAGATAATATCATGAGGTTTATTCCTCTCATCTTTCAGGTATAGATAAATTGAATTTGATATGTCGATTTGCTTATCTGTTCTGTAGACACTCAGTTTACAAGCAAAGCCTCAAATGGAAGCAGCGAATGCAGCAGCAGCAAAAGGCGAAGTGTTTGTGGGTGTTAGTCCTGCTATTAAACAGAAGAGTCTTTATAACGAATTCATTGTTGCTCAAGTAAAGACGATGTCTTTTTTGGCTTACATTCTCAGAAGCTACACGACACTATTACGACCCTACCAAAATCAAATACCAGACTTTGTCTTGAGATTGCTGCGAGAATGTCCTGCTGAATCATCTGCCACACGCAAGGAATTGTTGGTTGCCACTCGTCATATTCTATCAACTGATTTTCGAACATCTTTTGTGCCGAAAATCGACTTGTTGTTAAATGAAAAGGTTTTAATAGGAACAGGCGTTACTGCACATGATACTTTAAGGTAAAAAAAAAAAAATGTCAAGCTGGTTATTCATTTTTTTTATGATAGACCTTTAGCTTACAGTATGCTTGCCGATCTTATTCACCATATTCGTGCAGAACTTTCAGCTTCACAACTTTCCCGCACCATTTATATCTACAGCTGTAATTTACACGATGCTACACTGGCTCCCAGCATTCAAACAATGTGTGGGAAGCTTTTGTTGAACTTAATTGATTGCATAATGAAGATTCCCGATAAATCAGAAGGACGAAATTTACTTATGCGTATACTAGACGCTTTTGCTAGTAAATTTGAAGCACTAAATATTCAATTCAGTTCCTATGTTAGACAGTACAAAAAGAAAAAGCAGACCACAGAAGAACCAGCCAAGGAAGAAACAATAAACGACTTTGATTTCGATCGTGCGCGATCTATTCACACAGCATCATTCATACCCGAAGCAGCACATGATGGCATTAAAGATGGTCGATTCTTGTTCAAGAACTTGGCTATTGGTCTTAAGCCATTGTTCATTGGCCTTCGTCATTGCAACCCACCACCACCTACTGGACAAGATGTCAACATGCAATTGTACGCCCAATTTGCTCGAGGCTTTTCTCAAGAGGATGTTCAGTTATTTGTGCGCTTGTTCAGAGAAGGACTGAAATGCTTTGAATATTACAATGTCGACAATTATGGTTCAGATGGTTCTTTGCCAGACTATGCAGCACCTGAGGAAGAACGCATGAAAGACAATTGGACAATTGGTTCTACAGAAACTTGTCTAAAACTCAACCCTCAACAGAACGGTGAAAAGGAAGTGTTGGATACGTTTCCCATTGTCTTTACTTTGCTTGATCCTGCCGTCTTTCAAGAGTTGTTTGCATCACAAATCGACTTTTTCTACGAACGCATGCTTATCAACACATCGCTCTTACATCTCTCCCAATACTTTTTGGTGAATGAAATTACTACACAGGGATTTGCAGGTATCCTGCTTCGATTCTTGGTAGACCGAATCGACCAATTAGGTGAGGATAGTCTTCACTATTCTGCTGTCATGCTTCATTTATTCCGCCTTACATTTATGGCTGTGAATTTGTTTCCTGACGCTAATGAAAGTATCCTCCAACCTTACTTGGCAAATCTAGTCATGTCATGCTTCAAACTTGCTGCAAAAGCAAAAGAACCCGCCAACTACTTCTTGTTGCTCAGAGCTTTGTTTAAAAGTATAGGCGGTGGTCGATTCGAATTGCTCTATAAAGAAGTGTCTCCATTGTTGCAAGTCATTTTGGAAAACTTGAACTCCTTACTATCACTTGCACACAAGACAGACATGCGTAACTTGTTTGTCGAATTGTGCTTAGCTGTACCTGTACGTCTTAGCACATTACTGCCTTACCTTCCTTATTTGATGCGTCCCTTGGTCATTGCTCTTCAAGCAGATCAAGATCTTGTATCTCAGGGTTTACGAACAATGGAATTGTGTAATGATAACCTAAATCCCGAGTTTTTGGATCATATTATGGCTCCTGTCATGTCAGAACTCATGGATGCTCTGTGGAAACATCTTAAGCCTTTACCTTACAATCAGCAGCACAGCCATGCTGCCATGCGTATCCTAGGTAAACTAGGTGGCCGAAACCGTCGAATGTTAAAGAGTCCACCAAAGCTTGGATTCAATGCTCGCATTGAAAACGGTGTTTCGGTTGAAGTTGTCTTTGATCCTAGTCCTACACCACATACACTTCCATTGGATAAATGCCTAGACATTGCAATTCATGCACTCGTCACACCTCAGACCGATATTGTTTACAAAAAACACGCATACAACTTTTTGAAGACACACTTGGTTCTTATGCTGGAATTAGACGAAGGTCCTGATGATTTAGCCGAGACGCTTTACAAAAGAGTAAAAAAACAGTTCATTGATCGTCCTGAAGATCCTACAAAGTCATCAAATACTTCTCTGTTAACACAAAACATGGGCCGTATCAATGTAGACGAAGATAATTCGGTCGTAGGCAATACCTTAAGCGAGACCGGTATGAAGCCCAAGCGATTAGCAGGCAATGGATACACAAAATATGTCTCTAAACGTATGGCCCAAGAAGAGGCTCTCAAGTCTATTTTAGTGTCTGTCATGACTGCATCTATTATTGATGAATTAAGTGAAGACGCATGGAGCTTCTTCCTTAATATCTGTCGCCATTTCACTTTGCTTCATATCGGCGAGGCAATCGAAGCTAAAGAAAATGGACGCAAGCCTTTGGCGAATATGATGGATGAACGTTTAGCTGTGCAGCATTTGAATACAACAATTTTGGTAGAAGCTATTGTAGAGATCATGTCTTCTTCACAAATCCAACTTCGTAAACGAGGTGAAGAAGCTTTGCATGCTTGCTATAATGTCGCAGCAACTATATTGGGATACAAAGAATACATTAACCAATTGCCCATTTTCCGTGTCTTTGCATCTCAATTCTGCTCCTGCTGTTACAAGCCAGAATGGTTCAAGAAGCGAGGTGGTTGCCTTGGTATCTCTATCATGAGTTCACAGCTTGATATGGGTACTAAATGGATGCGTGAGCATGAGCTTGACTTTATTCGCTCTCTTCTCTTTGTCCTCAAAGATGCATCACCTGAAATGGCCAATGTTAATACAGAAGAAGCCACTCAAACGCTTTCTCATGTACTCAAGGTCTGTAATGGCCCTGAAGATGGAGAATCCCCAGAGGCTCAACAAAAGTTCCAAAATTTGATTACTCTCTTGCTTAGTGAACTCTCTAATTCTAACAGTGCTGTTCGAGAGACAATTCAATCTTCCTTCCAACTTTTAGCTGATCTAACTGGCAATGAAGTCACTGAACTCTTGGCTCCGGTTCGCGAACGCTTAGTGGCGCCCATCTTTGCTAAACCCTTACGTGCATTGCCCTTTGCTATGCAAATTGGTCACATTGACGCCATTACGTATTGTTTGACATTGCGTCCTCCATTCTTGGAATTCAATGATGAACTAACTCGATTGTTGCACGAGGCACTTGCTTTGGCCGATGCTGAAGATCAAGCTCTGGTCAGTCGTAGTTCACAATACAAAAATACAACATCTTTGATGAATTTACGTATTGTCTGCATTAAGCTTTTATCAGCAGCACTTGCATGCTCTGATTTTAGTAGCCAGCGACAAACACACACTCGTGCTCGTATCATCCAAGTATTCTTTAAATCGCTTTACTCAAAATCAATTGAGGTTGTAGAAGCTGCTCATCGTGGGTTGAAACAAGTATTGGCACAGCAGCATAAGCTACCAAAAGAACTCTTGCAACAAGGTCTTCGCCCTATTTTGACAACACTATCTAATCATAAAACGTTAAGTGTTGCTGGTCTTGAAGGTTTAGCAAGGCTGTTGGAGTTATTGACAAACTATTTTAAGGTCGAAATCGGTAAAAAGCTGTTGGATCACTTGAAACAATGGGCTGAACCAAAGGTGCTTCAAGAAGCTGCTGGTAAACCACTCAGCGAAAATCACGAAATCAAGATCATTGTGGCTATCCTCAATATCTTCCACTTGCTTCCTGCTGCTGCTCATATATTCCTAGACGATTTGGTTACAGTTGTATTAGAAATGGAAGGTCATTTGCGTCGCTCAGTATCTAGTCCTTTCAGACCTAATTTGATCAAGTATCTCAACCGATACCCAGTAGAAACAGTTGCTTACTTTTACGAGAGACTGGACAATGTTCAATGTGCACAATTGTTTACCGACATCTTGAATACAGAATCTGCTGCTCGTTTACGAGAAGAAGTAGCCAATACTTCATCCGAATTAGTCGCCAAGACGTTCAAATCAGCCAAAGTCAAGACAGATGCACCTTCCTTCAACGCACTTTATTATCGTGGTGTCATGCTTGTTCATACTCTTGTAAACTACAATACTGAGTATCTTATCTCACATCGCGAGGTGTTAGATTGCTTGCTTGAATTATGGCGAAAACGTCAAGAAAAAGTGTTGTCTCAACAACAAAAAGAGGAAGAACAATATAGTCTAATGGCTACTCGAGAGCTGCTTTTGTTGGCCAAAATCTTTGTAGATTATCTGCAGAAGAACACGAATGAGATTGATGTTATTTTCGATTTGGTTGCTTTGTTCGCCCATGAATCTGTAGCTGACTTGTCCTTTTTACAACGTTTCTTTTTAGAAAGCATTGCTCTCAAGTCTTCAGCCAAACAAAAGCGATTGATTCTTGAAAAGTTCTTGACTATATTTACTGACAATACTGTGCCTTCTAATCTCAAGATGATGGCCTTACGTCAAGTGGTCAATCCATCTTTATTAGCAACATTTGTTCGCAAAGATGCTGACTTTGGAGAAATCTTGGATGCCAATATGATGGAGCGACTAGATGAAAAGATTTGGGCCAGTTTGATGATGGAGTCCTCAGAAGACAACCAATATATCGAAGACTCACTTCGTATTGAACTCCTGCAGATGACTGCCATGATTGTCCAATATGCACCTCATTTATTAGCTGATCGCCGCAAAGAAGTTATCAAATTTGGATGGAACTATCTTCGTCTTGAAGACGCTACAAGCAAGCAAGCAGCTTATGTGCTGATTGCACACTTTATTGCGGCTTATGATACACCTAGCAAGATCGCTATTCAAATCTATGCTGCTCTGCTACGTGCACACTCGTCTGAAGCCCGTGTATTGGTCAAACAAGGCCTCGATATCATTGCACCTGTGCTTCCAGTTCGTATTGCACCTCAAGAAAACGAGCGTATTCCAACCTGGGTTCGCCTAACGCGTAAGGTAGTTGTGGAAGACACTCACAGTATTTCTCAAATGGTCAATGTCTATCAATTGTTGATCCGTCATTCTGACCTTTTCTTTGAATATCGAGAACACTTTTTGCCTCAAATTGTCAACACACTTCCCAAGCTTGGCTTGCTTCAAAATGCTACACCAGAACACAAATTGCTGACAGTAGAATTAGCCGAACTTATCATCAATTGGGAAAAGAAGCGCATCGAGATACAAGAACAAGAATTCAATCAAGAAGCATCTTCTCCTGGTTCTCCCTCTAAGCGCAAGATGGATATCGATGAAAGCGAATCAAGTTCAGATATGGATACTGATACCAACCCTAACAAAAAGGCTCAGGTGCAAACATCATCTGGCGAAGTAAAGGCTGTACCCTCTTCGACTACATCTACAGGACACAAAGAGTATTCTCCTAGTCTTACTTTGCGTGAAAACGTTGTTGGTTATCTTGTTCGTCTTGCTTGTATGGTGTTTAGTCCAACAGACATGATTCAAAAGCGCCTTGTTCAAAGAACCATTGAATTAGTCAAGTCTTTCTTAAAGCCTGGGCTTTGGCCTGATGTTCATGTACGCTTTAGTCATTTGGAGCGTTCGCTCATTTTCAAAGAAGCTAATGAAATGATTGTCTCAAGTGTCTGTAGTGCTCTGGAGATCTTGAATGCAGATATTTCTCACCGTGAAACAAATTGGTTTATGACAAATATCGGTCAATTGTATCGCTACTTGAATCTAGTATTCGATGCGAGAACTCGCGCATTCAAACTGCATTGTATCCTGTGTTGGCTCATGTGATTGAAGCCGTCAACGAGAATAAGGTTAGCTTGATGGCTACTCCTCAGGCTGCTATTACGTCTTCAACTACTCCAACCGCTGCTAGTACACCTATGGCAACGCCTCCCACTGCAGCTGCGAGCCCTGCTACTGTTAATACACCTCTTGAAGCCTCGCCTGGCGAGCCTATGAATGAAGATACTTCTAATGCAACATCTTTAGAAGATGCAAACAATACAGAAATGACAAATGGTATCAAACAAGAACCAGAGATCCAGAAAGTAGAACAGCCTCCTGAAGTGGTTGCTTTTATGAATCTAATCGATACCACTATTCAAGAAGGATTAAGTAGTATGAGCAATATCTTTAGTGTTCTCAAGCTACTACAGGCTGCCAGTTCAAGCGACAGTGAATACTTGGATCCATACGTACCAGGCATCATCAAGATGCTTCAGTTACTGACTAAAGAGCATACTTTGCCCTCACATTCTGCTTCTAATATGCCTTATGATTCACAAGTCAACCTGTTGATCCTAGGCTTATCATTGCTTAAGAAGCGTATCGTTTATTTAGGTGACCAACGTCGATGGTTCTTGACTTGCTTGATTCAGCTAATTGAAAAGTCCCCCGATGTTACTCTTTTACGAAACATACTAGACATGTTAAGTGAATGGGTACTGGACAGAATAGAACCTATTCCTACTATTAAAGAAAAGGCTGGTTTACTTGGCAAGATGATGACAGTAGAAACGCGTCAAAACACAAAGCTGACAGAAGACTTTTTGAAGCTGGTGTTCAAGATTTATAATAACCCTGAATTTGCTCGCTCTGAATTGACAGTTCGTATGGAACATGCGTTCTTGTTGGGTACTCGTAATGAAAACCCTGAGATCAGAGCACAATTCATGTCTATCTTTGACAAGAATGTTGATCGACTCTTGCCTACGCGTCTCAACTACATTTTGGGAGTGCAAAACTGGGAACCATTGGCAAATCATTTTTGGCTACATCAAGCATTGGACCTATTAATTGGATCGGTCAAGATTGATACTCAAGTATCTGCTCCTTATACTTTGAAGGTGAAGCCTATTAGCATCTTTGGTAACCAAGCAAGCGACATTAATGAAATGGAGCTGGATATTCCTGATAATGTATCAGAAATCATCAAGCAGCATAGATCGTTTTTGAAGAACCTTCAAGGTATTGATGTGACGGAGACATTAGATGATATTCGTCAATTGCAATACTTGAGCGACGATGCTGCATTTAAGCTTTGGGTCGACCTGTTCCCTATGTGCTGGTTAGCTCTTTCAAATGCTGAGCGTCACGACATATCAAAGGCATTAACGATCTTGCTTTCAAAAGACTATCATAGTAAACAATCTGAACAAAGACCTAATGTGATTCAAGCTATTTTGACCGGTATCTCCAATACAAAACCAACCATACCAATCCCTTCTCATTTGATCAAGTATTTGGGCAAAACACAGAATTGCTGGCATACTGCTATTGAAATGCTTCAAAGACAAGCTATTACAGGTCGCTTAGTGGATATTTCACGAGAAGAGCAACTCAATCAGCAGCGTACACTGGATGCACTCGCTGAATTATATTCTTCTTTGAATGAAGACGATATGTTTTATGGTCTTTGGCGTCGTCGTAGTGTTTATTCTGAAACAAACATGACAGTTTCCTGTGAACAATGTGGCATGTGGCAACAAGCTCAACACATGTATGAAAACATTCAGATAAAGGCTCGTGGTGGTGTTTTGCCTCAAGCAGAATCTGAAAGTATGCTGTGGGAAGAGCATTGGATTATGTGCACTCAGAAGTTGCAACAATGGGACATCTTATCAGACCTAGCTAAGCATGACAATAATACAAGTTTATTACTCGAATGCGCATGGCGTTTGTCTGATTGGACTGCCGAACGTGAATTGTTGGAGCAATCCTTACACCAGACTATGGATTTGCCTTTACCACGTCAAAAAGTATTTGAAGGATTCTTATCTTTGATCAAATCTCAAACTAGTCAAGACAAATTACCTGAATTCACTCGCATTTGTGAAGAAGGTGTTCAACTTGCACTTCGAAAGTGGCATTCTTTACCTCCTGTAGTAACTCAAAGCCATTTGCCTTTACTGCAAACATTCCAGCAGTATTTGGAGCTATCAGAAGCTAGTCAAATATTTAAGAGTTTGTCTAGCACGAATGCTCAAAACCTGGATCAACGGTCAGCTGAATTACGTAGTATCCTCGGCACTTGGCGTGAACGTTTGCCTAACATGTGGGATGATATTAATATCTGGAGCGACCTTGTTGCATGGCGTCAACATATCTTTAGTGCCATTAACCGTACCTACTTGCCATTGATTCCTTTGCTTCAGCCTGCTCCTGGACAAAATAATGCAAGCAGCGGACATTCTTATGCTTATCGTGGCTACCATGAAACAGCTTGGATTATTAATCGATTCGCACATGTTGCTCGTAAGCACCAGCTTTATGATGTCTGTATTAATTACTTGACCAAAATCTACACACTTCCAAATATTGAAATTCAGGAAGCTTTCTTGAAACTTCGCGAACAAGCCAAATGTTACTATCAAAATGCTAGTGAATTGACTGCTGGTCTCGATGTCATCAACAACACGAATTTGATGTATTTCACACACCAACAAAAAGCAGAGTTTTTTACGCTGAAAGGTATGTTCTTGGCAAAGTTAAACCATAACAACGAAGCCAATGAGGCTTATGTCAACGCTGTTCAAATTGATATGACTTTACCTCGTGCCTGGGCTGAATGGGGCCGCTACAATGATCGCCGATTCAAGGAAAACCCTAAGGATTTATCATGGGCAAACAGTGCTGTTAGCTGCTATTTGCAAGCTTCTGGTCTGTACAAAAACGCTAAAGCTCGCAAACATCTCTTGCGCATCTTGTGGCTCTTGAGTTTGGATGATCAAAATGGTACTATTTCTCGAGCTGTTGAAAATTATAAGGGTGATTGGCCAGTCTGGTATTGGATCACGTTCATTCCTCAGCTGTTGACAGCTCTCCAACATCGTGAAGGTAGACATGCTCGTACTATTTTGATACGTATTGCCAAGCAGTTCCCACAAGCACTTCACTTCCAGTTAAGAACAGCTAAAGAAGATATGCTGAAACGTGCTAGTGTCTTACAGGCTAGTATGGCGGCTGAAGCAGCCCAGCAACAGAACACGACAATATCTTCATCAGAAGGCAATTCTACGAATGGTACTAATACCAATACGGCCGTTAATGCTACAGCAGCAGCAGCAGCCAATACTTCGCAAGATACAGAAGAAACTAAAGACGAGACAGCTAAACATAAGGAAGAAAATGCGGAGGAAAAGAAAGAAGACCCAATGGATACATCGGAAGATAGTGCAAGTAAGGAAAAATCAACTGAAGATGATGATCAAAAGAAAGAAAATGTTGCTGTCAAGGTAGAAGAAACAGCAGTAACAATTCCTCAACAGTCGAATGGTACGCCTGTTATTGCTGGTCAAACTTCACCTACAACAAGCACTGCAAGCGAAACCAAATCCGCTACAGGAACACCACAGCAACAGCAACAAGCATCTTTTCCTAATGTAACACCTGTTGCAGCAGTGCCTTCCAATGGAACGAGTGCTCAACAGCGTGGCCCATTACCTTCTCAAATCAACATTGCAACCACGGCTACTACTGCAAGTCCCCTAGATGAAATCATGTCTATGCTTAAGACAGGCTATCCATTATTAGCCTTGTCGATGGAGACAATGGTAGATCAAATTCAACTCAAATTCAAGCCTCAAGCTGACGAAGACATGTATCGATTGGTTGTTGCTTTGTATAATGAAGGCGCACAAGTAAGTCGTATAGATTGATTGTTTACTGTGTATTCATTTATGTATAGCAATTGTTGACACGATTGAGTAACCCCAACGATACTTTTCAATTGACACATGCTACTGTAGCTAACATTCACCGATTTGCAGACAGTCTTTATCCCGGACACATGAAGACCGCCTTTGTGAATGACTTTGCAAAGTCTAAACTGAATCTTGAAGAATATGTTGCTAAACTGAGATTATGGCGAGACAAGTTTGAAGCTATGTTGGATGCCCGTCCTCGTAAGCACAAGCTGGAAGCCTCTAGCCATTACCTTGTTGAATTCCAGCATCAAAAGTTTGATGATGTCGAGATTCCTGGTCAATACTTGATGGTAAGATAATCATTATATGCAAATTGTCCATTCATTTTTTCCCTTTTTAGCTCAAGGACAATGCAAATGACTTTTTGCGTATTGATCGGTTTTTACCAGAAGTAGAGATTATTCGTAGCTACGGAAATTGTTGTCGTCGTTTAACTATTCGCGGTAATGATGGTACGCTTCATCCTTTCTTGATTCAAAACCCTGTCGCACGTCAATTCCGTCGTGAAGAGAGATTGATGCAATTGTTCCGTATGTTGAATTATATCCTCGAAAGACGCAAAGAAAGTCGTATGCGTAATTTGCAATTCCATTTACCTGCTATTGTGCCTCTTGCTCCCAATGTTAGAATGGTGCAAGACGACCCCTCTTACACTTCTTTATATGATATCTATGAGGATCATTGTGATAGCGTACAAATGCACAAGGATGACCCCTTGGTTTATTTTGTAGAAAAGTTCAAAAACAATGTCAATACTCAAAAAGATGTAAGTTTTGTGTATGCATTTAAAACAAGCTGCTGATATGAATACAGGTTGTAAATCAAAAGACAGAGCTCTTGAATCTGCGTATGGAAATCAATGATTATATTTCAGCAAACATGGTTCCCTCAAATATTCTTAGCAAGGTAAAATGGTGCTATGTAGCTAAAAGAATGACTACTAATCATACTGAATAGTATTTGTTTAAAACGATGAGCTCATATACTGATTATTGGATGTTACGCAAACGTTTTACTGGACAATACGCTACAGCTACTCTGATGGCCTACATCTTCAGTGTTGGTCATCGTATGCCACACAAGATTATGATTTCCCGAAGTACAGGCAATGTTTGGATGACTGAACTCTTACCTGGTAAGTCTTGAGTGCGGATATGAATCGGGACTTATATGCAATGATAGGTTGGAATGCAGCAAACCCATTGTTTGGCAATGGTGAAGCTATTCCTTTTAGATTCACACCTAATATTCAAGAATTCATTACACCCATTGGCGTTGAAGGCTTGTTTACAAGTTGCTTGATGGCCACTGCACGCTGTTTAACAGAACCTGAATTTGAATTAGATCAATACCTCTGTCTTTTTGTGAGAGACGAACTTGCTACCTGGCATTTGGCTAATCATCGCTCAGTAACAGATGCTCAGTTTAGAGAAAGAATCAATACCAATGTACTTCAAGTCCAAACAAAAGCACAATTCTTGTCTTGTAAAGCTGATAGAGAAAAGACGCTGAACGCAGGAAAACCATTGAATCAAAATGTAATTGACTTGATCTCTCAAGCTAGTAATCCTCAAAAAATGGCACAAATGGAATGCACTTGGATGCCTTGGTTATAATTCAATAAAAAGTTCTTTTACAAAAATAATCATTTTTATTTTTTTGAATGAAAATTAGAATATTGAGTACAATGAAGCAGGAATCAGAAAACGAATTAGTTGTTCTTGGCAGATTGAGAGACATAGTTGTTCGTTTCTTCATGGCTCAAGATGTGAGTATCACCGAGAAGACCAGAGAGCTAGACTAAGTCAGTACAAATTGCATTAAACTACACTTACAAGACCACTATTGGCACCCTTGCTACCAACGCTACCAATAGATTGGTTGTTTTCCTTGTTGATGTGCTTGCTGTTATCTTCGTGGTTAGAGTTGTTGTCTCCATGACCACAAGGGGCAGCAGTAGCCAAAGCAGCAACAGAGAGGATAGCGAGAACAGTAAAGAACTTCATAATAGATAAGATGGTAATGAAGTCTTTTGTTGGTACTCATTCTGACAGGTATTTATACATTTACTGCTTCTCCTAATTCTGTAAAAAGGAGGGGGTCTCCTCTTTTTTTTTTTAATTACTAAACTTGATCTGCACGAGTAAATATATAAATAGTTTTTCCTCTTTCTTTGTCTAAAAATGTCGCGTCGATTATGGAAGCAATGGACTCCTTATATTCATGGGCAATTTGTCAAACCAAACCTCTCACCTCGAGAACTTATTAATCCTGTCAATGCATTACCCCTTGACAAAATATATGAAGCCTCTCTCACCCAAGTTCAAGAAGCTCTTGTGAGTGCAAAGGATGCCACCATCAGTTCAGAGTGGCAAACTGATCACAAGTTTAGACGAGATCGTCTACTTGCCTTGGCTCAAAAACTTGAGGAACATGAGCATGATATGGCAGAAATTGAGTCTGCTCAAACAGGAAAGCCCTTGGGAGACGCGCTTTATGAAGTAAACGATGTAATTGATTGTCTTCGGTATTATGCTGGTTACTGCGATAAGTTCTATGGCCAGTCACAGCAGTTTCACAACATGCATGCATTCACGACTCGAGAGCCTCTAGGCACAGTTTCATTAATCACCTCCTTTAATTATCCCCTTCTTCTAACAGGCTGGAAGTTAGGGCCAGCCTTGGCTGCTGGTAATTGTGCTATTGTAAAGCCAGCCCCACAGACACCTTTATCGTCACTAGCCTTGGCTGATTTAGCAACTGATATTTTACCTCCTGGTGTACTCAATGTCTTGCCTGGAGGGGTTGATGTGAGTCAAGCATTGATTGACCAGACAGACAAAACAAGTTTTACAGGTTCGACCAAAGTTGGGCAAGAAATCATGCGTCGTGCAGCGAACCGGTTGTTACCATTGACACTTGAATGTGGTGGCAAGAATGCAGCCATTGTATGCGAAGACGCTGACTTGGAGTCTGCCGTTGAACACATTGCTATGGGCGCATTTTCCAATGCAGGACAAAATTGCTGTGCTATCTCTCGAGTCTTGGTACAAAGATCGATTTATGATAAATTTCTTCAGCAACTCACAAACACAGTCGAGACCTCCTGGAGAGCAACAATAGATTCAAAGGAGTCAGAATTTCATTATCTTTATGGCCCCTTAATTGACAAACATCAATATTTACGAGTGAAAAAGTATATTGAGGGTAACCATCCACCTTTGATAGCAGGCAAAATTCGAGAACCCAACCAAGGCTATTTTATTCCACCTACTCTATTCGCTCATATTCCTGATGATTCTCCTTTAGCCGTGGAAGAAATTTTCGGTCCTGTTCTAAGTATACTCACTCCTTTTGATGACCTGAATGAAGCGGTTGAAAGAGTGAATCGGTCCGAATATGGACTTGCGGCGGGCGTATTTTCTCAAGATTTAAAAAAGGCACACTATGCAGCCAATAAGATCAAAGCTGGCTATGTTTGGGTCAATACATACAACATCATGCCTCCTTCTTTACCATTTGGAGGCAGAAACCTATCTGGAATAGGAAAAGATTTAGGTACATCAGCAATAGAAGCCTTTTCTTTTGAGAAAAGTATTATGATGGCCTTGTAAACTATTTGTCATACTCGACTAGCCGTGGGAACAATAAAGATCATACTCAAGCCATTTTTCTCACGATTTATTTTTTGTTTTGTTTTTTTCTGTTCCCCTTTCTCCTTTTTTTTTTCTTTGTTTGTAAGCAATGTTATCTAGAATCTCAAAGAGTGTGTTTAATGTAAGTAAATTTCCTACTCTTTTCTTTCTAATTGATTTAAAGAAATCTTCTATTCACCGACACTTGGCACAACGATCCGCTGGTTTCTCTACTTATAATCATGCAGTTGCCAACCTGACACCTCAACAAGAAGAGTTACGTGAAGCAGTCCATAACTGGGTCAATATTGAACTTGCTCCTCGAGCAGCTTCGATTGATAAGGAAAACGAATTCCCTATGGATATGTGGAAGAAGTTTGGTGAAATGGGTCTTTTGGGTGTCACTGCCCCTCAAGAATACGGTGGTCTTGGCTTAGGTTACTTTGAACATACACTTGTTATGGAAGAAATTTCCCGTGCTAGTGGTTCTGTCGCCTTGAGTTATGGTGCTCATTCTAACTTGTGTGTCAATCAAATTACACGTAATGGTAATAAGGCACAAAAAGAGAAATATTTGCCCAAGCTCATTTCAGGTGAGCATGTGGGTGCTTTGGCCATGTCTGAACCTGGTGCTGGTTCCGATGTAGTCAGCATGAAATTACGTGCTGAAAAGAAAGGGGATCGTTATGTATTGAATGGTAATAAGTTCTGGATCACAAATGGTCCTGATGCTGATGTTTTGGTGGTCTATGCCAAGACTGAACCTAATGCTGGGCCTAAGGGTATTACTGCTTTTTTGATTGAAAAGGTAAGTGTGATACGAGAACAATACAGGCTGATATATTCTATACAGGATTTTAAGGGCTTCTCTCGAGGACCTAAGTTTGACAAGTTGGGTATGCGTGGTTCAAACACATGTGAATTGATTTTTGAAGACTGCGAAGTCCCTGCTGAAAATGTGTTGGGAGAAGTAAACAAAGGTGTTTATGTTCTCATGAGTGGTTTAGACCTTGAACGTCTTGTTCTTTCTGGTGGTCCTTTGGGGTAATTAACATTGTACCTGACAAAGTAGCTTATGATAGTAATAGGTTAATGCAAGCTGCTTTAGATGTAACCATTCCTTATGTCCATGAACGTAAACAATTCGGTTTTCCTATTGGTGAATTCCAGGTAAACAAACAAACGCCAGTGAATAATGAATACTGAAACACTTTTCCTCCCAAATATAGCTTATACAAGGCAAATTAGCTGATATGTATACAAAAATGAATGCATCGCGTGCCTATGTTTATGCCGTTGGTAAAGCTTGCGATCAAGGCAATATCAGTAACAAGGATTGTGCAGGCGCAATTTTGTACTCAGCAGAAAGAGCAACAGAAGTAGCACTTGATGCTATCCAATGTCTTGGCGGTAATGGCTACACTATGGAATACCCCACTGGCCGAATCTTGCGTGATGCTAAATTATACGAAATTGGCGCTGGAACAAGCGAGATTAGAAGAATGTTGATTGGTCGAGAATTTAACAAGCTTTTCAAATAAATGCATCTTTTGCCTATACGTTATTGCTAGAAAATAAATTATTGTATTTTGAAAGAAACCAATATCGTAATTTTTTTTAGAAGAATGGGTTTTGTTTGCAGCACATCCTATTGTCACATAATCATAGACGTATGTTACTTCAGCTAAAGTAAAGTGGAACTCCAGCTTGCATTCGTCATCGGTGAGTAGATCAAAATTGATCCGCATGCGGTCAACTCTCCTGTTTCTGAGCATATCAGATTGATCCTCATTAAGTGCAACAACAGAAGTACCAAGAAGAAAAGATATTCCGCTTTGTTCTTGCAGCAAAAGTACAAAATGTATTGTGGAAGTTTTCCAAAAGATTTATAGACTTGAAATAAATTCTTTTCTTAGCTATATGAAATATCTTTGACATCACTGAAACGTGTATGAAATGGCGAAAAAGACAACTATTTATATCTTTTATGTTTGATAAGCAAACTTTTTTTAATTTGGTCTGATATGGCGGACCTGTCGTAACATATGTACGAGATTCACTAGCATGACATGTATTATTTGATTTTGTTGGTAGACCAACAATTCCCCAAAAAGCATTGTTCCTTCAATTCATTCTATTTAATGTCTAAAAGTGAGCAAGAAAAAATATGAGAAAAATCTTTTCTACTCACGTGTAAGCAAACCAGAAGCTCGAATACTCTAATCATATCAGTTCTTTGTGCCCAAGTTGTAGGAATACTAGCACTTCTTAACTCAACGATCTGGAAGCAATCCGAGTGAGAGTCCAAGGTAGTCTTCATGAGAGTCAACTTGCTTTTAATGCATTGAATGCCATAGACAGCTAAATTAAGAACGGAAGAGTGTTTGCAATCTTGTTTTCGACGCAACAACATGGATTAGCAGAAAACCAAACAAGACAACCGACAATAAAGCGAGGTAAAGTGTTTTGCTGATAAAAAAACTGTCAAGAAAGCTTACATTTTTTACAAGGCGTCAAGCGTAAAGATACGTTTGAAGAGAAGAAACTCAAAAAGGACGCAAAAATTGCGCGTAGTTCTCTACCATCTACGCAAGGTGTGATATGTAAATCATTTGGCGAGAGAGGACATGCTTCCGCAAGTAAAAAATGCCAGAACTACAATTTCAATTTATCAGAATTAATTCAGCACAGTCTGGGCTCTTCAAATGAAAGATATTCAGTGTCAATTCCCTTGAGGTCATTCATACGAACGCCTGATGATAATGCTTTTAATGTGATTCTAGAAAAAATACAAGGCCTGTCTCTGTTCCTGAGGGAAGTTATCTTCAAAGCCCAATTATTTGTGAATTATTACATTTTAAAACACCCACAAGGCTTGAGCAATGAATTTTTTCAGCAAAACTTTTGGTATTCTGTGTGTCGTCTAATCAATGGAAATATGGAGATTGGCGAATTTGCTCAAAAATATTCTTATCATATCCCTCATCTGCACGAAACATGGGATGAGTTGAATGATTCTGGTAAAAATTCAAGACATAAAAAACTATGGTCAAGTTTTATCGACTGCCTGTGAAACAATCGCAACATGTTACAATAATTATTATATTGAAAACGTTGAAAATATAATATCCAACTATTTCATATATAAGCCGCGCACTTCTTTTGACGTAAGTCATGTAGGATCAAGCCCAAGCCTAACTTTTTTTGCCAACGGAACTAATAATACTCATTAATAGAACTTAAAGATGCCAGAAGTGAAGTACATTGTGTACAATCACGTAATGGAAACATTATTTTCCTCTGGTCCGACAACTATTACCGCTGAAAACATAGCAAGCTCGTTAAATGAGCAAATGAAAGCAAGGGTTTGTCTGTCCCTAAACCCTTTAATGTTACAAATAAGAAACAGATTATCTGCTACCTCCTTAATCAGGGATGTATTGAACAAAGCTCCCTTTGACATACTACCGGCTTTGAGGTATATACTTGAGAACTACGAGTCAACAATTGCCAAAAATCAGCAATCACAAATAGAAGTGGCCCAGCAAGAGCAACAATCCGTAGAAGCAGTAGTGCCATTAATCCAGCAAAGGAGAAGACCAAAGAAGAAAAAGAAGAAGGAGCCAAAACAGCGTAATTCATCAACAGAGAACAACAACAGCAAGAACGAATTGCAACCACCAAAATTTCAACCACCAAGGCTATTCAGTTTATTTCCTAATCCAGGTTTTAAATGGCGTTTTATAAAAGTAGATGACCAAAACATAGCTGGTATTTTTGGAAGAGGTAGTCCAAAAAAACCTGAAGAGACGGTGTTTAACTTTACTCAAAGATGCTTCTATGATAATTTTGATTTTAAAATAATTGATACAGGCAGTTCACTCACAATGATCTTACATATACAGCTTTGAAGATTTACAACAATTACCACAAAGAAAAGAAAAAATGTTCTTAAACAGTATCTACACAGATGGATATACATGTAGGGTCTCATTCTGCAGGAAGGTTCATTCCATATCACCCAACGATAAAGTATCCCTGAAGGTAGATGATTTCACTAGTGAAGAGGTTGATCGTTACTTTCATCCTTGCACTGTCGATCCAAATAGGTCTGATGTCTTTGTATCCTATCATGGTAAAAATGACTTGAGGCGTTTGTCGACTGCCGAGTATTACAACATGAATGGCACTGTCAACCGACAAAAACTAGAGCAAGATAGAAAGAAAAGGTTGAATATAGAGCAGATTGAAACCCACTTTCCCTCACCCAAAACTGCAAAACTCCAACATTATACAGAATATGTTATGTATGCTCTTCAACATTTTCGAGCGTTAGTAAATTTTTACGGCTTTAACACTGCTAAAATCAAATGGTGCAACTACAAAGGCTCTCAACAAGCAATCGAAAATGCAGTCAACATTCTCATTAATGGCACAAAAAAATATATAACAAAAGAAAAAGAAAGAACACCAAAAAGAATAAGCGGAAGAGACGCAAGACATCAAGCAGTTATCAATACGGTCATCATGATAATTATTCACCAAATACAGGGGGAATGAGGTCAAGGTATAGCACATATTTCTTATATTCTTCTCCTTAAAGCAATATTCTTAATAATTTGAATGAAGAGCACATAAGGAAAAGTTTGAAGAAGGTGATCAAAGTAAAATGCCATTGATTGTTTTTGGAGATGATTTGAAAAACAAGTCGTATGTCAAGTTTAAAGGTTTACGTTATGGCGTCATTGAAAAGTTGTACAGACAGTTAAGAATTCGTGAAAAACGCGAAGAGTTGTTACTTCTGGATATAGACGAGTATAAGAATTCCAAGGTATGTAATGTTTACTTGGTCATAATTTGAATATTGACACTTCTGTATCATAAAGACTTGCAACTCGTGCCTTGAAAATAAATTGGAGCATATTACGCAAGGAAGTGGTATCGAAAAACGGAAGATTCATCAAGTATTAGTTTGCAAAAACTGTAATATTTTTTTTTTTGGAATCGAGACGTAATGGCTTCGAAGAATATGTTCACAATAGCTCAATCTATTTGGAACGGCCAAGGATGTCCTACCATGCTCACCCGACAAAGCGCCATCTCGAATGTGGTGCCTGAGCTTTAAGTAGCAAAGGCTTAAGGATTCTACAGGCAAGAGGTCTTCTCAAAAATAAATCTTTCCATTTTTTAACTCTTATCAATAGGTAAATAAATCAATTTTGATTCGTATGAAAGATACTAACATTGTCGTCCCATTTTCATTTTCGCTTCCGTGTCCCGTTTTCACATCTCTGTCCCAAATTCCTATTGGCGTCCCATTTTTGCAACTCTGTCCCAATTTAATTTGGAAATGACCATTTTTTTTTTTATTGGCCCAACCTAGTTTCGTCGACTGTAAGAGCGGCTCTTGAAGTAGATGTTTTCATTTCTACTCTTGCCACATGTACCAGATTTTTTGCCGTCGAAATTGGCACCAAAAACGACTTTAATAGTCTCCATGCTTCAAGGACGTCTGATGCTCAAATCAATCCATTTTAAATAAATAAAACTATCTCACTTTGGAAGCTTAACCGTCTATCATCACAATTGAAGTATATTATGCGAGAAATGTTTAAAGTATTTCATTAGTAAACACACAATTCTTGAAGCAGTCTGAAAACATACGATACTGACTTTTTTAAAAGTGCGATAAGAGTTTCTGGTACCTTCTCCATATAAATATATCTCTGTTGTCCGTACCAATCAAGTTAAGGCAAAACATATGTCTTTTTCCGCACACGTATTATATCATGTGACTTGATTTTAGACGATATGAAAAGTTGCTGATTAAACAACATCCTTTTTTTGCATTTCTTTCTTTTTCCTCCTTACTTTTTATATATATATATAATATGAACTTTGAAGACATTGTAGATATGGAATGGGTAGACACCACTACTCCCTCTGCTGCTACTGCTGCTGCTGAAGATTTTAATAGTAGTGATTATTATTTTAATCATCACACAGATTTCTTGCTTGAACAACCTATCACGCCACCTCAACAAACAGCCATTTTGGAACCTGAGATAAAGATAGAACCTCTTACTAGTATGCCTACCATTGAACAAATCAAGCAGCTTATTGAAATCGCGAAACGCCAACTTGCTTTACGCGAACAACAACAAAATCAACAACAACAACAACAACAACAAACAGACCAAGTCTTGTTCCAAACTTTGCCCACGACAGAAATTCAAACTGCTGCGCCCTCCAGCATTTTTGCTCCTCCCACAATAAATGCCGGAACAACTCCTTCTATGCCTGTGCTCTCTCCAAGCACTATTACATCTACTGATATGACATTGATGCCACCTATGAATTCTGCTTTTGAAACTTTACAGGATGTTTCGCCTTCTTTATCAAAGGTGGCGGATGATAAAACAACTGCGGTCAGAAGAAGTTCGCTTGCTTCTATGCCGGAAGAATCTATCTCATTGGAAGCCTATGCTGAAGCAGATGGTATTGACCTCAAGAAGCTTACACCAAAAGAGCGTCGTCAACTGCGCAATAAAATATCTGCTAGAAACTTTAGAGTCAGAAGAAAAGGTAAAGCTATAAAAAAAACAACCAATCAAACTAAACTCTGTCCTTAGAATATATTTCCACTTTGGAAGGACAAGTAAATGAACACAAAAAAGCAGCTGAAGCACTAAAAGAGAAGCTGATGCAAGCAGAAGACGAAAACAAAAAACTTTGCAAAGAGATGGACTCTTTAAAAAGACAAAACCAAATTTTGCAACAACAATTATCACAAAAGAACAACGCCAATCCTTCATCGCCCCGTATACCCAAGCCCAACTTGAACAAAGATATCAGCATCTTAGGTACAAAAGCAACAGATTCCTACCGCCAACAAGATAACTGTATACTTGTCTCTAATGCTGTCATGCCTGCCTGGGACTATCAAGCTATTCTCAGTAACAAAATTGAAAAACCCAAAGAAACTCCAGACTTGATGAGACATCTTGCTGGTCAATTTCTATTATCGGTTGTACAACTTGCAAACAGCATGCCTTGTGAAACCAATCGAAATGATATTAACTTGCCACCCCTTTTGCCTGAGGATCGTGATTTCGCTTCATCAGACGAAAAGAAAACTCCAGTTACACTCTCATCTTCATTGTCATCATACCTTCCTGCATCTTCTTCATACTCATCATATTCATCATTATCATCTTGTTCTTATATGGAAGAACTGTATGATACATTGATCCAGTCAGCATTGATCAATAGTTCAAATTCTGATAGATCTTTTTGGTGGTGGGATAATCAATCTCAAGCTTTGTAAATTTCTTTATATTAAATTTTGCTGCAAAAATAAAAAACAAAACACAATGCGGTTCTCCAATAGTCTTAAAAGGTCATATTGACTCTTTGTACAACATGACCTCATTTTATTCTCACTTGCTAAACAGACACGCATGCTGTTTCAATATAAACATCTTGCCCAAACAAGTATCATTAAATCAGTTGTCTCTCCTTTCTTTACCCCTGAATATGTATGTTTTCTTTGTTCATTTATAGACAAACTCCGCTTGTTTATTACAATTTGTTGAGTAAAGGAGGAATTAAATCATGCTGTTTCAATACGCGATAAATTTCATAAAGAGCATCTTCATCTTCAATAGTGGCGGGTACCTTAACTTCTTTACCCTCCACCATTTCTCGAATGCTTCTTCTTAAGACTTTACCACTTCTTGTTTTGGGTAAGCGGGACACAATTACAACCTTTTCAAAGCATGCAATCGCTCCCAAATCCCGACGTGTAGCTTCCACTAATTCCTTATTTAGCACTTGTTGATCTAAAGTCATTTTTTGATGCTTCAAAACAAGTATACCCAAAGGAACATGGCCCTTTAATTTGTCTGGTAAAGGGACAACACAACATTCTGCCACTAAAGGATGCGAAGCAAGAATTTGCTCAATCGATCCAGTGGAAAGGCGATGACCTGCCACGTTGATGATATCGTCTGTGCGAGACATGATATAAACATAACCTTCTTCATCAACCAGACCAGCATCGCCTGTATCAAAATACCCAGGATATTTATCAAAATAACTTGCCTTATAGCCTGTTTCATTATTCCATAATCCTGGGAAAGCGCCAGGAGGCAAAGGGAGTTTTAAGACGATATTTCCAAACTGATTAGGTTCTTTTGCTTCTTCCAAGCTGCCTTCTTTCAAGACACAGATGCGCGATCCAGGAACTTGTTTACCCGCTGATCCCCATTTGACAGCCTTACGTGCATCTTTAACCACACCAGCACAGATAGCAGTAACAGGAGATCCTACTAGATAGACAATATCAGACATTGTTCATCCTATTTCCATAAACTTACATTCAGTGCTCCAATAGTTATCAATCACTGTACAGTTCTTATGCACTGTATTTTGACACCATTTAAGTGTTCCAGGGTCGCTTCTTTCACCAGCCAAAAAGAGAGATGTCAGTGAGCTCAAATCATATTTCTTGGCCAAACTGCCCTGAGGATCCTCTCTCGCGATAGCCCGAACAGCAGTAGGAGCAGTAAACATAGTCTTAACCATATATTCAGAGATAAGACGCCAAAACACACCTGCATCAGGAGTGCCTATAGGCTTGCCTTCATACAAGATAGTCGTGGCACCAATCAACATAGGGCCATAAATGGTATAGCTGTGACTGACTGCCCAGCTACCATTTCATTCAGTAACTTGTCTCTTTTTTGTTTTTATAACTTACCCAATATCACTTGCTGTGAAAATAACATCTCCTTTTCTAATATTAAATACATACTCTATTGACCATCTTAATACAACGGCATGTCCTCCATTTGATCTAACAACACCCTATTTCCCTATGTAAACAAAAGCATCTTACTCTCCTCTTTTGTCATACCTTAGGCTGTCCTGTGGTTCCGCTTGTATACAATACATAAAGAGGATCGTCACTATCCACAGGGACACATGGCTTAAACTGAGCCTTCTTTTTTCGAATGTATTCCATTTCATCATCATAATCTCGATCACCTTGAGCATAGTTCATCAAAGCTCTTTCTTGACCTGGTCTTTGAAACACAATTCGAATAGGGACGTGATGACTAGTTAATTTCAAAGCACTTTCAAGAAGTGCTTTATTTTTTGTTTTGTTTTACATGAGATGTCGTATTTCTATAAGGGTACTTACGTTTATAAGGTATAATTCTTTTTGGTTCAATACCACAACTGGCTGTCAAGACAATCTTGGGCTTACAATCATCTATACGTTTTGCTAGTTCCTTTGGGGCAAATCCACCAAACACGACACTATGCACGATACCCATACGAGCACAGGCCAAAAAAGCAAATACAGCTTCAGGTACCATAGGCATATAGATCAAAACAGTGTCTCCTTTGGACAGACCATAGGAATGGAACACACCAGCCAGTGTCTGGACTTGTTCTAACACTTGCTCGTACGTAAATGTAATCTTGGTATTTGTCGCTGCAGAATCCCAAATGAGACATGGTTGATTTGCCATGTTTCCACTCATATGACGGTCAAGACAATTGTAACAAGTGTTGAGCTTGCCATTTGGAAACCAAGTGTAAGGGTTGGGTCCAGGACGTGATCCTAGGATAGATGTAGGCTTTTTGAACCAATCTATGTTTTCAGAAGCTCGCTGCCATAATTGAACATCGATCAATTCTTCTTGCTTCATTCTAGAATGTGTAAAAAAAAAGAAAGAGAAAAAGGGGAGATAAGCGAACAAGAAAAAGGTTTCTCTTTTTTTATTTGTTTATGCAATTAGGTTCATGAGAAATTCTCAATGCTTTCAATTATGTAGGATGGAAAAAATACATATTACATGTATTTCTCAAGCTAATCATGTGTGTATCACAACATCTGTTTTTGAAGCTAAATTGGTTTTTGCCACTTGATACGTTTTGAAAGACTTCACAAAGCTATATAGTCACTGGCAGATAAAAATGAAGTTAACATTTGATGTGTATATCAGCTATAATATAAAAATAGATTCACTTTTATTCATGCGATTTTGTCGATAAATCCCCTCCCCACCTTTTTTTTTTAAGCGGCGTACACTTTTCAATAAATATACTTAATTTCTATCTTCAGTGTCGGCACTATTTGGTTTGTATTGTCAAGAAGTATAAATAGACAAGAAAGACAAAAAGCAGGCAAATATGAAGAAAAGGGTGCTCGCGTCCGATATATATACAATGAATAAAGGGGAATATGTATAAACTTTATTTTTTTTTATTGAGGCTTTCCCTTCTTGAAATCAGCAACGACTTGCTTATAAAGTTCATCGTCACGCAAAACTTCTGCAGCTGTCAAACAAAGACACTTGGCAGCACGAAGTGTATCTTGATGTGCAACTTCAGTACGAGCAGCAGCTGTGAATTCTTTGGTGTGATTGGCAGCAGTTGTATGAATACCATAAGCAGGATGAATGGAGGGAACAACATAACTGAAGTTACCCATATCAGTACTACCTGTAGTGATTTGTTCTTCTTCAGATCTTGAGCGGTAAGTAATACCTTCTTCTCTCATGTAGTGCTTGAAGCTAGCTGTTAATGCATCGTTCATAAACACATCGTCAAGAGGACCAATTTCGGCCCATTTCAAATTGACAGAACAGCCAGTAGCACGAGCAGCAGCCAAGAAGCACTTTTCAACACGTTCCTTCAATTCCTTAAGTTGATTTTTGGTAACAGAGCGAGCCATGAATTTGGCAGAAGCATAGTCTGGAATGACATTGGCTGATTTGCCACCATTAGTGATAACACCATGAACTCTATTAGAATATCATATATCAGCATACGACTACCCTTTTACAATATTAGAGTACCTGTCGGTGGGTAACATTTGTTGTCTCAATAAACCAACGTTATCAAAGCCTTGCATAAGAGCATCAAGAGCGTTGACACCATTCCAAGGTGCCATACCAGCATGAGAAGCCTTACCAAAGAATTCAACTTCAAGGGTATCCAAAGCTAACATTTTGGCATAAAGAGAATCATCAGCAAAAGGGTGCTAGACGAAAGGTTAACTCCTTCGGTTACACATACACATATGTACTTACAAGCATCATAGAGAAATCAACACTATCTTGAAGGATACCCTTATTGATGAAATTGACTTTACCACTTGTAGACTCCTCAGCAGGAGTACCGAAAAGAACAACTGTACCTTCAACCAAGTTTTGCTCCATTAATGTCTTGAGACAGAGAGCAGAAGCAAGACCTTGCACAGTGATGATATTATGACCACAAGCATGGCCAACACTACATAGATAAATAAGAAAAAAGCCCTTATATGTATATATATGCTGACTAGTCTTACCCAGGCAAAGCATCATATTCACAAACAAAACCAACACGTCTACCGGACTTGCTGTTAGAAAATTTGGCCATAAAAGCAGTTTCGAGTCCAGCAGCTTGACGAGTGACTTCAAAGCCCTTCTTATCGAGGTAAGCTGTCAAAAGATCATGAGCATGGAACTCTCTGTTGCCTAGTTCGGGATCATCATGAATCTATGATTATTAGATTAAAAGAAACGTATTTGTGTTATTCTTTACCTTGATACTGATTTCGCGAAGTTCTCTATCGAGACTTTTGATAGTTTGGGCAATAGAATCTCGGATCTCGGTATTCATTGTTGAGAGAAAGAAAGAAAGTGAGAAAGGAAAAGAAGAAAAAATAAACCCTATTTTTTTTTATATCTAAAGTTCCCTCCGAGCAACCGGTGATTTTACATGATTTCTGTAGCATTGTACACACGCTTACACAACGGACTCTGAATAGGCAGTATCTAAAAATCCATGCTGATATTCTGTATCGTCTCACTTTTTTTTTGTGAAGATATGTACATGTCAACATGGTTACCTTGTTTGGCAAATAACGCTACATAGGTCTTGATAATACAAACATATAGAGTTTATATCAATACTTCGTGCAACTCTTTCAAATTTACACGAACTTTATTTTTCTTCATCATTGACAGCTTCTTCTTTTTGTTGCAGTAAATACAAAATAATTGTTAGACACACTTGGCATTGAGGTTCTTTACATAAAAAAAAAATAGAATAGTTCGCGTCTGACGTAAATTTAAAGCATTTACTCTTTTTGGTGGTATTCCTCCTTTTTTATTAAGGGTTACCCCGGAGTGAATTGAAAAAAAAAAAAAAAATTCTAATTCCTCCAGCCTTTATCCGTCCCGCTACAAATCTATTATCTCTTCCTCTTTTTTAACTTAAAAATGCTTCTTAAGGCCGTCGCTAAACCCACTGCTCTTAACAGCGCCAAGAAGGTTAGAATAAATCAATAATAATAAACTTGAGCTCATATAGAACAGGTTGCTACTCGCGCTTTTGCTTCTCAAGCTTCTATTCCCACCCCTGCTGCCGCTGAACAAAAGTCTGTAAGTAACATACATATATATATAGTTTCTTTTTTTCAGCAGTATTTTAACCTGAACTAGGTCTTTTCCAAGAAGTATGGAGGAAATTACACCGTTACCCTTATTCCTGGTGACGGTATTGGCCAGGAACTCGCCTCTTCTGTAAAGGATGTTTTCAAGGCTGCCAGTGTTCCTGTTGAATTTGAACAATACGATGTTTCTGGTATCACTTCTACTGATGATGAACTTTTCCAAGAATCTATTGCTTCTCTCCGTCGTAACAAGGTCGGTCTTAAGGGTACTCTTTTCACCCCCACTTCCCGTTTTGGTCACAAGTCTTTCAACGTCACTATGCGTAAGGATCTTGATATGTATGCCTCTCTTTCTCTCTGTAAAAATGTTCCTGGTGTTGAATCTCGTTTGAGTAATGTTGATATTGCCATCATTCGTGAAAACACTGAAGGTGAATATTCAGGTTTAGAACACCAAGTAAGTAAAGGAATAAATCATGCATATCTTTGATCTGACTTTTTTTATATTTCAAAGTCTGTTCCTGGTGTTGTTGAATCTCTCAAGATCATTACTCGCGCAAAGACTGAACGTATTGCTCGTTTCGCTTTTGATTTCGCTGTCAAGAACAACCGTAAGAAGGTCACCATTATCCACAAGGCCAACATCATGTAAGTAATGGGTTAATGATAGATACAGGCGATTCATTTTTCTTTTTGTAAAGGAAATTGGCTGATGGTCTCTTTTTGCGTACTTGTCGTGATGTTGCAAAGGAATATGCTCACCATGATATTGAAGTCAATGACATGATTGTTGACAACACTGCCATGCAACTTGTCTCTCGTCCTCAACAATTCGATGTTATGGTTATGCCCAACTTGTACGGTAACATTGTTTCCAATGTTGTAAGTATTTTGAGTTGATAAATACATGGTTGAATTAATTCGTCTATGTAGGGTGCTGGTTTAATCGGTAGTCCCGGTTTGATTCCTGGCTGTAACATTGGTCGTGAATATGCCATGTTCGAACCTGTAAGTAAACTTTGATTTGGAAGGGATTATCATTGACCAAAAAAAAAAAAAAAAAAAAAAAAAAAAAAAAAAAAAAAAACTTTATAGGGATGTCGTCATGTTGCTCTTGATATTCAAAACCAAAACTCTGCTAATCCCACTGCTATGCTTTTGTCTTCTGTCATGATGTTGAGACACTTAAACTTGGACGAACATGCCAACAGAATTTCTTCTGCTGTCTATGAAACCATTGGCACCAATGTTGCCAAGACTGTTGATATTGGCGGTACCAGCACTCTTAAAGAATTTACTGATGCTGTCATCTCCAAGTTGTAAAATCGATTGTAAGAAAACATTGACTTTTTAAACTATTCTTTCTCTTTTTTCTATTCTATTATTATTCTTGTTACTAGTACTGTTCAATTTTGTATTGTGAACTTGACAATAAAGTATGGTTGTTTATACAGATGCAGATTTATGATATCATATAAATAAAAGCTTACATGATAATAATAAAAAAACAACAACATTCCTTTTCTTTGCTCTCATGCTTTTCCTTTTTAGTTATTCTATACTTGACATTAGAAGAATAGACAGCAAAGTGCTTGTCAAAGAGTTGTGTATTTTCTTTTAAAAGAGCATTTATTGGTAGTAATATTTGTGTGTACGTTTTTGTACCTTATAGCCAACTGAACTAAAAGCAAATTTTATTTGAGATATACTCAACTTTTCTTTAGACCAACATTATTCTTTTTAGAGCACTCAGCCTTTTCATTTTGGGTTGATAGTGATAAACCACAACACATATCTCCTTAACTTTTTTTTTTGCCTTGTGTATTTCCGCGGATTTGATCTACGCTTGATAGGATATCTTGATCAATTAAATCCTGTTTGTTTATCGCTACTGCCAGAAGAAACAAAGGCTTTCTGAAAGAAATAATCTTAAAAGCATTACATGAGTCATTTTCTACAGAAACAAAAACTCAATTATCACGTATTTAAAAAAAAAGTATTTAAACTGTCCATGGAATTGCTAAACAAGAATAGTTTAGTAAAGGACTAATGATGAACGAATAATTTTGTGACAATAGACATAGTTTAAAGGTCCATCATGTGTGCTTTGCTTTCTAATATATTGCTAACAACAGTTCTAGTTCTCGATCCACTCTCTAAAAACAAGACATTGTAGTGTTTTCCATGAGAAGTATAGCGAACTTGCTCGAGGAAGTTGTTATTTATCATAGTAGATATATGGCAAAATAAAGCGACCAACCAGTCTATAAAGAAGCTAATTTGGACCTTATTTTGACATATATCCGTACCAAAAAAAAAAAAAAAAGTTGGATGAGCAAATCAATAAACACACAATATTTGCATTATAAGAAATCATGTATATGTCTTTTTTTTTTGTTCTTGAAACCAATGCAACTGATTGATTTGGTTAAAGATACTGAATACCATGATCTGCTGTAGAATGATACCAGTATGAACTGAGTTGGAAAAAAAGTTTGCATAAAAACCGACAGACTGAGTACGAAAAAGGGACATTAATCAATTTGCAATATGTCAAGTCTGTCTGTATTAATTAAAAATAAATAACGCATAAACAAGCTTTTTTTTTTCTTGAGAACTAGAATGTGATGTATATATGTATATATATCTATTTTATTTCAATAATAAGTTATAATAGCCAGTAAGTATTAGAGGATGCATTATTTGTGTGATAAGAATCATTATCAGATTCATTGTTTGAATCACTGAACTCAGGAAAAGACACATAACTCTTTTGAAATTCTGATAATTGGTCGAGACAGAGATTAGAAGTATTTGAGAAATGTTGATTGTTGTTTTCGTCACAAATTGAATTCTTTCTCTTGAACACGATTTCTTTAATGAATTCAGCGCAAATATCTGACCAATGATGATGGCGATTGATTTTATTATTATTGTTGTTGTTGCTGTTACTATCGCTGTTGAAATTGATAGATATGCTCTTTCGTTTCAGCATCAACTCAAGGCTGTTCTTTTTTGGTATGAACATGGTGTTTTAAAGGAGTGGAAAGGAGAGTAGATAAAAGAGATGTGTATGGTATAATACACGCGTGTGTACACACAAAAAAAAAAAAAAAAAAAAAAAAAAGAGAAAAAGAAAGAGGAATTTTTTAACTAACTCCTGAATGTTCTGCATATAAATAAGATATCCTAGAGTCTAGATAGTTCTATTTTTTTTTTGGGTATAAATAGATATTATTATTATTGTCAAAGCTTCTCGCTCTGTTTCTTTACGTCATTTAAATTAAGCAAACCGAATTTCATTGACGTCCATCGATAGAGAGAGAGAAAGAAACAACTTTCTACACAGTCGGAAAAATAAGACTTTACAAAAAACCAATTGAGAATTTAATAAAGTTAAAGATGTACAGTCTACATTTATATAAACTCTTGCATGATGTGTTTTAAATACAATGTCTATTCAAGACGAAGGTTAGCAATTTCTCTCATCACAGAGACTTCAGAAGCCACTTTTTGTTGTTGAGGAGTAGACAATGTTTCGCCTTGACTCATCTTATCCTTCAATTCTCTAATTTGTCTTAATTTCTTTTCAAGATTACGAATCTTCTTTTGTCTTTCTTCTGCACTAGCAGCACTTTCTGTTTGAGATTGTTGTTGTTGCTTAGCAGGAGTAGATTCTTTCTTTTGATTCTTGTTGTTTGTCTTTGCACCCACAACTTTACGTTGGAAACCAGAAGATTTACCAACGCCATTAAGAGCAGCAGCTCTTTCAGAAAGAGACATGGGAGCAGCAGTGCCTCTAAGATGAGGAGGTCTGTAGGCACCTGTAGGAACTGCATTGGCCTTAGCACCGCCACCTTTCGTAGGAAGAATTTTGATAGGGTTGGGAGGAGGAGAGATGGCTCTCATAGGATAGCGATTAGCAGGTTCAGGGCGATATCCAATTTGATAGAGTTCATCAACAGCTTCTTCATAGATCAAAGTACCAGAATGGTGCCACATTTTGAAGCCGTTGTCTACACGAAGACGAGGTGTCAAAGTGGCTGTCAAGAGATATCTACCACAAGGAGACCATTCACAATGAGAAGCATTAGGAGCAGCAAATGTATTGATCTTCTTAAGAGACTTTCTGTCCCATAAGTCAATCGTACCGTTCAAGTTACCAAAACCAGCAATACAGATAGTGCGTCCTTGAGGATTGTATTTGACAAAGTTACGGGGATTGATACCAAAGTCAAAGACAGCAGTTGCACGATGATCAAACAAAGTGGTCTTGGCAGGCATAGAGCCATAGACAACAATGAATTCCTTAGAATCAGGACCCCAAGTCACATCGTGAACAGGGCCTTCTTTATCAAGAGGAACACGGCAATCAAAATTGCCAGCAACTGCAAGATAATACAAGTTGGTCTCGCCATAATAAGATTTGTTGGACTTGTCTACATCTGTCATAGTCAACACAAGCAAATTGGTACCCAAATCATTCCAATGCAATGTCACTCTGTCAGCCTTAAAGAATGTTTTGTTGGATAAAGGTGAATTGAAGTTGGGAATACTGTACATACGAACAATAGCAGGTGCACCCTAGTTAATAAGTTAAAATAAACTCCCTCAATAAAAAAAATAAAACTGCTTACGTTCTTTTCAGGAATAAAGACAGCAACAGCGGGTGCTTTACCAGGACTCAAAGAGAATTGTGCAATACCTTCAAGTTTAAGTCTGGCCCAAACAGCTATCCAATGTATAAGAAAAAAAAAGGCATCGCATCAATCAACATTACTTACATTTGCCAATATTGTTGCTTTCCCAGAACTGGACTTCACCGGTAACCATGCGAGCACAGTACTTTTCGTCATCAGTCCATTGAAAGTTCCAGTTGTTTTGAGCCTTTTGAACAAAAGCAGCAATAGACTCACCAGTCTTGGCATTCCAAATAGTGAGGTTATTGTTGGCAGCACCATTTTCGGCTTTGGCTAATACAAAATCAGTACATGCAAACATAGGATCTCAAGTGTACTTACAGGGACGCTCCCAAGTAGCCAAATAGCTACCTTGAGGGGAAAGCCAGAAATCAACCACATTGGCTCTTTCAATCTCACAATATTGTTCTAAAGAAGTAGCATCGAATACCTTGATACTATAACATGATCGGATTAGCTTCACATGATCAACTATATGGTTGTACCTTTGATTAGTTGCATAGGCATAAACAGCACCGTATCTACTGTAATGAAACATGCGACTGGTAGCATCTGGCCTACAGGTTATGTTAGCGCGTTCTGTGTCTTTCAAGGAGCACTCAGCTTACTTTTCAAACTTGTTGACAGCCTTGAAATCAGGATAGCCGTTCCAGATTGTCAATTCTTTTTGAGAACGAACTATACCAAGTGTTAGTTTAGACCGAGAAAAAAGGTGCTAAGACATACAGGAGAATTGAGTGATGGGTTGTGTTGACATTGAATGAGCAAGTACAAAAAAAGACTGAAAAATCTTTGAAGGTTCAAGACGAGTTAGAAAAAAGAGTATTCGTGACGGTTCCTTTTTTAAAAGCACGAAGTACAAAGTAAGCCATTTGCTTGCATAAGCGGAAAGAAAAAGGAGCATTGTGATACATGGTTGAATGAGAACCTGTCTTTCTTTGTCAAACGATATTTTATGCTTGTTTAAAGAAAACGAGACACTGTTCATTGTATTTTGTTTTGATAAAAAACGAGCATAAAGTCCTTTGTTTAAATCTATAGAATACATAACTTTTAAAGTCATTTTGGGTCGACATCAAAAGTTGGCTATGTTCCTGTTTTATTTAAAGTCCTAAGAAAAATTGACATTTCTGTTGAATGGGACCCCTTTAGTCAATATTTATTCCCTGACAATTCCGCTTTTTTGGAACTTTGTACCTCTAAAAGTAGAGCTATGTACACGTTTATGAGCCATATGATCTTTACGAAATCTATTGTAGAATTGTAAAGTTATGGCTCAAAGACCTTAAGAACAAATAGGACGATTTTCTCAACATTTTTAATAGTAGAATAGTCATTTTGTTTACATCTATCTATCTATCTATCCATACAATTAGAAGCATGCATACTATGTGGCTATTAAATAACTTTTGGTTCCATTTGGCGCATTACACACCTAATATGTTTTTGATCCTTGATTTATGCCTTTTTCGAGTATCGACTTGTGTCTTCTTAAATAGACCTCCAACATAAACTACCTTTTTTTCTTGAATCAATTTGGCAAACAGTCTATTGGCATAATAATACTAGCGGCGGATTGGCAGCCCGCTGCGAGTGTTTTTCAAAATAAACTATCATTCTACCTTCTGATTCCCATTTTTTGAGTTTCTTATATTTGAGCATACATAAAAGAACATATTTATGAAAACATGAGAAAATTGTCATTTTGCCCTTAGATCCCTTTTACGAAATCTTCATTTTTCACTATTTTGCGATTGGTGAGCGATAGAGATATTATTAGTATAACATTTCTTAGTACGAATTGTTTCTCTGATTCCATAAAATACATTCAAAGCGTTACATTTGCAGAAGTACTATAGAAAGTGTACGTTAAGGCTCAAAAATTGAAAATACGTTTTTGAAAGATAGCTCTATATTTTACTAACAAATGTACTATTCTCTTTATATCATTCGATGCGCCGTGTCTATATCTACTAACTTTGCTAATACGCTTTTTGATAGCTCTTAGTTTTTAGATACCTTTAGTCCATTATTTCTCTTGGATGTCTAATTTTTTTTTTTTTGTTAAAGTGCTTTATTTATTGCTTCACGTAGACGAATGTGAACCACTGTCAAGAGGTGGGCGCAAATTAAAATGTTATAAAGTAAAATAAAAGAACTGGTGTAGAAATAGAAGAGATTAAGTATGAGCTAGATGAGTTGAGTTATTTAGCTTCTTATCCGTTAGAGTCTTGAGTTTATGTGTTTCTCTGCTACTTGTAGTTGCAGATTAACATGGGTTTGTTGCAGTAGCCTTTGAGGATCAAAGGATACATTATCAAAGATAGATCTCCAGTGAGCCTTCCAAATTTCCGTTAATACAGTAAACACCACGTCTTGTATAGTGAGATTGTTATTTTGACAGTATTTAGTAGGATGGAAGTCCAATGATTGCACTGCCATAATTATACCATCGATAGTAAAAGTTGACCACAGGAACTTAAAAATCAGTTCACGCCAAAAGAAATCCTTGGACAAACACATAAACAGCAAATGGTTATCATCTTCGGAACGGAATGAACAAATCAAACATATCGAAGGCCGAAAAGTATCTTAAATAAAGCGATTTAGGCGGATTTGGGTGAGCAATTTATGTAAAATAAATCGATAAACCACATTTCTTGTTACAGAGAGCAACGACATGGTCCAGAATTCAGGCCAGAACTGTGAAGACCGAGCTTGAAAAATTGAAAGGACAGGTTGAAACTCAAGGTAGTTTAAACGGCATGCCTTTGCCAATATGGACTTGATTGAATTGAAATTGTCAGGTAAATCAAGACAATTCACCAAAGACTGGAATGTAAGCATAGCAGTGTATGGGGAAGTACTACCCAAGTGCGACGGAGCTTCTAAATAAGCAGCAAAGAAGGGAAATGGTTTCACCTTATGTCTTTAGACAGCTTGGATTAATTTTTGTTGAGGGCCCATCAGTTCTTCAGGGATATCAGTTGCTGGTTTCCATTCAATGACTTGTGTAGAAAGATTGAACGACATGAGACTACCAACAAGAAGATGACGACTAGCAATCGGGAGATATGAACGATTTGGGACAACTGAGTGCATGACATCAATAAAAGGCAGGAGTAAGCAAGCCGCAGGATTTAGCTGCATCGTATCGAAATTACGAAGAATTCGATCCAAAGAAGAATACAAGAGATGAATAGTGGATGTTCTTGCTTTAGGAGCAGAGGCAGACTTTTTGAATCTCTTAGTGTTCGGAAACAGCAAAGGAATCTGAACATGCGTCGCCCCAATTGCGTACTGTAAATGAATCTTCAAGAGTTTTTTCCAGTATACTTCAGTTGAATCTAGTAGTAGAGGCACTACTCATCGAAAATATAGTGCACCTCTTTGCAAAACTAGATATAGCACTCCTAGTCCACCAACGTCTTTTGTCTATGTACAAGTACTCCAAGCAATCTTTGGAAAAATATTCTTGTTCATGAAACGGCTTGCTAAGGACTGGATACAAGAGAGTTCTGTCTTGGTAAAAGGAACCACACAAAAAAGGTACCAACATTTGGAGAACACCAGAGTATTGATTACTGTTGCTCATCCCAATACCGACAGATTGCGTACAGAGTGCATATTGAAGTGTTGTTCTAGTTGGGCCAGTAGATCAGCAAAAAAAGGTGGCTCTTTGCTCTAGAGATTGTAACAAAGGAAAGCCAAGGTGGATTGTTGGTTGACTGTTCTCAGTTGACGTTATTCATTCAATCTGAAGCGGCAACAGGTGTCTAGACCAAAATCGAAACGAATCTCTTCCTAATAGCGATACTGCTTCAATCTTGTTATAATTGATCAACGCATTAGAAGTCCAACAATAGATCTTGATACGCTTTTGCACTCAAACCAGATCATCAGGATCATGAACAAACACGATAGTATCGTCCGCATAGCATAGTATCTTTGTAGACACCCTAGTTGACCATATGGACGTTGATGGAAGAAAAGCTGGAGCTAATTGCAACGTGTATCCTTTCATCAACTCATCTTCAATAACATACCTTAGAAAGGGATCAAAAGCTAGGTTGTACAATACTGATGAAATAGGGTCGCCTTGCTTAAGTCCTCTTTTCTTGTGAACCACTCGAGTGAAGTATTCATTAACATTGATCTTGATTGAGTTTTTGGAAAGAGAATTGAAAATTGTTATTACTATATTTTCAGGGAATCCAAACTTCAAAAGTATGTGTTTTAGATAGTTTACATTGACTCTGTTGTAAGCCTTACAATGCGCGCATCAGCTGGGTAACTGGGAGAGCCTTTAATAAAGGTACCGTTAACCAAATACACTCCTTCATTCAAGATTGTTTGGCGACCCAAACCATCTTTTCTCCAAACAGTTTCTTAAACGAACGGCTGAGATATTTGCGGATCACAGGTACGCGGCCACAATAATCTTCATAGCCACCGTTCTCGTCCATATTCTTGTTAAAATCAAGAAGGACATCAAACGAGAGCTCTTCATCTTTGATATCCGTAGTATCGATAAGAACACTGTCTTTCTCAATGACTTTTATAAAAGGTTAAACCAAGTTAACAGGTGTTGGTTGAGCAGAGTCAGACAAGGGTGACTCGCTGATGGTATATGAGTCTGTAAACGATGCAGATGGAGTGAAGACAATCGGTCAAAAGGACAAGTTGGTACTTGCCTAACCTGACACCACTTTTTCCCAAGAGAGAGAAATGTTGTTATTATTGTTCTTCCTGCCTGAGCTGGAAGCTTTGGCCTGAAGGTTACGATTTGGAGAATCAAGCGGAAGAGCAATGCTTGAATGTCTAATTTTCGTTTTTGACATGATAATACCAATTTAAACTCAGGATTTTTATTAGGGACACTTCACTTATGCTAAGCTTCAAGGCATGTCAACTTTTTTTATTTTGCTCTATAATGCTCTTTCTTGTTATTGTAACAAAGACAGTCAGTTTATATACTTTCTTTCTTTTTTTTTCTATAGGAATCAAGGGTTAGAATATCAAATTGGAATAGAAAAAAGAGGATATATGGTCACACAATAATTTGGTTGACAAAGACACTGCCACGTCGAATGCCTTTTTGTCTCCTTAAGTTTAGGACTCCGCTGATTGGCTAAAGAACGCGGGAATTCAGTTTTGCTTTTGTCCTTTTATTCTTTAACATGTACAACTTGCAACAAAGAGCTAATGTAATAAAGTAATACCATGTCCATGCTCTATCTTATGCTCTTACATTAGAACCTCTTTTCTTTTGCTGTTACTGTGATTGGTACAGTATTGGGTCTTGTTGCCTTGATCTCAGCCATCACAGGCTATGGTTCGACTGATCCTAACCTTCAAGTTGACACAAACAATATTAAAATGTACCTCTCTATAGCATGGTTATCTTGAGCTTATATTTTTCTCTCTCTTTCTATAGTGTCACACGTAGATATGGCCCTGAAGATACAGATTATCGCAATAGTAAAAGTGAATTTGCTCGATTGACCTTTGATATTGATGCAGGCAAGCAATGAATGGCCTTCCCCTCCTCCACTGCATACTCATTATAACTAGACTTTACACCCATGTTTAATTGGAACACAAAACAAGTGTTTGTGACAGTAGTAGCAGACTATCAAAACAAACAGTTTGTAAGTAACAACACCATGGTATCAATGCCTTATTTTTCTAGGGACGTAACCGTGTTGTACTTTGGGATAAAATCATTACCAGTAAAGAAAAAGCACACCTGAAATTACGTAATGTCAGAAACAAGTACGCTCTGATTGATATCAGTCAAAAATGGAGGTAAAAAAAAGAAGACAAACATGGGTTTTATAAACAAGGTCTAATTGTAATCATAGTGACAATCCTGCCAATTTGACACTTTTATGGGATGTAACACCCTATGTAGGTCTTCTTCAAGCTGGTCAATCAAACAAGGGTTCTCAATTCATCATACCCTCATTTGCTTCACAAAAATAAAGAATTATTATTTACATTTCTTTATTTACAAAATGGTACGCTTAATCTTGCTTGACAGTAACAGATTCATTCTTGATGGTGTTCTTAGCATCAGTACCAGTAGTGCCAGCCTTAGCGACAAAAGCTCTTGACTTGGCATAGGTATCTTGAACAGCAGTAGTAGCAGCAGTTTGAGCTTGTTTAATACCTGTTTGAAGCAATGTTTGACCTTTCTGGAGTTGAGCATCAACAACGTCCTTGTTGCTGATATAGAGACGAGGGAAAATAAAAGCGGACATAACAAGACCCAAGATAATGTTCATAGTAGAAACATGAGCAGATACCTTCCAGATAACAAAGAAAATAGACATCCATTTAGCACTGGTCCATGTGTTCTCAATAAACACAATACGAGTCAATGCCCGAATCACAGTCTCAGCTACTTCAGTCATGACAGTTGTATAGTAGCCTACACTTTGTCTGTCAATCATGGCATGTTTGTCGTTATGAATGACATCACTATGATTTAGGTATGAGTTTTTTTTTTTTTTTTTTTTTTTATTATGCAACTTACTTGTAAGGATGAGCGGCATCTTGATTGGTGAGAACTTTTTGACTTTGAAGAACCAGATTGACATAGACAAGGTTAATACCAATAGCCAAAGTTAAAAGACTAGAACCAATTTGCAATAAAGAGTACCAACGTGTCAACAGAATCGAGCCAACAGTAATAGCGAAAATAGCACCAGAACGAACAGGGTTTCTCCATTGCAAGATAGAAAGGACTTCATTTTCAATACGATGCGTGGTATCATTGCGTTGAGTGCTTTGGAAACGCTTATGATCACCCATGGTGCGAGAAGGCATACCTGTGGTAGTCGTTCCAGAAGCAAATGGGTTACTTTCCTTATGAATAGCAGGAGCAGTAGTCATGTTTGTGGGAACTGTAGAAGCAGTAGTCATGTTTGTAGGAGCTACAGAAGCAGTAGTCAAGTTTGTGGGAACTGTAGAAGCAGGAGGCATTTGAGCATGCATGTTTTCTCTTTGCTTGTCCAAGAAAGCACTGTCATTCAATGAGTCTTGGTCCCTCAAGTAATTCAAATTGTCAGCTTGCTTGCGGTCAGAGGGAGGAGTAATAGGGCGTTGTTGAAAAGTTTCCATTGATAAAAAGATAAAGAATGATAAAAAATCAACTTGTTCTCTTTGTTCGCCTTTTTTTTATATACTTTTGACATGCATTAACTTTGCATAACCATGAAGTCATTCTTTTAAAAGACAAATGGCACTTGCTTTATTTGGCACTATCAAGTCACATTCGTCATGATGATTTTTTTTTCAAATTTTTTTTTTTCATTTTCTCTTTCCCTCTTAAACCTTATTCGCTATGGCCACGCAGGAAAATACTATGAAGATCGAGCAAGTCAAGACGGCCCCTCACGAAAAACGCGTTGCTACTCATTCTCACATTAAAGGTCTTGGTCTTAGACCTGACGGAACTGCTGAACCTATTGCTTCTGGTTTTGTAGGCCAAGAAAATGCACGCGAAGTAAGTATTGACGCGTAGAGAGAATAAACTAAGCCCCTTCTTCTCCTTTATAGGCTAGTGGTATTGTGGTTGAAATGATTAAATCAAAAAGTATGGCTGGACGTGCTTTATTGTTTGCTGGTGCCCCTGGTACGGGTAAAACGGCTATTGCACTTGCTATTGCTCAAGAATTGGGCCCCAAAGTACCCTTCCGTCCCATTGTGGGTTCAGAAGTGTATTCTAGCGAAATCAAAAAGACAGAAGTGCTTATGGAGAACTTTAGAAGATCGATTGGTTTGCGTATGAAGGAAACAAAGGAAGTCTATGAAGGTGAAGTGACTGAATTGACACCTGAAGAAACAGAGAATCCATTGGGTGGTTATGGCAAGACAATTTCACATGTCATTATTGGACTCAAGACAGTCAAGGGCACAAAACAACTCAAGTTAGATCCTAGTATTTACGAATCCATTCAAAAAGAAAAAGTTACTGTAGGCGATGTGATCTATATTGAAGCCAATACAGGTGCCTGCAAGGTAAGTAGTCATCACCATCTAAACATAAACTCATCATGTATGTATGTATGTATGTATAGAGAGTAGGTCGTTCAGATGCTTATGCGACAGAATTTGATTTAGAAGCAGAAGAATATGTTCCTTTACCCAAGGGAGATGTTCATAAAAAGAAAGAAGTGATTCAAGATGTCACCCTTCATGATTTAGATGTCGCTAATGCAAAGCCTGAAGGTGGACAAGATATTATGTCTATGATGGGCCAGCTTTTGAAGCCTAAAAAGACAGAGATCACTGAAAAACTTCGACAGGAAATCAACAAAGTCGTCAACAAATACATTGAACAAGGCATTGCAGAATTGGTGCCTGGTGTTCTTTTCATTGATGAAGTGCATATGTTGGATATTGAGTGCTTTACTTATTTAAATAGAGCACTTGAATCTCCTTTATCACCCATTGTTATCTTTGCCACCAACAGAGGCATGTGTACGATTCGGTAAGTTGAATCTTTAGGGAATAGGCTTGAGACTTAATTAGCCATTAGTGGTACAGATGACATTGTTTCTCCTCATGGTATTCCTGTTGATTTATTGGATCGTCTTTTGATTATCCGTACACTTCCTTACACTGTAGACGAAATCAAGGTTATTATCAGCATCAGAGCAAAGATTGAAGGATTGACGATAGATGATGAAGCTGTTGAACACATTGCCAATGCTGGTGTCAATACTTCTTTAAGATACGCTGTGCAATTATTGACACCTGCCAACATTTTATCTGAAATCAATGGTCATTCTTCTATCTCTTTGGACGATGTTAAAGAAGTGGACGACTTGTTTTTTGATTCAAAGAAATCAGCCCAACATTTATTAGAACAAGAGTCTCAATTCCTTAATTAATTCATGCTGTACAATAAATAATATATCACATTAAAACTTGACAACTTTCTTTTTGGCTTGCATGACAGGTGCTTGAACAGGCTTCTTTTTGGTTTCTTTAAGCTTTTGTTTGGTTTCTGCAAAGATATGATAATCATCATCATCTGCGCCTTGATCTAAACTGATCATACCCACGGCTGTTGTGCCTGCTGTTTCCTTGGTAACAGGACAATCCTTGGCCAAGTGATCGACTTGTTTACAAATAGCACAGCTACCACCATTAGGGTATAAACCTTTTTCGTTCTTGGGACATTGGCCTGCCAAATGACCTTCTTGGTTACAGATAAAGCATTTAGCATAAGGAAGTTCATCTAAATAGCGTAAGTTGTCCTTGTTCCTTCTCAAAAGACTTACTGTTCTTTCTAGGTTTTCGACAGTCTTTTAGACGATGTTCCGTAGTACCACAATTATAACAAATATTCGCATGCTCTTTGTTTTTAGGACAACGGTTTACAGAGTGACCTGGTTTTCTACAAGCAAAACATACTTCTGTTGCTTTTCTCTTATTGTACTTTTCTCCGTTGCCTACATCGACCATGAATTATCATTTTTTTTTTTTTTTTTGTCTTACCAGCATCATTGTCTCTACCACGTTTGGTTCCTCGGTTATTGTTTCCTTGATTGTCTCGACGAGGTAATAAAGGGTTCACTTTAAAGCTATCGTCTGCCTTGACAAACGTCTTTCTTTTCATTTTTGTATAACGAGTCATAATATCTATAAAGAAGAAAAAAAAAAAGAAAAAAAAGGCTTTATTTTTTTATAGAAATAAAAAGTGGCTTGTTATATTACATAATCTATTTTGGTTTTTTGTATTTCTGCATAAAATGTGAGTAACAACATCCATTGCCTACATTCAACTTACATCTTCACTTTGTAATCGCATTACAGGATCAATCGAACTCCGTAGTCCAGTCAAGATACTCTGTAATGCACTGGTAAGTCCAATCATCGGCTTAATCACAGCCACAGGTACAGCACGAATGACAGCCTTGGCGCCATGTTCTTTAGGCACCATATCTTCCTCCTCTTCTTCTTCTTCTTCTTCAGTAGGTACAGCAAAAATCGTTTGTGCAGCGAGGGTCTTGTTCATATGTTGATAAAGTCCTTCAGACGGACTCGGTTCATACGGTTTTTTCTGTTCATGGCTTGTGCTTGGACGATGATCTGAACCAAGGAGTTCCTCTTTTCGAATGATCTGTAAATCATCTTCATCTGTATAAACAAAATGGTACTGTTGATCCAACCCCATGGATGAATGAGGCGGTGAAGAAAAAAAACCATCTGCATGCTCTAGTATCACTTGTGTGCCTGTGGCCATTTTAGAGCCTAATTTGATGGCTTCAATGGCTGTTGCTCGAGCAAATGAAGACGTGCCTCTTTGGATACCCTTCATCAGTCGACCGTCTTTTTTGTACTGTTGAATAGGCAACAGCACAAGATCAGCAACACCTGTGCCTAGATTCACCAGTGAACGCACAGGAGGTACGCCTGAAGCAACATGGAATACTTGGGATGTTTGCTTCAGATGAGGTAGCCATGCTTGTCCTAAACGATCTAATAGACTAGACCAGCCCTTGATACCAGTCAGTTTGACATGGGTCAAGGACACTTCAGCACCGTCAAGGTGGAACAGTTTGATCAGCTCCAAGTATTGGCCCTCTTTGACATTGCCTAATTTAAAGTGTTTGGGTTTATAGTCTACTTTAAACACAAGAGGATGAATGTCGACATGTTCTAATGTTCAAGTGTGAGTCAATCATGCCGTGGTCTGATATACATACGAAAATAAACATCTTTGACTTCCTCGTCTTCTTGTGCTTGAGGAATCGACTGATTGGCAGCATGAGTAGATCTCAAGTTTGATTTATCAAAACTAAAGAATTTCTCTAAAAAGTCCAATGGATCTTGATCTACATATAAACGAATAGGCAGTAATTTCACTTTCAAACGAAACTCTTGCTGAGGATCATGCTGCACAGGTCGCAAACTGAACAGTTCAATATGGACCATACATTCATCCATCTCTCGTTGCTCTGCGTCTGACCGCATATAGCCCAAGAACTTTTTCCAGTTGGATGTCTTGATGTTATCAATAATCTCAACATCCTTGATATTCAAGTTCAAATACATGGCTGTCGGATCATTGTCTGACATGACATCCAAGTCGATCGAGACATGGTCCAGTCTGAACTCAATATGGGCGTCTTTTTTGTGCCGTCGTTTATCGAGATGATCGCCAAATCCAGTTTGCTGTTTAGTAGCCATGTCAGACCGAACATAGTCCCATGCATAACCATCGTACAGTTTCCAGACGACATTCAGGTTAGACACACGTAAAGAAAAAATCGCTTTCGACAAGTCCACCATGGACTTTGGCACACGCACTTGCTTCTCAAGCCCAAAATAATCCTCTACTAACTGCAGCCTGTCTTCTTCAAGCACACGCACCATGTCTTCTGATGTTCTGGATCGATGGATCTGACGACGCGGTTTTGTCGGTGGTAATCGCGTGGTAGAATAATAACTGCTACTGCTGGATGCTTCACTATTGTGATAGAACTCTTCAACATAATTAAACTCTTCCATTTCGGGTGCTTCAATCAACGTAGGCGGTGATAGTTGAGAAGGCGAGATCTTGAACGCATCTTCGTCTAGACTGGTCAACATGTCTTCTTTATGCATGGTACATGTAGCATGATGGGTGGGAGATGAACTCGGTTGATGTTTAGCGTGTTGAACAAACGTCATGACATTCATCAGGGTCTGAAACGCATCCGCACTGGTGTCCAGCGAGATGTCTGTACTGACAATAGCCAAGTCGACTTGAGGAGCCGCCACATAGTCATCCAGCTTGAGTTTGATACACAGCTCAATGTTCTGAACAGTCAAGGTACTCACGAACCCCAAGGTAGACCAGTACGTGCGTGCATCTGTCATGCCTTGTTGTTGGTGGTCTGAAGGGCGATGGAGTTCTTGCATATCGTCCATCAAGTACAGCTCAATGTGTTGAATGAACGCTTTGATTTGAAGGATAGGTTGACCTGCCAGCATGTTTGTCATCACTTGCACACCATCCAACACGACTACGGCACCTAAAGGATGAGGCGCATAATGAATAGAGGTCTCTAACAGATGAGCGTAGACTTTAATGTACTGTGTAGGTGGGTCAATAAAGACCATGTCAGACGGCACTTTTTGAAACTCAATCAATTGCTGAATGACATCAAGCTGAGCTGTTGCTTTCCAACAGAGATGACAGGCCACAACACTCGTGACTTTATGGATACGATTGAATTCAGGCAACAAAGTCAATCTTGAGAATAAGGACACCATGGACGTATTTCGTTTAGGCTAGAGATGATAAGCATGCGTCGCTTTTTTTTTTTTATAGACGCACTGACTTACATGGATCTTTTTCGGTATGGTTTTGTGAATCAGGGGAAGCATTTGGTTCGAGACATCAAACAAGTCCAGTTCTTCAATGTCTAAAGTGGTGATATTTTCCTTTTTACCCAAGTGTTGCATGGCTGCAAAATACCTAAAATCAGAAAATTGAAGACGGTAAGTATGGCTGGGCGATGTATTGAGGTCCCAACAACCATGACTCATGACAGCCACAATAGAAAACAAGGTCTGTTGTTGCACTTGATCTAGCACAAATCGTTCATGACTTTGACTCATACAACTAGACGCTGTCTTCATATCAGATGCTTCCATGTTCTCTTGTGCTAAAACAAAACGAGGCTGCCATAATAACAAGTCATTTTGTATGATTTGCACTTGATCCCATATGTCTTTTGACAAGTTCATGTCTGCTTGAGGGAAATGACAATTGACTACAAATAACTACAAGATGAGTTAATAAGGCAATGTTTAGACAAGACAATCAACAGACTGAAGTTTCAATGGTTCTTTGCTTAAATATCATGGCTGAATCTGATTGATCTTCCATAGGTATATGTAGTTTTTGTTCACCATGAAAACTTTCATTCTTTTCAAGGTAATCAAACAAATTGGCTGGAATTTCTGATCCTGCTCCAAAATAGCCTGAGCGTGCTGATGGGGTTGGATACGTGTCTGTGTCTTGAATGGTGATTTCAATACTGGGTGAAATGCCTTCTGAAAAGGACTTTTTGCTATCATGGACTGTCTTTGCAGTAAACCAGCACTTGACCATATCCTCTATAATGAAGCTTAAGTGACATTTTTATTTTTTATATTTTTTTACCTGGTCTTGATTGCATAAATACATTGACATAATTCAGATCAATATTGACCTTGTTTGTCTCTGGTTTATGTGTATGATCTTCATTCTCTAAAGCACCTGTGGTATGATCATCCACAAGAGAACACCAAGTAGCCACTAGTTTCTTGATATCCACACTCAATTGGCTCTGATGAAACTGATCATTAAACTCTTTCCGTGTACTGACTGCACTCATATCAGGCACAGAGAGCAAGACACGAATAAAAGCACATTTTAACCGAACCTTGGTTTTCCGCGTATTCTGCTGTGTCTGCAAATCATCAAAAATAGACGGTGTTGGCTGTGAAGTCATGGGCTTCGTTTCTTTGGGTTTCATGCATGCTTCCCGGTAACTATCCATACGATCCAGTAGACGAGGATCCAGATGTAAAGTAAAAGCAGGCAGATCCACATGAATATCTTGCTCAAATGACATGGCATCAATAAACCTGCCTGATGCTTTTGTCTGTCTGTTCTCTATTCGAATCCGCACCATATCTGTGTTGTCTATGGGCTGTTGAGATGGATAATAAGCAGGAAAAGGGTCGTTTTCATGATAGTCTTGTTTGATTCGACTGTCTAGCTGAAAGATAGGATTGTATTGGTCGTATTGCGTTTGAGATGGCATTGTACGGTGATCAAGTGGTCTTGGGATCCATTCGTCCAGCACTAGATTGGGTATACGCATATCCATCACAGAGGATCTGTTGGTAAACTGTTGTTGTCTGATACTCAACTGGTGAAGAGCAAAACGAAGATGATGCTTGTCTTTAGCAGGATATCTGTCAACCAGTGCAGGTTCATCTTGACTGACCAACAGTAGTTCAATCAGCGACATTTGTACCTTAATTTTTCGCTCTAATATGATCTCTACATCCTCCAACCATGTTGCGGGTGCACTCTTGGGCAGATCAGAGGAAATCAAGTCTAACAAATCCATAAAAAATGCCAGTTGTTGAGGTGTGAATAAGATCCGAATATGAGTGACAAGCACATCGATCTGCTTAATAGACATGGCTGATATACCATCCAATAACGGTCTTAGTTTAAGTCTGATCCAGTTCTTTTTGTCCATGGTCGTAAACAACAAGGCTTCATAAGGCTTCGGTTTAGGTGTGATGGATCCACTCATGCCTAGACCTGAATAGGAATCAAAGAATTCAGTCTGTGCTAAATCGTCTTCAGTGGTAGGTGAAGATTCAGCAGATCGAAGCCATATTTCAGGCGAAGAAATCGTGATGATCTTGATGGTCTCATTGGCTACAGGCGGTAATAGGACTGAACTGTTCATCATATCTTGTGGCGTTGTGGTGGTGTTGAATTCAGGTGTTTCGTCAAAATAGGAAATTCTGGGTATACGTATATCAATGTAGTACTCTTTTCCATCATGATTGGGTGATAATGGAACAGCTGATGTGTGAATGATACGCACTAGAGTGTCAACCACGTCTATCTTGATGCGTGAAATCATTTTATCAATCACTTTCGAAAGGACGGCAATATCCATATCCATCGTGTCTTTGGTTTCAAGGTCTTCTTTGTCTATTTCTGTTCGAAGGAAATCATCAGCAAAATGTAAAGAAGAAGACATGATGTGTTCTTCTATGACTGCGCTTGTGGAAGGAGAATCTAATGGAAGAAATAAGTCATAGTAAGCTTATGAGACTTACTTTTTTTTTTGGGCTTATGTTTGATTGGAAGTAAAGATAGATGTAGTCCTTGAATTTTAAGGGAAATGTCTTTACTTAGGAGTTTTGACCATGGAATAGAGACTGAAATGCATCCAATTCTTCCTTCTTGAAGTAAAAAAGGTGTATCTTCTAATAGTTGATTGATAAACTATGTTGTATAAGTAAGTATGGCATCTTTTCTTTTCTTCTTTTTTTTTTACTTCTCTATTCACAGCCAAGTCTCTTAATTCCATATTGCCACTAGCCAGTGCAATGTCAAAGTTTTCGAGATCAAGTTCGTTTTCTAAGAACTGACCAATAAGCCTTTTCAAAACAAACTTGTATAATTGCTTTTGTATATTTTGAGGCAAAACAAAACTTGTCCATCCAGACAAATAATTCCAAGCTTTCATTTTAGTGAGAAAAAGAAAAGAGGGAGACTAACAAAATAGCTTTTTTTTCTTATTGCTGCATTTTTCACTGAATTTAAAAATAAAGGTGACACAATGAAGAATGAGCATGATTGCAAATTGAGCTTCCTTTTTTGTGTGCTTTTTTTTTTTTTTTTTTTTTTTTTTATGAGCCGAAGCTATGACCGCTATTTTGTTTTTATTTTATTTTCTTTATGAAGAAGTTCCAGTTTAAACAAGGTCCTTTCAATTATACAGGGTTTTTCCTGTCTATGATAGGGTTTATTCTTGTCTTGTTATGTCTCGTAGGCAGTCAAACACCGAGTGGTCGGGGACTTTATTTCGCCAAAGTAACAGATGCTGAATCAAATGCATCATTCACTGCTTATTATGGCTGGCAAGGTTATTGCATTCAAGAAGCTGACATCACTTGTTACAGTGATCGTAGTGTGATGATTGTGCCTTTTGGTAAATGAAATTACATGGATCATCATGATTGATCTATTTGATAGATGTCTCGATTGTAAGCCAACTCAACACAACCTATCCTCGTCTTTTTCAAGACAAGATCGAACAAGACACAGACTTAAACCCAGGAGCAGCACCGAATCCACCTCACGATCCTAAGATTTACCCAGCAGCCGTATTATGTCTTTTATGTTCTGCCACTTTACTTGTGTTCTGCATCTTACGAGTGACTGTACCTCATCGATACCGAGATGAACACTATACACGAGGATTCTTGGCATGGGGATCTGCCTTACTTGCCTTACTTTTACTGATCTTATCTTCTACCATGTATCAGAATGCTATTGACCAACTGAACCGAGCTTATCCTCATTTAATAGCCAGCCAAGGACCTGGTATGACCATGATTGGCTGTGCTTTTGCTTCTTTTGCTTTAGCAGGCTACTTTTTATTAAGAGGATGTATGAGTTTAGAATCAAATCATCCTGAAGGCTACAGTCCTATTTAATAAATATATATTTTTATTATTATTTTTATTATCAAGAGGAAGTCAAATCACTTCGCATACGTTTAGGTTGATTTAGACAGATATCTTGCTGTGATCTTTTTCTTGTGTGTTCCAATTCATTGGATAAAAGGTGACGTGCTTCAGAGATAAGGGTGAGTAAATCAACGTAGGGAATGAAAGTTACATACCTAATGGAGAACTCTTTTTATGTGGGGAACTGATTTTTTCATGCAATTGTCTTGTTTCTTGCCAACTGGTATCCAATGCTGTGTATTTCATACTTGTGCTTTCAGGTGGAGGGCTGCTAGGAAAATCAATACTGCTTCTTCTTTGTTCCTTCTCTGCTTTACGCTGCGTATAAGGAAACGGCGTCTGACTAGTTCCTGAAGGAGGAGGGTCATACAAAGCATACGCGTTTGAATGGTAAGATGGTCGAGTAGTATGGTGGCTCAGGAGATACATGTCATTCTCTTGGTGGGAAGGCAGAAGGGTACCAGGAACAGGACTACAACTGCCACTTTCATTGGCTTGAGATCGAATAAGCACTAGAGAGTATAAGTTTCAATTAAAAGAACGATCCTATCTTACTTTGATCGTGTGCTGGTGGTGGTGGTGGAGGAGGAGGAAGGGTAGGAAGGGATTGCTTTTCCCATGAAGACATAGAAAAAGAACCAAAACTGTTTGTACTTTGATAAGCTCTTGGAGTTAATGTGTTGGGTGGTGACATGACAGGCAAATTTGTTGCTGCGTGTGGAGTGGTTAAAAAGACACTAGGATCTTCTACAAAAAGAGGATAAAGAATATCTACAATTTTAAATTTGGTGGCCAAGTCTTTTGCTCGAGTAAATGTGATCCTATAAAGTTAGCTTACATGGGTTATGGGCCGTCTGCGCTTACCAAACACCTTTGAGATGCATAGCACCCACCTTGACAACCACACGGCCTTTTTCGTTCTTGAGGATACCATCACGTTTGCCTCGAGACATGCCCACCACATTCAGTAATTTAGTGCCATTAATCATGTCGTTATCTACAGACTATCAGTGATCTAAGTAAGTTGAAGGGTCTATCGTCTTTACCTTGTCGACGAGCAACACACACACCTTTGGCATCAACTTGATAACACACAGTGCCTTCATCCTCCCAAACAGTCGTGGTTAATTTTGCTCTTTGCATAGGAGGGCCGTGGATAAGGGAAGGATAACCATTACTACTACTGTAACTATTGTGTCGCGAAGAAGAAGCAGAAGGAGGGCTTGATGTGTTCCAAGACAGATGGCTGTTACTAGAAGGCCAAGCCAAAGAAGAAGAAGGACTGTATTGAGTAGGAGGATGGAAATCAGAAGGATAATTATCGGATGTATTCAGTCCAGCCGAATGATAAGATGTACTTGAGGGTGGTGCAGAACTAGTAGGCTGGTATGATCTAGCATCTGAGAATGCACTTGTGCGGTGGTATGAGCCATAGTGAGAATAAGTATGATCGGATGAATGGTTAGGTGGTATCATATAAGATGAAGTTTGCTGCTGCTGTTGTTGTTGTTGTTGAGGATAAAGATTGTTTTGATACATGCCTTCCACTGCTTAAAATAAGTTTACGACGTATCTTTCCTTTTGAACTTACTTTATACCAATGTATGTATAATGTATGCAACTTTATGAAAATAAAGAAAACGAAAAAAAAAGAAAGAGAGAGAAAGAAAAGACTCTTTTTAAAAAAAGAAATAGTGGCGGAATGCTTCACTGATGGGGATCTCTGCTGCAAAGCAGTTGACTTTTACCTGCATATTATTATTTATAAACTCAATCCAAAATCGGAAAGCAAGACGAAACGGGGTTTCCGTTCCTTAAGCACTTGTCCAAATTTGCGCACTCCTCCCCCCCCCACCCCCCTGAACGCCCCATTTCTCCGTCGTTAACCCCTTACTTTTTCCTTGTTTAGTTAATTTAGTGCCGCGATTAAAACACAACCAAGCATCAAATGTACTTGACAACCTTGGATTTGTTTGTGTCTTGAGTCTTACCTTGTGAACAAAAAAGTCCTTTTTTTAAAAAAATGTCATGCAAAGCGATGCACTGCAAGACTTTATCTCTTTCACTAAGAATAAGGTGATAATGAAACGATGCAGTTGCTCCCCCTTTTTCAAAAGGAAATATTCTATGTTTTCACCTGATCATATACAAAAACAATTCCTTTTTTTAAAAATGCATAAACCTATATATGTGTATATTTTTGTTTATCTATAGAGTAAAATGCAGCAAAGAATCATATGCGTACATATATTCACAACATACAAGCATAGCACTGCGGCATGACAAACAAATAAATAGATGTCAATGCTTTATTAAGGATCTTCGATTTCCAATCGCTTGGCTTCATTCAAAAGAAAGGTTTCATCATCTTCTTCATCATTTTCAGGTTCTGGCTCAATATCACCCATTTTAACAAAGACGAATTTAAGAATATCGTCCAACATTTCAGTCATTGTAAAATCAGAAATCTCGAGTGCTATCATAACCAAAAAAAAAAAATAAGTAAAATCAGCAGTGAAGATGCCATCTTACCTGAAGAAATACATGTACATCCAAAACGAGCATCCTGTACAAGTTCTCCTTTTGCTTTTGCGTTCACAATCCAATTGATACAGTTCTAAAAAAAAAAAAAAGACTTTATAAGAAAAATTCAACCAAGTATCCTTACATCAAACATAAAGGCACGCTTATCAGAACCTTCAATCATATCACTTCCATGAGCACTGTCTGTCATGGCAATAACTTTGACTCGATCCTTGATAAAATCAACTATGAAACAAGGTGAATAAAGAATAAGTGGCTCGTCTTGCATTACATTCATTGTTCAGCGTAAGAGTAAAACAATGTCCACCCCAACCCATGGCAATTACCGCTATTTTTTCTGCTTTTGCGTTTCTGTCATATGTAAGTCATTTGATACAGAAAATTACATGCTTACTTGATAAAATGATGGAACACATATTGACAATGCTTCTCTGGTGTTTCGCTGCCTATGATTTGCATTTAATGCATGCTCATCTTTTATTGTTATTTACCTGGGATTTCAGTAATGGTGCTTGCGTGAGGTGGGAAAGTAGACTATATTGAAATAAGCTCAAGGGATACGCTTGTGCCTTTTCTTACCTGAGCACGACCATCATGCCAAAAATTGCCATTGGAATTCAGAATAATGGCTTCATATCCTTTCTCTTTCACAAGTTCAGTGATCTGCATCATAGAACCTGTCTTTAAAAAAAAATAATGAATGTCAAAGCATGCATCTTTTACTTACTTTAATATTTTGATCACACATGACTCTTTTGCTCCATTGACCCACTCTTGATAAATATGAGTATATGTGTATATATATATATATATATATGTGTGTGTGTGTGCGTGTGTGTGTGTGTGTGTGTGTGTGTGTGTCTGTGTGTGTGTGTGTGTGTGTGTGTGTATATATATATGTGTGTATTCATTTACCGAGTAGCATTATTGGGAATCATGATCAAGAGTTTACCCGTTGTTGTTAAAGCATTAGGTCTAATGAATGATGAATAACATATATTGATAGATTATACATACGTCATGTAGAAATAAGAATGCACTTCTTTCTCGGGATCAACGCCTTTAGGAAGATACACTTTCTGATAATGATAAGGTTCTGCTTGAAGTCTTTTTTCTACCTCGTCACCAATAATATCTATCGCATATAAATACTAAGGACACACACAAAAAAAAATTACCAATGAGTTTATCATAACGCTTTTCATTATAAGATCTATCTTTAGGCAAATAATCAAATTCATAGGGTTCGTCTAAGTCAAGTATAAGTTATATAGAAAAAAAAACTACGATCGAGTCATACCTAAAGAAATACTTCTTATTTCACCGTTTTCTTTTAGTCTATAGCCAAAATCTTCAAGCTTGTCTGGAATAGGCGGCTTTTCTTCTTGAATAAGCTTTCTTCTTCTATACATGGTTTTAATAGAAAATAAGGGAAAAAAGGAACGCGCTTTAAACACGTCTATTTACTAGTAACCTTGTGGTGTGTATAGTTTCCTTCTTCCAATCACAATGAAAGAAAGAAAAAAGTTTTTATTTTCTGATGTTTGTGCGTCGTGTGTGTATCGGCCCAACCGTATAGAATCAAGTCTTAATTGTGTATGTATGTTTGTACCTTTTTCACTCTTTCTTTTTCTTTCTTCTTCTTTTTCTTATACCTTTTTATACTATACCATATACTTTCTATTTGACCAAAAAAAAAATAAAAAAAATAGATAAAAATATCATGTCAGATTTCTTATCCTCAGTGACACCTTCACAAAGTGTCTCCACGAACTCCATCTTGACACAACAGCAACAAAGTTTTATACCCGAGAAAGATGAGATCTGGTCAAGTATTTTAAAAAGCGTTGCTTCTACAAAAATGGTACCTACCAAGAACGTCTTAATATTAGGTAATATATATAAATGAGAGGATCATCTATTGGAAATTCATAGTCTCTATTAGGTGAGCCAGGTGTAGGTAAATCAACACTTGTCCAATATCTAAAGAACGACCCAGGCCCACAACAGCCTTTTGAAAAAGAAGATCATACCCCGTTTAGCAGTGCTCCCAGCCATCTTTATACCCCATTCACTGAAGAAGAGGATAAAAATGATTTAGCCTTAGGCTACACATACGTAGACGTCAAAGATGAAGAAAATGAAGGTAATACAAGACAACAAGGACAAGAAAATTGATCTGTTTTTTTCTTCTTTTCTGTAGCTATGGCCAGATTGGGACTATATCAACTCGGTCTATCTTCATCTGAATTCTTTCCTCTTTTAAAGTTTGCTATTCGAGCAGAAACAATAGCTGATGCATGTGTTGTCATTCTGCTAGACTGGACGCGTCCCTGGAAATTTGTAGAGACACTGGAGCGCTGGATCAGTATATTACACAGCCTGATAGATGAAATCTGTAAAGAAGGCATGACGGCTGATTCTAACTGGAGCAAAGGAAGAGCTATGGTGGATGAACTTAAAGAAAAGTGTATGTAGTATCTAGGTTTTTTATTTGTTATTTATCTTTGTTTAGTGGAACATTATTTACAGACATACACTGAGCCTTCTCATATTAACAAAGACTTGATTGTTACTGCTTCTACTTCAACAAGCTCCATGCCTTCTATTGCAGCCAGTACTAGTTTTACTACCAACACAACCACGACGCCTCTGACCAGTACTCAGCCTATTTCTTCTACTGCTATTGACCATGGTGTGATGTTGCCCCTTCCTACAGGTTGTTTGACAACCAACCTTGGTATACCTATCACTGTTGTTTGTTGCAAAGTAAGTAGATACTTTACTTTGTTGTATTCATCTATTCTATAGAGCGATGCAATAAACACATTGGAACAGACGCATGATTATACAGATGATCAGTTTGATTATATTCAACAAACACTTCGATGCATTTGTATGAAATGTAAGTCTATTTGTATGCCAGTTGATCAAGTAGGCTCATCTTATTGAATAGATGGTGCTGCTTTATTCTATACTTCTACTCTAAACCCATACACATTTCATAACCTTCGTGAATACATCCTTCATCGTACACTCACAACATCCTCAAAGCCTTATCCATTTCACCTGAAGGCTCAAGTGATTGAACGTGATACTGTACTTGTGCCTTCTGGTTGGGATTCTTGGGGTAAAATCAAAGTATTGAGAGAAGGATTTGAATGTGACTTTGTAAGTGAAGGCTGGGATGCAGATATGGATGCTGTTATGGACCGACAAAAGCCTGCCAACACAGGTGCTCGAGGTAATTTTGAAGAAGCTATACCAAATGGTGATGCATCCGAAATTCAGGTACATACATAAAAAAAAAAAAGAGGGGAAAATTGGTCATTGATGTTCATCGATTGTCATTAGCCTCAACATATACCTGTCACTACCATGTGTGAAGATGAACAGTCGTTTTATGATCGTCATTATGAAAAACTTCAAAAGAATTCAGACACGCATGCAAGACAAGGCACAGGCAGCACAGAAAAACCTGGTGTTGTGGGTCCTTTGGGTATTTCTCCTGCAACACTTCATTTGATGCGTGGTACAAACAACAATAGTAACAACAACAACAGTCCTACTCTACCTGCAAGCGCAACAGGTCCATTGGATAACAATGAAAGAAATAGTCGTAAAAAGGTAATCCTTTGCACTCTATCACTGATGTTAATAGAATAATGACATATAGGACCTGACACTTGAAAAGCTACTTATGAAGGGTATAAGCAGCCCAAATCCAAAATCAAATGGTCATATGTCACCCATTTCACCTTCTGGTAACCAAGCTACCTCTCCTTCAGCAGCCGCAGCTGCAGCTGTTGCAGCTGTCAATAACAATAGTAATTCAGGTCAAAATGCGCCTTCTCATGAAGTCCTTGCCAACTTCTTTCAATCTCTTCTCAAGACATCAGGAGGTGCTTCAAGTGGCGGTGGAACAGGATCACCTACTTCAGCTAGCATATTGAATAGTCAACCCAATGGCCGTACACACAAAGATTTAGATGTAATGAAGCAGTATACCGCAAGTATCAGACTCAACTCAGACTCAGAAAAAAATTAGTATTGGCGTCGAACTTTTTAGCTAGTGAATTTTTCTTTTTCTTCTTTTTCTTGCAGGATTTCCCAGGAAAATTAAATTTTTAGAAACTTATTATTGAGACAAAAATTGGAACACATCTCGACTGGGTACAAAGAGTGCTGTCACAAATCATTGTCTTTGTTAAGCTCAAAGAGAATTTGACTAATCTTCATTTTTTCACTTTTTACAAACAGAATGATGAGTCAAATAGTTTACTTTATCTTCATATGGTACTTTCAAAATAATGTATCATATTTAGATATCGGTTTTTGTTGTCCTGATTTTTCTTGTTTCTCCTGGAAAAAAAAATGTAACACAAAAGCCAAAAGAGGTATGTTATGCATGAAAGTGTTTATTTCATAAATTGGCTTTTTAGTCATTTAGTACAGGAGATATATTCTTTTTCTATCAAATATGAATCAGCACTTCGACTCCCAACATTTGTCCCTTATTGTGCCTGTAGAACATAGGTCATTTGAAGATTTTGATAGTATACTAATTACCCTTCGTTTTCTCTCTTTCTCTCTTTTCTTATTCACTAGTCGCTATTCAATTTAACTGCATATTTTGTTTATAAAAAGACTTTTTCTGTTAGAAATCTCTTTCATCTCTTTTTCTGCTTTTATTTACATCATCTCAACTTTAAAAATTATTTCTCAAACATCTTTGAACAAAGTGTGAAATTTGGAAAAGAATGCTGAAAACTGTTTAAATAATCTAAGCATGTCTTACCATTCTTCCTAATACACAGTAACTCTTTGTCAAAGCAGATATATTAGACAAAAAAAGCTATTGATGACATGTAGCAACAAGAAAAAATGGTTTGAATTAGGGGTATAAATGATTAGATGGTTTCTCGAAACTATGCTTCATTGGTTTTGCTGACTCATGCAAATCGCAATGTAGCTTTTAATCTAGTTCTATTTTTACTATAGAGAAGGTAAGTAATGGAAGTAGAGTACTGAAAATATGATCATTGGTATAGCATCTAATACGATTAGCAAAAACCACCCTTTATATATCATGCATCATACAATTAAGCTTAATTTTTATGATTCTAGTATTTTTCATGAGCAAACATTTCCTTCCTTTGATTTAAAAGATCAAGTATGTATGCTAATAGGATACTCTACTTGAATAAACAAAGGCTTCAACAGCGAGAACGACGACAATGCATGCATGCAAATCTTTGTGTTTTTCTTGGACATATAAAGGTAGCATAAAGCCTGTTTATGCACGTATAAATACTCTAGATACCTACAAATGATGTTTAATAACTTCCATGGCATCTTTCGAGTTGATTTGGACAAAAAAAAAAGCGACCTGTAAAAGATAGCCAAAATAGCCTTTTGATCAAAGGGTACTAGCCATAAAAATCATGGAGCTGACAAGTCCTCAAGCTTTTTTTTACGCTACAGAACGAAAAATTGGGCTATTGGCAAGATTAAGTACTCAAAATGAGCGCCAGAGACTATATTTTTTACTGAACGTGTTTACTTAACAGTTGTACTATAAAAATACTATAATATGAGCAAAAAATCTCTAGAACATTTCTGCTTATTTACTCAATACTCTACTAACAAACACCTTGCGTTTTCTGTATCAACAGAGCTAAAACACACAAATCTACAGCTTTTGTCACTGCACCAAAGCCTAATAATTGCGTCTTTATGCAGTTCTAAGAAAAAACCCCATTTCGGATGCGGCAGGAAGAATTGGAATTGATCTGTTTCAATCTTCGCATATAGCCATTCCACACATCTTTTGTCCATTTACTCCATATTTACATTACAAAATGCCTATATCTCTATTTTTCTATGTTCTTTTATACTCTAAATAGCATAAATTACTTTAGAGAGACCCATTGCTAACAAGTTTTGTAGGTCATCTAGAGCAAAAAGGCTCAAATTACAGCTTAAACAGGCCAGTCTTTGATGCATCATTACTCGACAACCAGACTACTAAAACGGCCTCTTTTTTCATTTAAAACGTTTTTTGAGTCCATAAATTGAATGGTATCATTAGTTTGGTAGTTGAGTGTTTTTTTTTATTTTTTATTTTTTTTATTTTTTTTTATTTTTTTTATTTTTTTTTATTTTTTTTTATTTTTTTTTATTTTTTTTTATTTTTTTTTATTTAATGTAATTCTTCTAAAATTAGCGGCACTTCAGCATAAGCAGTGGAAATTTTCTTCGATTGATTGCAGAAATGGAAATTTTTGGCTAAACCTTTACTCAAATATGGAAGAAAAATACAATTGCGTATGCTGTGGTGAGAGTGTATTTTTTTTAAAGCTAAAAATAATTGTTTTCCAGAAATGTTTTTCTGTTGGCACAAATATTTTTTTTTTGTAGTTGGATTTTATTTACAATATTATTGATTAGTCACACATAGCAGAGAGGTGGGACGTCGAAAAACAGGAGTAAAGAAAGACGAAGTAAAGATCATACAATGATCAGGGCTATTTTAGCAAGGAGTGATTTTTTGTAGCTAAGGCTACCTGGTAAATTGTATCTGAAATGATACAAGAATGTTCAAAAGCAACCTGGTTAAGAATCAGGTTCCAATAGGATTTCCAGATATTCCATTGAGCTATCGCAACGATGGATACAAGTTTGGAGCGGTTTGTAATGGCAGGAGGAAAGGCTTGAAGAGTGAGGACCTTGTGGAGGGAGGACGGAGTAAAGTATACCAGAGGGTAGTAGCAGTTTAGTATTTCCAACCAAACACTCCACTTGGTAGAGCAGTGGGTTATGAAATAATCATACGATTCCGGTTGTGATTTGCACAGCCGACAGACAGGAGTAGAGACAGTATCAATCTTGAAAAGTTCGGACGCAGTGGGCAGTTTCTTGTGAAGCACACGATACCACAGTGTTCTAGCCTGAGGGAGCATTGGAGTCCTCCAAAACAGAGAGAGCGAAGTACGAGAAGCCTTTATTCGGGATTTAGCTTTGTCTTCATAAGGATGCAGGCAGAAATCCTTAGAAGTGAAAGAACGCCACAATCTTGTGTCAGTTAATTGCTTGGTCAAAGCATCATATACAGATACAGTAGATGGTGTCACATCTTGTGTAATATATTGCCACAGGAAAGATTGAAGTTTTACTGTTCGTCTACGAAGAACGTCTATAAAGAGCTGATGGCACAATCCTGGTAATGTCCCATATTCATGGCGAACCTTCAGGCGTAACCGGTTACTCTGTTCGTCAAAGAGGAAGAAGAGAGATGCTGGTACTTTTGAATGTCGATGAAGCCAGTGGTTCTGAGGTACCTCTTGAAACATGTTAATCAGCGGAAAGTAAAGCAAGTTGGCTAGAGGCACATTATCAAGTTTGAAGTTGATACCAAAGTGATCAAAGGCAGCATAAATACCATTGACAACTGAAGTGGGATGACAAAGGTCATGACGGCGAAGAGCTCTAGAGAAAAAGGGTAGCAATGTATTGTCAGCATCCGGAGACATGATGCCAAAGTGTTCTGTCATAAGCACTCGGAGCTGAGGTGTTAGATTAGACGAACTAAACAGAGTAAAGACCCATCTCATCTGCAGCACCAAGTATTGTGTGATAGGGTTGAGAGCTTCTACATCACCTTGATTCTTAGGGAGACATAACTGGTCAAAAGAAACATAAGAAAACTTCTTTTGCCACACGTAAGCATAGATAATCGAACGAAGTTTATTCAGAAATCGCTTAGTAGGCGCAAACAACCGCAAGCAGTACCAAATTTTGGATAAAATCAAAGTGTTGGCAACGGTAGCTCTTCCTTGAAGCGAGAGGTAATGCTGAGAGTAGCCATGAACCCGTGTACGCACTTGTTCCAATAACATATCCTGAACACGATTCCGTTGAGAATTTGTGTATGGCATATAAAAGCCAAGGTATCGAAAAGCAGAAGGGGAATGATGGTGGTAGTATGTTTCGATATCGTGACTCAAAAGCAAAGATTCCCAAGATTCTGACTTGACTCCACTCAGTGAGAAAGCTTCCGTCTTGTGCTTGTTAAATCTTGCATTTGATACAGCACTATACTTAGTCAAGTGATGTTGGAGACGCATAAAATCAGTGGAATCCTTGACAAACACACAGATATCATCAGCATATGCGATGCACTTGATCTGTTGAGATGTAGTGCTCATTGTCGAGACATAACCTTGATATGTAGGGTCTTTCTGGATTGAAAGAATCAGCGGTTCCAAAGCGATGTTGAACAATAAAGGGGACAAAGGATCGCCCTGCCTTAACCCACGTTGCTAATGTACTGGATCCGTAAAGGATCCGTTGACATTGATTGCTATTGAGTTATCAAAGAAAAAATTATAGATACTCTGTATAAATAAGGTAGGAGAACCTAGGGACACAAGAGTTTGTTGAAGATATGTTGGTAATACTCGATCATAGGCTTTCTCCTGGTCGAGAAGCAAACCTACACCTTGATTATGTTCATATCTTGCTTGTTGTAGAACCAAGTGAAAGTACATCCCATTTTCGACAATAAAACGTCCTTGGATGAAGCCCTTTTGAAGCGGGTTGATAATTCGATTCATTACAGGAGCTAGACGTTGGGTAATGAGCCTTGTGGAAATTTTACCATCACAGTTGATCAATGAAATTGGTCTCCAATTTTTTAATTCTGACAAATCACCTTTCTTGGGTAGCAAGCGCACTCTGATTTCCTTCCATGACTGAGGGAAAATTCCTTTTATCATGGCATCATTGTATACCTGGAGTATCAGGGGCTTCAAACAAGGAAAACCAAACAAGAGTTGAAGGTATATATACCCTAGTCCATCACTACCTGAGCTACTTTGTTTTGGGCTACGCTTTGTCATTCTGACAATATCCTCCCAATCAAATTCCATTTGGAGCAGATTTGCTTCATCCTGATTAAATTTACTTGGAAAGTAAATATTACCTAAATATTCTTGTATTTGATTCATAGGTACTGCATCAATCGCATATAGGTCTTTATAAAACCGT